ATCTCTAAGAAGACCGAACCGACCTAAAATTAAATTCGAAGTGAGTTAATAATGACGGTCAAGGAGCGGAAATTGTCGCGACGCCATCTTGGTCCGCGACCGGAAGTCGAGATGCCTTTAGAAGCCATTTCGGCCATTTTCCTTAAATCCAATAAATAAAGATGAAATTCAATAGACTGATAGTTTGCTAAATCCAATCGCACTCTATTTGGCTCCCTCGCTCTGATTTACGGCTGATTCTGATAGCTGTGGATTAAGGACGCGCTTTTAACGGTGCGTAGACGAATTATTTAGAACTATTTAGACGAGAATTATCATTTAGGGGGTACAACGGCCCGATTGTTACTCTTTGTAAAACAAAAAAGTCAATTTTTCAAGTGAGCTTTTGCATTGAGTCTTTTCGGATCGAAAGAAATAATTACGCAGCATTTAAACTAACATTTAGGACGATAATTTAAAAGTTTTAACAAGCGCCCGGAAGGACAGCGGCACCCTTTTCGCGAATTTTTGAAGTACCCTCATTTGTTCCTTTAAGAGTTTCTCAATCGGAATAAATCTTCAACCTCTACCGTCCTACGTAATTATGAGTTTAAGTAATTTCTTTCCTTTTGCTTTACAACCAACGAGGTAGCAACGACCGAATTATCCTAAATTTTGCTTTTTCAAAAACAGTACTGAAATTGTAGGTTTTCTTTTGCTGTTTGTGTCTTTTCCTTTTTTCTTTCTCACTAAAATTATTCTACTATTCTACCAAATGCAGAAATTGCATTGGAAAAAGTACAGTTAGTTACAATTACATTAAGGTTAGAATTGAGAAGAATTAAAATGATATGTCTCATCCCGATCGCGTGCTATTTCAGCAAATAATATAAGCCGTATGCACATCGTCAGCATATCGTTGTTCATCCTTCGCTCACTTCGAGCTCTATTAGGAAAATTCTAACTTATTGCGTGCCATCTTCTTTACGAAGAATTGTTTTCGTGGTGCAAGTCATGAACGCTTTACATTTATTTAATCTAAAGCTTAAAATTTTTACTATCTTTAAACGCTTTCAAGCTAAAATGTAATAAAAATAACAGATTAATATATTGTACGCTCACACTACACTATAACAAAACCTCCGGGTCAAGTCCCGGTGAGAGACGATTCCTGTTTTTCTTACGACCTTTCCGCTATCGCCTTTCACCTGCTCTCTTCACCCCGTAATGCATCGTAAAAGGGTAGACATAGCGCGCGTGACATCGCCGCAAATCCTTCGTCCCACCACCCCCGCTCCCCCCTCATCTTTTGCAACAAGTGTCTTTTCATAATAAATCAGCGAAGAATATTCTCTGTCGTACTGAAATGGGACTACTAAAGCTGTCGTGATTTATTTAGAGAGCACGAAATGCTCAGTTTCCATAGACAGTCTATGATAAACACTCTACGAAATGAAAACGACAACGATTTTTGATTGTTGACCAAATATGGCCAAATATTGTTTTTATTCTATGACAACAACTTGCATGCTGATAAGTTCTTGCATAGGGTAACAATTTAATAATTGGCGTAGCAAACGCAAATGTCCATTTTTTACATTAATTAAGATTCTTAAAAACCTATAACAAGGTGTATGAGTAGGTTTCTATTTCTATTTACAATAGAAGATTTACAGGGTTCTTCGCCTATGGCTTAGCCTATGGATTAAAAAGCCAACCGCCAAAAGGATACAAAACAAATTTTTTTACTCAAACATTTTGAAAATCACACAAACGGTCACAAATTTTCTCATTTATGTTACATGCATGGCTCACGACACAAGGAATTAACGGAATTCTGCCATTCTTCTTGACGAACAGACATTCACCGTAAAATTCTACAAAAACCGCACGGATTCAAGTTAAGCAATTATGCCACAATATTTCTTTACTTTACTAGATGGTGATGTGAGATGGATATGTTAGCTAATTGCTAAATTGAACTTCCATCCACTTTTAAATAAGAAATAGACACACTAATAAATAAACTAGCAAATGCTTTCAGCGTACTCTGCCAAAGAATTAACGAGAAAGAAAATAGCACACCGAGCTAGCCACGGGCGACAGCGGAATCTTTCTTACACACAAACTGGATATTTTCAACTGAGGCCATTTAAACTTTTGTAATAGAATAGATAGTTCTTCAATTCCAAAAATTAGATAATATATTTATAACGGGCTAATTATTAAAATAAGTTAATAATTATGGATTAGAGAAAAAAAATAATTACAATTTTTTCTTACCAAATTAACTAGAATTGGTCAATAATCGAGCCGTCGTAGCGACTACGATACACCGATCCCGCTTTCGGCCTTACACTTGCGTCCGATCGGCCACTCAGCGTGATAACACACGCTAATTTAATACGGTTCCGTGTATAGTTTTCGCCTTCCTCTGCTCTCCTCCGCTATACACCACGCGCCACACTCCACTATACTAAGGAAATGCGTTTACAAAGTAAACCTTTCTGTTTTCCGGGCAATCGAACCGATGCGTTTGTGCAGTTTGTATAAGCAAATAGAGGCATCTAAGAAAATATAACGAAGAATCTTTTAACTCTGCGATGAAATTGGATGAACGATGCTCGCTTTGTTTATTATATAGGAAGCTACTCGGCCTCAAAACCGGTTGCGTTGTTTTGAAGCAAAGCATATATTTGCCTACAAAGATATATATAGCAACTTGTCCACCATCAAAGCCCACTACAAATAGAAACAAAGTGTACAACTACGAACTGAACTACGAACTAGCCTAACTAGGTAATTACAGCCCCCAAAGACCGATTAGCGTTTATTACATGCAACGAGGAAATCTATTTAAAGCCATCTTTTGTTTTTTCAAAGCTTTGGGCTCGTTATGTACATTCCTTGTTTTAGAAAATTATTCCATTTTATCATTTTACTGCCTTGTTAGTGAAATCCTATGTAGAATGTCAAGTATGTATATTAAGTGTAGCGTTAGCAGTATTATTAAAATTCATTTATATAAAAGTCAGTCATTGCCTTTCCGTGGTTACCGAAGTCTTTCCATTGGCCCTTAGCCTGGGAGCAAACAACATTTAAGGCAAAATGTACTCCGTAATAAACTATCCAATTTTATAGTTTGCTTTGGAATTGCAGCTACCATGAACGAATCCTGAAACGATACCTAAACGAGCGAGTGAGGCAGCTATTCTAATTAGCAAAGCAAACGGCCCATTAACACTTATCGCGGACGACGCGAGGGGCAGGGCGGGGGGCACGAGGGGAATAAGAAAGCGTATTTACCCGGACCACTGCTGTGTAACCTTATACAGGATTAGGGGTGCCACGTCTTCGTTTCATTGCTGTTATTTGTTCTCTGCAACGCTTAAGAAAGAAATAAACGTCACCTATCAGAACGTATTGACTGCAGAATAAAACTTTAATACATTTATTTCAATTGAGATATGAAGCTGAAAAATAGATTGTTATATGGCGCGCTTGATATGTATATAAAAAGGATTTTTGCGCTATAATAATATTATTATAACCCCGACAAACAATTTTCTTTAAACAGATGTCAAATCCTGCCTGCATCTTCTTTTTTACTTATGACGTTATGACATTACATAATTATACAAAAAGCGCCCTTAGCTTATTAGATATACCAAATATATGAGCTATTGTAAAATATTAGAAATCAGCCTTATTACAAAAATCGTGTTTCCCGCGCAAACCCCACGGCCCTAGCCGCGAGCCTCCCTCCGTTAAGTATATCAAATGAATTGTAAATGAAATCAATGCTGAGTGGCGGCCGTTTTATCGTCCGTCCGTCCGCTGCTCCTCGGACTGCAAAACACCTGCTATCAGTATTATCTACTATATGTACAGACGACGTTAGCACGTTGTTTCATAATTATTTTATTTTATTGCTAGAGGTTACTCCACATAAATAGATGGGTTTCTTTAAATTAAGCGATCGGAAGTACGCTATTCTAATAAAAACAAAAAGCCTCTAAACAAGACTTGCTATTCCTGTTACCTAGTACCATCTTCTACGCCGTAGCAGCCTTCGGTTCGGCCGGCGCGGGCATTGAAAACGGTCAAATCTTATTTGTACGATTACAATTAGTTAAAGACGATATTATTAATTTTAATGTATATATGTTTGACAATGCCCATCACATAATAAACATATATAAAGAAACATCATAATCCTCTTTTTTAGTCGGGATAATCATCATTTGACGGTAAATACGCAATTGATTCTAAATTCCCACTATGACATTATGATAGACTTTTAGAGTATATGATAAAAATATACTCTAAAAGTCGTTTCTTATTTACACGTAAGTAACTATCGACTAGGGTTAAAGTTAAAAATATTTCGTGATAATTATGAAATATAATTTTATTTACGGAGCAACTTAAGTCAATCTCAAATCGATTTCTAATTTAAGTAACGCAATTGTTTATTTGAACTTAACAGTCGTATTTCTTTGTAACCGAAGTTCGTTAGTTTCGTTTCTACTTTACAGATCTGTTGTAAAACCGTTTATTGAAATAAAAGTCAACTTCGATAGATTTAGGTCGATAGTATCGATTATAAATTATGCACGCGAGGCAGAAATACGTGCACGACTGTTTCAAATATTTAACGAGCGGGCAGAATTTTCAGCTCGATTACGTATGTATGCATCGAGTAGCCGAGTAGTTCTTATATTGTAATTACCTGTATTATGGATATGATACAAATTAAAACGGTCGCATATTAACTGCTTCATAACGTTATTTATATATTAATCCAGTATAAAGAAGTTTTGAAATTTGACGTAGGATGTGCCATCAGCGGTCACACCAGCACTCATCAGCATACTAAAACTTTTCTGATTTATATGGATTATATATTTTGTTTGGTGGTTAAAATATAGAATAAAAAAATAAATTTTCAGTTATTTTCTCACGCGGCATCCGCAATGCGGCCCATCAGATTTGTTGAAACGCATTTATATCGACGCAAAATGAAAAAAGCGTCTAATGAGTTTGAAGCCGAGAGGCAATTCATAAGCGTGGAGTATTTCAGAACTGGCTCCATTCGAGATGACATTGAACTAGTTGCGACCACTTCACGTTTCAAGCTTTAACTCGTTTCAATTTTCCCCTATATTTCGACAATCGTTTTCACTTTCTTCGGTCTGTAAAGTTAAGGACGAAACGAAAGCTGCTACTTTGCGGACAAAAAAACGAGGCATATGGTAGTGCTGGGAGTGTTTTCTTTGGAAAAGCCTTTTTTTGTTTTTAACGTATTTTTCTGAACTTTTTAAATATACCCGAGTATGTTTGCTGTTAAACAAGATACAGACAGAACTCACTTATGTACTGGCCAATCACAAAAATCAACATCTTGTTAAGCTATATGGAACTAACTTTTTGTATCAGTTGTCTATAAAGGTTTGTCATCTAGATTTGTATGAACGTTTCAACGTTAAACGCTTTCGTAGGTAACAATAAGCCAAACAACTGTTCGGCGATAGAATATTAAAAACTCTTTTCTTCACTCGCGGGAGTGGTTCTTATTTCTGCCCAAACAAAATGCGGAAAAGGGTGGAAGGTAAGAAAAATAATTTATAAATTATATAAGAAATTTATAAAAATAAAGGGTAAAAATCATAAATTTATGGAAAAACACTCACATTTGATTTTGGTGGTGAACTAATACGACCCAGGAATTTGTGGATTAGAAATCGAAGCCCGTGCGTGGACTGCGCAGGGTCAGTAATCACTCCAGCGGAGTGGACAAATTAACTCCGGTGAAAGCTTTGACAGTCTTCGACTTCGGAAACTAAATACGCGTATCGCATACTCGTCAGTATCGTCAGTATGTCTCCTTCTATTCTTGCAAGTTTTTTATAATCTATTTTTTTTTAAAGTAATGAAGGGTAAAATAAAAATTTCTTTTAATTACAACAATGCATACTTACTTGTTCAACCGTTCATAGTATAGTTCTGTTTCGTATAATCTGACGCCCCATGCCCCACGAAGGGAAACAGGAACGCGACTGCGTCTATTTTACTGAACGATTTCGATTTTATTACGCTTACGAATTATAACCTAGGATCCCTTGCCTCTTGACTAACATAAAATAAAAAGTGTTTTTTCCGTTGTTCCTGAAGAAATATTAGGGCAGTTTCTGATCATTAGTAACCGGCCGGATTGCCTCCATTCAAAGTGTATAGTAATGTCCACAACAAAATCAATTAGAGATATTCTTAAGCGTATTCCGCGACCGCTTCCGCCCATGAGTCGCCTCATATAGTGAATTTGAATATTATATTAAAATGCCGAGCTTTCATTACGCTGCGAGAACAATGTGAATACTTATACTCTATTAATCTGTATTCAATGCACGCGGCGAATATTACTTGTTTTTGTTCAATAACTATCTTCATTACGCGACATAAAGTGGTAGTGGCTATCGTATGTAATAGGGTAACCTATCACACATACTTTTCGTACGCGGGCAAGCTACAAGACTAATATTGAATTCTTCAATACAAGAGGCCCCATTCTAGTTAGTCAGCAGTACACTTTGTGAAAAGCATGATATTATAGTAAATTACTTAACGCATCGACCTATAAAAGATTTAACACCCGCACACATGCGAAGCCACGCCCCATATCACGGCCTCTTTGTTTCGCGCGCGACGCACACGAGGCCGCAAGCGAATAAAATAAACGGCCAATTTTTCTTCCTTTACTCTTTTATTTATCGGAATCAGTGAATCGCATCCGTTTTAGAGGCTTTTTATCTTCTACTGTATTCAGAATTGAGGTCGAATGACGCCCAGGAGATTCGCCCGAGAATGATTAGAGCGCGATCGACAATTACAATCATTATACACAAATTGACGGGAACCAACTTTTCCTTCCCCATTACAGATCGACAATAGCTCTCCCATTTCCCTTCCCCCCCATTCGCACTTAACGTTGCGTCGGTGTGGGTGCGCCGTACGCACGCACGGCCGCGAGTGTGCGCGCCGCGGCGGCATAAATAGCGCCCCGCGCCGGAAAAGCCAGCATTGGCCTCCCGTCTCTCGCGGCGGAGGTCGTGTCGCGAGCACGATGTAATATCCCGAGACCTCCGACTCTCTTCTGCTATCCTACTACTTGTTCTTAACGATACGTATCATGTATTTTCTGTAGGAAACTTTGGTGCTCAAAAGAGAAATATTTTTATATTCGACCTTTGTTATGAGTCGGTAGATTAGGTCCGTCATTCTTGAACAAGTGCAACTGGAAGCAAGATGAATTTCATAGGTGAGTTGGCCTTTCGCGTTCCGCTTTCTTTTCTTACATAAAATTTGCCGCATAACGCTTCAATAAGCTTCTTTTGTTTATAAGATTATTTTTGTATGTATTGTCGTTTCCAAACCTTTCAGCAAGCTCAGTGTCACTTTTGAATATATATATATACTTGACGATCTTCGTTAGAATAACTGGCTAACCTAGTTGTATTGCTTCGAGGTCAGGTACATCTGTAAAATGGCTACGCACTGACTGTAATCGCACGCGATTAGCATAAATAAAATAGAACGAGCCCCGCATCTATATAGGGATGTTTCGGGGACGCGTTCTAAAAGTCTGTACGTATAGTGAGTCGGGGCTGGCGAGGTGCCAACTAGGTTAGACCTCGCTGTGCTGGCTGGACCCTGGATGTAATGGCCCGTTATAATTTATAGCTTAACATAAAATAGGTTAAATGCAAGCTAGAGCTTTAAGCGCGCTCTAACATTCTACTTCTTACACGATCTAATTAACCGTATTCCAACTTACTTTTATTAATGCAACCGTAAAGGCAGGATACGGTTAGCTTCACTTAATATACTGTTATATTGTATTTTAGATAACCTAAGAAATTCATATTAATAACTAACTTCATTGTTTTCGTAGCGATCATTTAAAAGAGTAATTAAACTGTCTCTCGAAATATGTTTGTTGACTAAACTTAAATTGAAGCTTTTTTAAAGAACAAAAGAATATTAACAGTAGGAATAACACAACAGGGCGAACAATGCTTTGCGCTAAAACGTAGTCAAACACTCGTAGACAATTTCAAGCACGCTACGAGTCGCACGAAATGACCGTAGCAGCGCCTACGAAGCGTAGCTCCTGCTACGAATTACGTAGCAGACTAAATAGAGACTACGACTTGGTCTTTGGTCGGGAATTATGTTATTCTGTCTATAGTTTACGTGAGTAGTACACGTTAAAAAAAAAAACACTTTAACGGTTTAAAACGCAATATATTAGTTAAACTTATTTGAAAAATGTTTTTTTTTTAAGATTGGTACGCGAAGCAATTTAAATTAAAAAACACCGAAATTTCAATAGGGAGGACGGCCTCAAATTATCAAACACCTGGGATCCTATATTAAATACTCTGGATCCCAATAAACAGCATACCGGCAAACGCAAAGACACCGTTAGTCAATTCTGCAAGGACCCGGCCAGTTTCGCCAAATACCAACTTCGAAGGAACAGATGGCGCTAGCGTAGTAATTTTTTACTTTGACGTCAGAGGCATCCTCCATCTTTAGTTTCCCCGTGACCACGGCTGCTGCAAAGCATCCGAAACATCGGGCCGAAGTTAAAAATCATTTTTCAAATAAGTGTAACTAATATATTGCGTTTTAAACCGTTAAAGTGTTTTATTTAAATTGACTATGTTACTATTTTTCTTTTCTTATAAGATAAGACAGCAGTTATCAAGCTTTAAATAATAATAAATAAAGCTCCATCAAAGATTGTGCTCATTGATTGAATGATGTGTATATGAAACGGATCAAAGAGAAAATTTTGATCTATAAACATGTGTCTTCATTATAGCGAAGACTATTCAGAGCGCCCTCAACAAAGGCCTCCATATCGCGAGGCAAATCTTAGAGAAGAAGAAATAACACAAAAGATCTTCCCTCTCTCTCGGGGCGATTGTGCTCAAGTGAGATGACCAAACATTACAGTGGAAAGCTTTTAACGTCGTCGGATTAATGTGGTGGCTTGTATGAAATATATACGGGCAAATGGAGCTAAGCAACTCCAGTTTATAGTTTCTCGACGTGATGTCCGCCCCGTTTAGCTCTCTGAAAACAATCGCCCTTCCTTCGCAACGTCGACTGAAATAACTCGTACTCGTCTCTTCTAAGTCATCGCTACTATTTAATATTTAAACTCGTACAGGTGCGCTAGATAAATGTCATTCGTGATCAAACTTACAAAAGGGTGGCTTTGTTATGTTAAAGTGACGGTGACCCACCCACTTAACAATCCAAGTACAGGAATAGTTCTGCTATGATTGCAGACAGCTTTATGAAAAAGATATGCAAGTGGCACACTTTGATTATCACACATTAAATAAGCAATACGTTGTACATGACACGATAAAAGAGGAAGTTAATTGAATTTACATTAGCACCGCGTTAACTATTCAGCCATTAATCTGATTTATTATGTATTTATATTGGGCGCTTCGTGGCCTCAGTAATCATGCAAATTGCTAATTAAACAATGACTAACTTGACAGTCGAATCTTATTATACAGTATTATCCATTGCATACAATTATGTTTATTAAATATAACCCTGGCAATCTCAATGATACAGCACCAAGTAAAAATTCAAGAAATATCTATTAAAAATTGAGTTCAAAACTATATTCAACTTGTTCGTTTAAATACGTAGTTACGTTTTTATAGTTCACGCGAATAGTATGCATTTAAATAAAACACTTAACGATTTAAAATGATTCCACAGTTTTTAACCGTTAAAAGCCCCTCGGTGGCCACGGCTGCTGCAAACCATTCGAAGCATCGGGCCGTTATTCAATTAAAATGAACAAAGGGTAAGTCATATGTTTTGCGTGTAAACCATTAAGGGTTTTACATAAACGTGACTTAAGCCAACCAATAGTAACAATCAAAGTAATATTTGCTCACGAATTTACCTATAAATGATAATTAGGTCAAACCTAGTACAACGCAGAAAACCGTAAAGTGTTCGTTATTGACACAAGTAATATAAGTGACGAACAGAATTTGAAATACTATCATTACATACGTAATTCATTGTCCCTCTTTTAAGAAAGAACCTCACTTCCATGCTTTGAACCAAAGCTTTGAACTCTTTCAAAAAACCACTAACTTTTTTATGCTATTAACCTATTTCTACTCAAGGCTTTGTATTCTACAAATCCACATCATTACATACAACACAATATGTAACGTGGTTCAAATAGAGACATGTGCGTATACAGTGTACTGTTATATAACTGTAACCAAAATAGAAATTAAAGCGATGAGCCTTCCACTATTTTCAGGCAAACAAATGTAACCGATTCGTGACCCAAATATTGATTGCGATGTGAGCTCGGTGAACAAATAAAACGTGCGATTTATACGGCCTACTTTGGCTCATTTCAATCGGCAAACTAATGTATGTATAGTTGTGAACCAAAATTAATGCTTTATTCGATAGTAATTTATTAACGTCCATAGATATGCATAATCTTCGCAAATCTGAGGGTGTTCTCTATGTCTGGCAGTGCCATCTCAAATGTGAAGATTAAAATGATACATTAAAATGAGATAGTACTAAATTAATTTAAACTTATGACACTTTCTAAGTAAGTGATATAAAAAATACCCACAGACCAGAGGCTCACAAAAATTGTTAAAGTATTTTTTGTAACAAAAATAAGAACGAACGAATCGCGAGAAAATCGAAATATCAGTAAAATGCGAATAATTCGAGTGAATTCCGAGTTTCCAGCTATTCATACACTTGAAGATCTGTTTATTTTCCCTTTATCCTGTTTGTGGCAGGGAGAGGCTTTAAAAGGCTTACGCGTATTCACGTGACGACGCCCAGAAAGGTATTTTCTTAATATTTGCTATGAGAGATTTTGCGCTTTCCTGTAATGGGAGATTTTCCACATTTCTATAAAAGTCGTATGTAACATTATTTCTGGTCTTATTAGACTGGACCCATTATGCATTTCTGACTGCTTATATAAGTTTTTAGTTCATATACGATATAACTCAAGAAGTATCTATACTATGCACATGTTATTTTCCCGTGCCGTGTAGTAAGAATCTATTAATTTGTTAATCAATGAGATTAATAAACCCAACTTTTAGTTATTTAAATTGCCTTTCCTTTAAAAAAATCAATATCGAATGCTGATTAAATTTGAGTTTTCCTACAGTTAATTTTGCTATCAATGGTTTGTAATGTTGCTCGTCCGGTAAACACCTCTTGTTCTTTTTACAAAAGCGTTAAAGAGTTTCGCTGTTTAATTTTACTTTTAAAAATAAACCTGCAACACAATCTGTGGCAACTAGTTACCACAGATCAGAGCTTAAAATGCAGCTCGGAACGGACAATTTATTTGCTCACTAAATAAATTATATCCGACTACCCTGCACAGGGCCGGACTCAAAATTTACTCCTCTGTGGACATATATGACGAATAACAATTTAGTTACTTTGGAAAAGTACCTACACCAAAGTAAGCACATATATGTATGTATTTATGTCAATAATCATTGAAACATGTAGTAGTTACTTTTGTCCAAGATCTTAAAAAAAATTGATGCTTCCTTCTGCATTTACTCGCAGAGTTTATGTAATTTACCATAACGAGTACTAGAAAGAAAATTATAATCACAAAACTTAATAATAAAACTGGAAAAGTAATACTACAATACGGAGTCCGTCCCTCGGTCAGTACCCAGCCATTCGTACGTGACGTTATCAGTTGCGGTGAATTATTGTGTCCGTTCGCAATGATACACGAGATGACCGCACCGCCTTTGTTGTTATATTTGTTCGCGTGTTCCGCAGGCGAAAACCAAATTTTACTTCCATAAGGAGTTAATAAGCAATCACGATTACTTTTCAGAAATTGTAATAAAAGACAGCTTGCTCCAACTTGTAACTAACTTAACCGGCTCGTTAAAGAACAGAGAACCGCCTTGAACTTTCTAGCCTATTATATCTCGTTGTACTTGCGCGATAGACTGGGTCATGACGTAAGAGGAAGCGTGGCGTATTATCCTTCCTTTGGTGGTATTTTCTAGTAGTTCATAATAAGCAATGCACGAACGAATAAATGAACGAAAGCCTGGATTTTTGTTATATTGTAACTAATTCTACTAAAAGTGATATGATGAAAGGTATATTGATAACTAATTAAAACACTTCACTTTCAAAATTGTATCTAGAAAGAGAAAATGGGTTACCATTTTACATACCATAATATTGCCATTACATTTAATGACATGAAAAATGGAAACAGCTCTATACCTTGAAGCAGGTTAAGATAAACAATGATCGCCCGAATTAGTTCGAACTTCATTCGCGGAACGCAAATGAAGTTCGACGTAACCTTAATTACCTCAAAGTTTCTTTGTCTTCAGTTGAATACTTAAAGAGAATCGCTACAATGCGGGACTACTTAGTACTTCGCCTAAGTTATTTAAAATTGGTTTAACCGAGCCATTACTGGCAATAATTGCAAAGTAAACGGCCCACTTTCTGCGCTCTATATTGACTACTCGATTACATTTTGAAACGAACTCTACTCATATTACGAATTCTACAGTTCGTGGCATCCGACGTACCGTTTGTATGTCGCTACGCGCCTAAAGGGCTTAACCGATATATATATTTATTAGGTTAGGAATTAGTTATTAGGTCACTTTCATATTTTACGACTGCTTTAAACTTTTTACATTTTGCTGTAGGTGATATGGCGTTACAGAGCGGGCACTCTCCTTAAAATATAAATTTAATTTAATCAACATTTCTTTCAACCTCAACTAAACGACTGCAGCCGTAGATAATAGTTTGAATAACGATAGATACGTAAATATCCATGTCAAGGGTATCGTATATATTTCGATCGGCTGGTTTTCTTTTATCTCCGAATATTCAACGAAATAAACGCGGTATGCAAGCTTCAATGTGAAAAATAATAATGTAAAAGGTAAACATAGGCTCAGCGAAGAGCTGCCAACTCTATTATTGGAACGATCGATACTCGCTAAGCCTATCCGAACGACGCACAGGGTTGACACAGTCATTTTCAATGGTTTAACGTAATAAACAACGACTACTACCTGACTATGCATCTCAAAGTACGAGCATAAACAAAAAAGCACCTTCTTGCATTCATAATTTATGACTTTCGTCGATCCTCGTTTATGTGAGTAAACAAGTAATTACTTCGAGTTACGATAACGATGACATTCGAATTAAAAGCCTTTAATACTTTGTGCCTTTTACGGCTTCTTAAAATTTTCATTTGCCATTAAGATTACTTTAGTATAGTTGGCAGCCCTCGAACGTCGCCAACGTCGCCAACGTAGACCGGGGTTGCAGGAAAACGTGACTCGAAACTAATCGTAATGACAAGTTTTAAAACATTTTTTAATTATTTAAAACTAACATTAAAATTAATTTGTAAAAGCGATCGATTATAAATGCCAAACATTCAAAAATGTTTTATTGTCATGCCTTACATTTGAATCAAAAAAGTACACATAATCCTTCTTGCAATAAAATAGGGTGTATTATAGAAATATTAATACGTCCTATGACACTTGTTACTCTATAAAATATTTTTAAAAACTTTTCGGTTGTCAAGGAATCCTGGCACGTAGTGACTATGTAATATGAGGGTCAGTTCGGAAAGTCCATTGTTCGTATGACTATATGAATATTTTCGTAGTGTATATGAATATTGTCCTAGTGTCACGTAGATTGGGGGAGTGATGAATTAATTTTACGAGTGGCGAGCGGGGCCAGGCCGACAGCCCTCGTCAACACGCTTTACGATTACGATCGATAAACACGATATTCTGTAAACAACGTAATTATCCGATATTTACGTTATCGCTATGACTACGGCTATCCTTATACTATAGATATAGATAACAAGAAAACAGTGTCACGGTGACAGTTTATAGTTTGTTTCACGAAATAAGGTAAAATCTTTATACTTACGAAACACAACAATGTTAAGAAACTCTAAAAATAACTTAATTTCGCTTAAAGGCGCTTATGTTGTTTTATTTCTATTATTTAAACGATGCTAGCAGTTGAAAAAACGAAGTTTCGATACTGTATCCAATTCGATTATATACATTATTAGGATTTGGAGATTACAAGACAATTTACGGCGAGTAATTGGCACTAGAGAGTCAAACTAGATATCACAACTCCAGTTTCACATATATTGTCGATATGACGATGAGAATTCCCTCCCGCACCTCCCCGGCGAAGTAATGAATACCCAGCGATCCTCTGCCGCTTAATAATCGAATCGGCCGCCTTTTTCCTAATGCTCCCAAATTGAATTTCTGGCATACGCCACTCGACACTCGAGAGGGGACGAATAATTATCGAGGAACGATCAGAATTCCATCCGACTCCGAATGCATACTTCCTTAGCAGTTCAGATGTGTTCCCGTCTTGTTTTGCGGTAGAAATTCCATTCTTAGCAAAGTGGAATAATTTCAAAATTATGTTCGAATAAACGTCGGACGTCTTAACGAGCCGCTTGTGCCAAATGTATTGCCTGTTGTCCACGCTCTATGAGAAGTTAGAGCTCTCACGAACGGAAACAATATTTCAGCACAGAGCGAGCTATTTACAGAGATATCGCAGCGGCTTTTGACTTTTAATTGAATTGCGTTCGTCTCTGTTCCGAGCTAACCGACTTTTCACTTCGTTTATTTGATTTTATTCGCTCAAAGCGATATCTTGCTGTAAATTATATATCGCTAGAGAGACTGTCTACGTTTTCTTTAGACGCGTAACATAATTTGACTCGACTCACAGTGTAGAATAATAAGTCAATTAAATTATGTTACAAGTAAAATCGCATATTCCTAAAATCAGTTTGCGGCAGTTACCACATAACTGACAAAGACAGAGAAGAATTGCAAATAAATACACAAGTCATAATTAAAGTTCTCTCCGTTGTTCAGGGATGTACATTTCATTAGACGAGTATTTGAAAAAACGATTACTATTCAAATTATTCGATGAATATTCAAGCGGTTTTAATTGAAGTGAAATTCAATACAAGTTGAAAAGGGCAAAATGTTTTATTTTGCATTTTTCCTAAATTTACAACAAAGGAAATGACGACGTAACCTAGCTAGTATGTTAAAATAAGTCGATCTATAGAGATGTTGATCCCGAGGATGAAGAATTTTATTTCCTGTCTTGACTTGGCTTGAAATTGTCATCAGACGTAGGGGACAGAATATGAATATTAACCATAAAACATACTACAAATATACATCCCTATAATATTCGAGTTGTCAAAAGTGTGCTAATGGCACTCCGCAGTTATTGGGCATTCGGCCCGGTGTCGTTGAAAGCAATTTACGTGTAAGCGCTCGTCCAGTGAATTACACTTCGCCTACAACAGCCGCCCATCGGGGTCAATGACCTATTGTATACCCACCCCTAACCCCTTCGCACGCCAAACTATAGCCGGCGGTTACTACTTCTATGTATTCCACTTTACTTTTAAACCGTGCTCTATTGCGTACCTCCACTGGTATGTTCCAAGGTGCGATTTATGCGATACGTTCAACATTCTGTAAATAGTATTATTAAACTATCTTAGGTGTTATATACATATAAAATTTCGCGATAGGCCGGCCGCGTATCTGTGTCGCAGGCTCCCGAGAGACGCGCGGCCATTTCGCGTCAATCTGAGCATTCGTCACGTTTCCATCGAGCATTTTATTTCTCTTCGTTATTCCGCTCTGTTTCCCGTTTTTATCAACATTTCGATGACTTTTTCAGAATGCACAACTACGTTGCATATTCATTGCGAAATAGAACAAATCGCAATGAAACAGTAAAACAGTGGCACATATTAAACAAAATTGATATCATGTAACATTGACGCACTGGGAACGTTCTAGTTATTTACATTAATTATACATTTTTTTTATTGTGGACAAGTGTTCTGTTTGTGAACTCTTTTAATATTTACCGATAAGAGATAAATCGACCCGCTGTAACAGTTTATTTCATTAATGATTTGAGGGCGGAGAACGAATGCCACTGTCATATGTTGAAATGTCGCCTCGAATTGTTCCAGGCGCAGTGGGCGGCGACGGCGACGACAGCGATGACAAGGAGAAGGAAGAGGAAGCAGAACGCGAACGGCAAGAGGCCATCCGCGAGGCCGAGGAGCGACGCAAGGAGAAGCATCGCAAGATGGAGGAGGAGCGGGAGAAGATGCGCCAAGAGATTAGGGATAAGGTGAGGCGGATTCGATGGGTGCACTTTACATTCTTAACGTGTTTTATAAATACTATTTGTAAAAATGTTTGTGCCCTGGTTAAGAGGCCGCTTTATGCAGAGCAGGACGGGTCAAGCGATGATCGGGCGCAGAGCAGTCAGAGCCGAGGGTGCTCGACCCGCTTCCTGCACTAATTGTCGCTGTCATTGGCTTTGTTGTCGCCCGAACGATTCCGCTTTGTGCGAAGCCGGGTTGTGCCCGCGAAAGTGGGAAACATTTATGTCAGAAATATTCATGTACTTTTCACACTTCTATATTTAAATTAGTAATATTTGACAGACAGCGAATACAATGAAGTTTTTCCGAATTTCAGAAGCCAAGTCCAAAAACTTGACAAAAGTCTCTATATTTTAGTAACAGATTGTGTCTATTTTGTTAAGATTTAAAAGCTAAAATATTCTTTTCTATTCAAGCGGATTTATTAAAATATTTTTGTAATCTATGCCTATTTCAAACTGGGAAAGTCAGTATATGGCTCGAGTTTTAGGACACGTTTTTAATGTGCAAAGTCGACAAAAAGCTCCGATAAAGTTTAGTAATGCAGATCTCGAACTCAAATGAGACCCATTTTAAATACGAAAACATATTGACACGAGAACGTCTTACGTTTGGAGCCCTAAGAAAATTCTTTGAAATTTATTCCACTTTTTGATGTAATGAAGCATTCACTCGCATATATTTTACTTTATAGGTTCTCAAAAAAATAAACTTTTTGAATTTTCCTTCAAAACTTTATTATGACCTACCTAGCTAACTTTATTCACTTCGGGTTGTCTTGGTTTAATTTGTGCGCAGTGAAAGAAGCTCTTTAAAAGATTACAATGCCGGTTTCAATAGTAGTAAGGTCAAAAATGGTAATAGAGATAGAATACGCGATATCCGAAAAGTTATGCGTCCATAAAGAACGAACCGCTTCGAACGCGCACGTAAGCCATAAACCTAAAAACAATCGGAATTCCGTCAAAGGAATTCGTCCCGAGCCACTCGGACGTAATTTCTATGCTGGCAATTGACGGACGCCATTTCAGAGGCAATTTTCTACAAAATGGCCGCCGCGGAAAGTCAAAGGGTGAATTAAGTGACTAGTTACAAAGAAAGTGGTCCTAATATAAAAGTCGTAAGGCTTCTGAATGTGGGACGAGACGTATTTAACGAGAAACTCTAGTAAACACTCTGTTCTTTTAAAAGGAAAAAAGGGGTAAAAGCCAACGAAAAATTAAATGTGTGCTTCTGGCTATGAAGAATTGTATTAGCCGCCATTATGGACCAAAACGGCTCTAATGAAATTTGTGAACTCGTCAAAGGATCATACTTTGGGCTAAGTGTAGTCTTAGTGCGAGCGATATTTTAATAATAGTGATAAAGGGCTTCCATAAATTATTGCAACGAATCAAAAACTGTGTATATGTTCTCAGTAAACTTTCGCTTCTGGGTTGCAGGATATATTCCATCTTCTTAGCGTATCTGAGAGTCTCGTTAAACCCCCGTTGAACCACTTCGTATAATATGAGTGACGTCAATCTATTCATAGATTGAAGTCGTGCAAAATCGGTGAGATCTCGTTATTTGTCGACTGCTTTGCTGATCGACTTGGCTCTCTCGAGTTACTCGTTACGTCTCGCTAACTAACCTTTCGGAGCCTATATTCCTATTTGATTTAAAAAATGTCCTCTGTGTTGAGTGACCACTCGTAAAAGGTCTATTAAATTGCAATCCTTTGGCTCCAAAACACATTACCAACTAACGATAAAATATAACAAGAACATTTGGATTAAACCGAGTTATTTCACATAACCAACGGGGGAAAAATATTTGAATTGCGTCACTTTTTTAAAGTGAACTTTTAAGTGACATGTTCTATAAAAAAGGTCTCGACTTACTCGATTGTAGAAAGTGATATGTTACCTCATTTTAAGTGCAATAATTAGAGTCGCCCTCACTCGGGCCACACACAATTAAAACTTTGATCAACTTTCCCGTAGTGTGAGGTTCGATGCGATATTTCTCACTTTCATACTATCACACACTTCCATATTGCTTTTGATACATAACTTTACACATTAAATATTACAATATAAAATAAACACAAAGTCCTATACTAATGTCTTGCACTTAATATGAGTTTTAGGAGAGCGTGAAGTGTTTGCCTTGCACGTTGACGGAGCAGCTTCACAAGCAAACACTATTAGCGCTGAGCCACTCCGCGCAGTGTGCGGACCTCCTTTTGATACTGAAAAGATTCAATTTGCCCAGAAAATGTACCTAACGACTAGACTACGAACGAAATAAATAACCATTTTCGTAGCGATGTCTACGAAATTTACTCGTATTTATGTCGTTTATTGTTTCATATTGATATCGCAACACTCTTTCAAATGCGAATACAAATTACCAACCGGCCCGAACCTCGCGTACATACTACGCTATAGTATTCTCGTATTGTTCAAACATTTTTGTCATCTTGACTGTTAATAACTACAAATCATTACATTTAACCAGCTAGATAAGACGAGCTGTGTCCTATCTACCGTAGACCTACTATTATGAAGCGAATGCGAGCTAATGAGAGGCTTCATAAAAGGCCGACACGCGATGACTCGTGCGGTCTCCCTACAGTTTCTAAAAGTACAATCGTAATAATGAGACTAGTCAGAGAGGCAAACGACGTTGCACTATGATACATATGTTACGGATACAGTTCATATTTATTACGAGTCGCTCGTAGCGTGTGCAAATAAAGTGAAAATCGATAAACCCATTCCGCGAGCGTACGGCTCGCAGAAAAATCACCCCGCATAGTTGCTGTGCAAGAATGTTTCCATTACGTTACTTCGAGTCGCGTTCGATCGGCGGATTGTTTTCGTTCATGAGGATATATACCGAATTTATCTTCGGATTGTTAACGGTAAGTTACAAACGGCTACAGCGTATTATTTACAATGCTGAAAAGTTTTGTGGTGACGCGAAGTTAAATACAAAACAGCCGGAGAATATAAAATGAATAGCACAATTTTTTTAACCGTATAATTTATGTGATGACACGTCATCCTCCCTCCGCCCAGAGCAATTTTCCGCCATGAACTTGCGTGTGCCCGGACGCGTCGTCGCTTATTTTACGACGTCAAACGCTGTCGGTATCGCGAGACATTTCGCTCCATTTACGAGTAGGTAGATGCACGTGAACATTACTTCAAATGAAGCTAACGCTATTCACGTTACGATACATCGACGAATCACTTTCTTATTTAAGCAAACAAATGTATTTGGAATAACGAGAAAAATAATTAGGAATAACGAACTAGAGAGACTGCAACGCACATACTGTATGTATATGTGCCTTTTATGTATTTCACATGTCTAAAATAGTATGTTAGTGCTTTGACTATCACCCACTTAGGAAATATACAATAGAAAATGAACGGTGGAATCCAATGAACGTCCTTGTACAAAAATCAAATATGGAAATCGTAATATACCTAATTTCTACAAGTGCATATTGAAACAATTCAACACCGTTTAGACAGTTCCACTGTTGCCTTGGAAATTTAAGAACGTTTGTGCACTACTGCATCCTTATTGTCCCTACCAGCGCGTAGTGCCATAATGTGATGACGAGAAAAGAGAAAAATGTTCAATCATCGCGTGTACCGGAAGCAGTAATTTAGTTGGATCTAAGCAAAAACTCGTTTTTGCGTACAACGATGTCCATCGATAAGCTATTAGATGGTGTCAGGGAGCAATTTCCACAAGATTGCGAACTAACCGCGTTACCAACTCATCTGGGCTATATTGTCGGCGACCCCTGCCTTGGCGGTTTTACTGGGATCTTTGCATTTTACGCGGAGAAGAGTTTTTTATACGATTTCCAATACAGGACTTTCCTCGATGTTTAACAGATACTTTTCCGGATAACAGTAATACACAGGCTACAAAAGAACCCGTCTCTATTTAAGGACAAATCGGAATTCAACAGTCAATCAGGAAATTCAGATTGAGTTACTCTGGTTTAGCGAAGCTTCTAAAAGATTCTAGAAAATGTAGTTCGTTGCCTTACTAATATTTATCGTCGTAATTATTTTCGTCTCTTTTTGTAAAATCACGAACGCTATCGTTGGTTATTGTTGATGAATGGCTTGTTTTCAAAAAATGATGTGCCTTTTAACTTTTAGTTAGTGTGAAGAGACCGGCGAGAAGAGAGAAGACGGAAGCAGCAATCCAGCCCCTGGATGTTAAATTGACTCTAGTAGGGAGTCCGTCTTCGTGCGACTCCCTAATCGAGTCAGGTTGACTTCTTTGTGGCAAAATTTCATCAGATATCAAGACTAAACTTTACATGCACGAGTTATAATTTTACAACACTATCTCACTTTTTTAGATATCACAATACTAAAAATTACACCAATAATGAGAATGCATAACGTCTTCCCGGCGACGACGACGCGACAGCACGACCACTAATGAGATCCCGCGGGAGTGGAGCAAAAAAATATTAAATTAAAGTAAGGCGAGGGCCTTTCATGCAAATCAATTGGAGATTAAAAACAAAGAGGATTCGCTCGGAAAAGTAATACTCCGTCGCCGTAATTAAGCCGATTAGTTCTCGTTCCCAACCGCGATTCCATTTAGTAGCCGATCGAAACTAGCCATCGGGGCGGCTCTAGCTCGGTAATGAAAGGATTTCGTATGACTGTAGAATATGAATGACCTTCGCGATAGGCCATTAGATATTCAATAATGCTCTCTTCTCTATTTTTCTTTTCACACTTCTTTGTATGCGAAAAAAGACCGAGCAATATAAAATTCAAATTCAGCAAAAGTTTTTAAATCATTATAACGAAGTAGGGATTGAAGTATATTCGAGTGCGGCAACTCCGCCCCTCTGGGAAATTACTACAAATTGTGGTAACGGATATTGCGAGCGATCAAAAGTATCGGCACAGAGTGTTCCGCTGCGTTCGGCATCGACGTCCTTTGTGATGTAGCTTCGACTCCCCGGCGGCGCATCGCCTGAGCGGTTCGAAATTATACCAAATAGCCTCTCATATGAGAATGTTGATCGTCGATTTATGTTTCGGGCGGTTTTGGATCAGAAGCTATGGCTCTTCTATGTCGATACTCTACGCTTTATGAGTGGTTCATTTACATGTAACTATTTAAAGTGCCACCCTCGGGCCCCTTCCCTCATAGGACCGAAGTCTTCGAAGTAGCTTAGGCCCACCGCGCTGCTCTAATTGGGTTGGCGCTCCGTTACCTTGGGCCTTATCTACCGATAATTTCTGTTTCAGTACAAAATTCCTAAGAAAGAAGAAATGGTGGAACAACAGCAGCAAGAACCCGACAATCCACTAATGAGGAAGAAGAAGACGCCCGAGGAATTGGCCGCCGAAGCGGAGCTCGAAGACCAAGACGAGTTCACGAGTGAGTATCGGCCGTCCCTCGACACTTTAAAAATAAATAATGAATAATACAAAGCCAGGATGTTAATTCGCGATATTTAATTTGCAGAACTGAAGAACACCATCGAAACGCAAGTGAACGAACTGAAGTCTCAAATCGAGAGCAAGTGCGTGATGCAGTGAGCTGCGCCACCCATTCACCCTCGCACACTTTTACCCCCGACCCATTCCGCTCGAACGCCCCCCAAAAATACCTTCGACGCAGTCGGCCAGTGGCGCGTTGGTGCTTGATAATGAGCAATAATATTTTTATACATTCATAATAGAGCCTCGCCGTCGATGCGTCAGGTCGAAGAGTGGCCGCAGCGGACGGACGTTAGGATAGCCCGTTTTGTACGTCGACGCTTGTGACATGTTGTTATTTACGAGTAAGTGTATAACAATGTATCGGACGCTGCACTTTGTCTCATCCAAATTCCCGCTCTTCCGGCTCTCGGCTCTTCGACTTTTGCCACTGAATCTTTTGCATGCTCGCTAACGCCGATCGCCTCCGTCAGGAAGCCACCTCGTCGACCTAGCCTTAAAGTCCACATCGAAGTTATCATAGTAAGGGCGTCGTCCTTCGCTTTCGCATGTCTAATCGTAATTGTAAGCTCGATGTTCGTTTAGAGTGTAACGTTGTAGATACGACGCGTCGTCGTTCCGTTAAACAGTTTAGAGTAGTCGACGCGAATCTGACGTTTTTCGATGTTTACGCTTAGAGTTAAGTTAACGTCGTGAAGCTGCAAATGCAAAAGATTTGTTATCGTCAAAAGCTGTGATATAAGAATAAAATAAAGTACGCCGTGCGCCCGAAGCGGCCCTTCGGTCCTCTCACTTAGCTCTTCGGTGCCTCCCTTCCGATGCGGCGCGCCGCTCTCGCCCGCTCACCGCTGCTCACCGCTACTCACCGCCGCTCATCGCTGCTCTTTCGCCGCTCATCGTTCTCGATGCGTCATCTCCTTCGGCTCATTGCTCCGTTATGTTTCCTTGTCAATTACCGCAAAGCTGATTCTATTCCATATACACTCCAAATGTAAATATGAATCGATAATTTCAGATTCTGTATAAATTCTATATTTTCGGATAACACTCCTATTTCTCGCGTACTACTGCACATCGATATATTTTCATAGCTCACTTCGATCCACTTCGCTGAGCGCTTCTAGTGTTCGTTTCAACAAGTCTTCGCGACCATCGGATCTCTATAAGCTATTTAAAACTTCACAATCTATGTAGACTAAGGTAAAGGTTAAATCTTCACAGTGTACGTGTGTTAGGCTAGGTTAATCATATACTGTAATAGTTCTATGTATGCGCATGGCAGATTAGCTAAACGGTTGTTCGTAGATATTCGGAATAAACAATAATAGTGGTAAGGTTCCACCGCACCGTTGAATTTTGAAATCGTTTTGGCAAGACCAATTTTGAATAAACTTTTGGATGCGGGGCGCGAGCCTAAAACGTCTGAGTGAGCTTTCGACCCGTTCACTTCACGGCGTAGTCGACGAATCGCGAGCAATCGGCCGCCGACTCGCGACTCTGTTCATATAGAGCTCGGACGTTTTAAAGGCTTAGCCCGCGAAATTTGTACTCCTCTTTGAAACCTGTCGCTATTCTTTCTCCTTTCCCTCTATCTCTCTGCCTGTAGACCTGTAATCTTCGTTGTTGGCTCTCACTATGTAGGTATAGTCGTTTAGAGAATTATTTTGATACGTAGCGACCTAGATGTAATGTATCATAATTAAAGTTCCGCTAACTGTCACTAATTTCAAAACGACGCCGAGCTCTCAGTGTCGACGTGTCGTTTTCTCTTCGATCGCCTTTCTGTCCACGATTCGTCGAGTAGACGCTTCGATGCCACTGTATGTATGTATGTATGTGCGCTTTAGATGTTCGGTGTATCCTGTGTAGTGTCGCGCCGCGCGTTACGATCGCTTCGCGCGCTAACGCGACGGAATTTGGGTGATATCAAATGGTTGTCGCACGATTTATTTCGTAGCTATTCGATCGGATTTAGCTTTTTGTATATAATTAGCCGATTCGACTAACTCGCACCCGCAACCCTTTCGAGCCGTTGTATTCGGATTTCGTTCGATTGAAGATATTTTATATAGACGAGGTTTATACAAGGTAGACGCGTAGCTTAGAGATAATTGTACATTGTTTGATAAATTCAGTGTGAAACTAAACTTATTTACTACGCCCGTAGAATAATTTGTATCTTAAGTGATTTGACCAATTTCAACTTTTCCTAACGAAATTCTTATGACTCGTTTACTCAGGGTACAATATTTTCTATTATCACTGTCAGTTTAGATTCTTTAAAAAGTATGACTTTTTGGCTGCGAGGTCATCTCGCGGAATCTAGTCCGACGCCTTTTTGTAACCATCCTCTATGTAACGCCCGCACTGGGTTCGACTAAATCGGGCTCAACGTTTACGACTATCGTTTCGAGACTTTTGTATATAACGTTCCTATCGCAAATTTTCGTAGACTCGCACCTGAAATCGACTGAAGACCTTCAATTCGGTGACCTAAATTATTATATTATTGCACTTCCCACTTCCCGACAAACGTTTTCTGCGACTCACTTGAAATGAGACAGCAATAAAGTATTACGCATAGAGTAAGGATCGACAGCGCCGACGGCGAGTAGGTACACGTTAAGTTAGAGAGTAGGCGGTTTGGAGACGACGACACTTCGTACTGCACTGACACAAGAGCTTCGAGGCACGCAGCATTCATTGTTGAATATATCGATATTTTTGTAGACTTTTCCGATAGAGGCGAATCGTTCGACAGCAAGTCTCGTTTGATCACTCGAATGCACACGGGACGCGGCGGGGCAGAGCCGACTCGGCTCCCTCGTCGCGTCTTCGTCCATAGGATAGTCGCTCGGCCGAGTCGAGTCACTCGGTGCGTTAGCTTTTAATATTAGTGACATCTAGTGTTAAATTTGCAAGTTTACCGAAATTAAACTAAATATTTAAACGTTGCGTACTAATAACGTAATCCATTGAACGAGCGCGAACCTGGTTCGCGATCGCGTTGTATTGTTATTTAAAGAGAAGTTAGTAGTTTATCAAGCATTACGTTGACTTAGAGTAATGGAGGAAACGAAAAAAGGTTATTGTTGAAAATGTTTTTAGGTAAATAAATCGGATTGAGCTTCTGTAAAAAACCTTGTTGTTATCGATAAGTTTCGATTCGTCCGAGGCGCGACGACGGAGGCCGCTCCGCTTCGGCCCTTCAATTTCAACTGTCTCTACTCTCACTTACGTACTTTCGAATAGAATAGGCTTTTTCGCTACTTTATCGTTTGTATCTAACTGTTGCGATGCATTGTTACTTTGATTTACTCCTATTAGTTATGTATAAAGTTTAGAGGTGGCCATTTTCATATTAACTTATGTGAGTGTGAAAGTGGTGTATCTACCATGTTGTTAAATAATAATAAACTACATTGTACCACCGACTTCTTTTATTTATTCTCCTTAATTCGACATGTTATGTACAATACAAACTAACTATTAACAGCTTATTCTAACAGAGTCATCGTATCCCAGACTCTTTTGAATTTTGTATGCAGTCCGGACAGTATGGATAGCAAATCTTCGAAAGTCGATGTAATTAAACCGACATTGGGATTTTCATCTATGTCGATGAGAGCGTCATCTTTCTCGACGTTTGTTTGTAAGGCATTGACGTAACCATCATTTTCTGGATCTTCGTAATCATTGTTAGTCCTACTAATGTCGATGCCTAGTGGTATATCGCTGATTTTCTTTATTTTCTGCAAAACTTTTGAAAATTGTAAACTTTCTTTACTGCTTAGATCTATAGAATTTTGGGAAAATTTCGAGAGCCCTTTACCCGAAATACTTCTCCGTTTTCTTAAAGCTGCTTCACCGCCATCGACTCGTTGGCTACGAATATTACTATCGACATTTTTCTTTTTTACAACTACAAATGGCCTGGAAATAAAGTTTGCATTGATCGACTTTTTCTGTTCATTTCTTTGCTTCGGATTCCTTATATCCGTCTGGTTTTGTAAAGGCCTTTTTCTTAGTGCCACTTTCTTTAGTGATCCTACAGGTCGTTTTAAACTATCAGTGATACCTAGTAATTTGTTTATTAGAGTAGACCCGTAAGGCATTCGACGCATTATTTTGTTTCTGTGAAGTAAACTTTGGTCCCTTAAGATTGACACGTGACGGCGGAGTCTACTTAAGGCATCATTATTCATTTTTTCCTGGAAAACCGACTGCATTTTCTTTAAGTCTCTGTTAATACTATCAACACGGTCCTTTAGAGCTGCATTTTTATCTAATGCGATGTAGTTGTCAGGTACCTTGAAAATTTCACCAAGAGGATCTGGGTCTCCGGTAGCAAGAGATCTTTTTACCTTTAGCAAAGGAGGCTCTCGGGTCGAGGTCACAACGTCAAGGCTTTCCTCACCGTTTTCCTCGTCTACATTACGGCACGCTTCTATTTGAGTGTTAGCTAGGACCCAAAATCCAAACGACTTCGGAGGAAGGGTGATGAGTAATGTCTTGTAAGGACGAACCCGTTTAACCACGGGTCTGATATCTCCTTCGTAATACATGGCGTGGCTGTTTACCACAATATTTCTGTTGATAGAATTATAATACGTGTGTGTCAATAACGATACTTCACGAGCAATGAATAACACCGTAATTTGAAATACTCACTCGTTTTCATCGTGACCGAGAATAAATTGCATAATGTCGCCTCCCTCTTCCCTTTTGGACATCTTGAGGGAAAATCTGGCCGGTTCATCGTCCATGTTGGCTCCGTAAAACGTCAAGGCACCGGATATCGGTTTGTGATGAAGAGAAGTGCAATGTGCGAAGAGGGTCGCCTTTGAAATGTCCACGGCGACGTCTAACACTCGTGGGCCAACGAGGTTTTTAAATAATAAAGCCATGTAGAAGCTCTAAGAAAGAAGATCGGTAGTATTGATAATTTTTTTTTTTATTCAAAATGTCTACAAAACTAAGCTTTAATATATAGATATGGTATAAATGGCTTTATACAAGTAAAAAATCTTAAGAATTAAGCTTTTAAATATGTAGACACGACATAATATGTTGGATACTTGCCGGCCTCTCCTCAACATACGAGTATACATAGAAAGAGAGAGACAGAAAATAGCAACATAACCGATTTTGTTTGTTTGTTAATATAATTATTTTTGTAACTGTTTTTTATCAATTTGAAATATTGTGAGGTACTAAGTAAAATCCAATGAGAATAAGTACGAGACAACCGTATACGTCCACTTTCTTTTCTAAGGTGCATTTTGGACTAAATGGCCGCGAATAGGAAGTACACATTTAAATAAAACAGTCTTAATAAAAGTGTTTAAAAGCATTTTGGACTTCATGTCAAATAAAATGAAAATAATTTACCAGAGTAGGCTCGTGCAGTTCTTCCGGGAGTAGGTCTCTGTAGTGCACGGAGAACCCGTTGCGCGCCGAGAAGCCGAGACTCGCCAGCCACTCGGCAGCTCGCTGCAACTCTGTCTCGGCACTGGAGTGCTCGGTCAGCCACAGAGGCACGTCGCTCCGCGTCAACAGTCTCAACAACTTCGCTCGATCCCTTTCTGCCATCCTCTCTAACTCTCGAGATGAGGAATTCCTATTACAAAATGTATTCCATCAAAACATTGTATTATTCTATTTTCTTTATGCGGGACATGGGACGCAGATTTGTGACCGTTTAAGGCATGTATAACTGAGTCACTTCATATCATTTTATACTTCATATCACCTTTATCTAAACAAATATTATAAAGCTGAGTTTTGTTTGTTTATTTCAACGAGCTAATCTCGGAAACTATTCGTTTGAATTGAAAAGTTCTTTTGTGTCGGTTGTAACATTTACCGAGACCAACAGGAGGAAAGAAACAAAGGGAAAATATCTTTACTAATATATAAAGCTGAAGAATTTGTTTGTTTGTTTTAACGCGCTTATCTCAAGAACTAAGTACGAACAGGTTCGAATTTAAAAACTTTTTATTTTAATTTTTTTTAGTTAAGTTACTTTGGTGCTGGTTAGAACATTAATCGAAGAAGGTTATAGGCTATAAAACATCGTCCTATGACTAATAGGAGCGAAGATACAGCGAGAACTGTGTCAAAAATTGGGAAAATTATTCATAATTATCGGTTTCCGAGGCGTACGCTGCAAAAACGGTTTAAGATATCTAAAAAATATGTAGGAAAGAATGATCCCTGTTTAAATGATCTAAAAAAAGTCCGCGATGCTATAGGTCTATCTTTAAAGATTATCCTCAAGAGAACTAATTATTTTATCCATATTTTTCAGTCCCTTTAAACTTTTTAAAGATGAATCATTTTCCCAGCCTTTCCACATTTCCCATAGATTATTGGCTCACTTTGGCCGTAGCCTGAACTTTTATAGCTTAAGCTTGTGGTTTTGTTTTGTCCTTCGAAGCCAGCTATCGTGCTTACCCGTTCAACATTATGGCGTCCATCATATCGTTGGAGAGCGTCACGTAATCCTTAAAATCGCTCTTGGAGTCAACTTGGAGACACTCGGTGACGTCGCCGCCGACTACCTTCCACCGTGGCCGCGGGAAGGTCTCGATTATCACTCGCAGGGTTTCCAAGTCGTTAAAGTATTCTTCGATAGATTGATTCTTACATTCTAGAAAAAAAAACAGCGATTAACCAATGCAACCATGATCTGCAGATCTATGAACTATGTATGTGTATGTTATTTGAATGTTTTACCGTCGTAAACACTCAATTACAAAACTCAACTACGTCACGTCACTCATACTGATAGATTTCATTGAATTTGGGTTATACTTAACATCTAATTGAGATGCGAGGTATCTTGGCTCGGATTGGATTTATGGATGCACACCCACTCTTTCCATCTATGTACGGCAGGTATCAAGTTTCCCAACTCAATTCCTAAAGGCGTTTTGCGATGCTGCTTGGGTTGTCAAATACCTCACCGTAGTCGAAGTAAATAAATAAAGTAAAAGTGACGGGAAAATGTCGAAAAGATTTCCTAATTACAACCGATCAGTTGAACGAACAAGTAGCAATTTTCTCCGCCTATCGTTTAACATACCTACTTTTCAGCAAATAATTGAATGGTACGAACCGTATCCCAACTGCCAGAAGATGTCGTCGATCCCAAAAGTGTCGGCCGCTGTGAGCACGCTTAGCGCTGTGTTCGGGTCCCACATCCCAGACTCCGTCTTCTCGACGGAGTTGAGCGCGAAAACGATGTCCAGTTCAGTATTGTTAGCCCACTTCGCGAACCTTTGCCATTGTCGAGGCGCCACGGTTCGGATATCTTAAGAAATAAGAACAGTTAGTAAAACAACTTCACGATAATTCATTACAAATGTATGGGGATTACTATTACGAAAACTATCGCCCCGTTCGCTACCTCCGCCCTGCGCGCTCTGTTTTTTCAACGAATCTCGTAAAACGATACTGTTGTTGGCGAACGTAAGCCGAGACGTGGACGGACCGGCCACTCGAAGGTAAGCCGGTGCCAACGCCGAAGCCATACAGGAGCACTCCTTGCTGCAATAAAAAAAATATTTAAAAACAAAGAGCCCAAAGGCTTCGTTAAATTTACTTTTTTTTCGATTGTCAGTTCGTTCCGACAGGGTACAACGGACAACAAAAACCTTTTAGAATACACCTGTAGTTCAATAAGAAAATTGATAATTAAAAAAAGGATATAATTGAAGTCGACCTGTTATATTTTCCGATAGATGCGAAGAGATGGGTGGGGTCGATGGCGAAACTTAAGAAGCGCTCGTCCACTAGGTTAACATGTCTGTCAGTATTTATCTGCACATTATAAATATCACAACGAACGGCAGTCAAACAGAACACGAATATGTAAAACGACTCCATTTTTTAGACTAGCGCACGTTTCAACTGAAATGTTTATTTATTAGATACGAAATGGCATGTCGCAGCTAGCGTACAAAATCCGTTAAGTGGTGAAGTCTGAAATTCCGTAAAATGACATCTTTTTAAACTAACGCGATTAAACTAACAAAATTATAATTCAAATGTTTCAAAATTACTATAGGCATTTACACTAAAAATTAATTGCTTCATTTAACCCGAGAAGAAGTATATAAAAAATAAAGATTATTAGAATAGGTTGAATAGAAATCGTGATACCCACATAATATCTCGCCTACGAATAAAATCGATAATTCAATTGCCGAAGCAGTAAGGTTTCTTAGTTATTTAACATGTGCGTAATATATTGTTCTTTATAATTAAACGCAATTAATAAAAATATTTTGATAGACCAATAAACTAATTATATTTGATCATACTCATATACGTAAAGTTTGCGAATTTGTATAAAAAGCTATTTGTAATGGCTTAAAAATTAATTAATTAACTGCGACACGATATTTGCAAGCAACAACAAAATGGCGCAAACTGCGCAATATGGAATAATGTTGTTTTTATACATAACATCTAAAGAGCACGTAGAAGCGTGCAACGCTTATTCAGCATTTTACAAATTTAAGGCATTACAATAAAATAATTAAAATGTGTAGAACTCTCGTAAACTGCAGACAAAATTTGAGGCATTTAGAATTTTCATTTTCAGGGGGAGGTTTATTCCCTTTATAACGTGTACGTGTATTTTTTTTAACGTATATAAAAATGTTTCACGTCGATCTCTTTTAATTTTGAGACATAGAAAAGCAATAAGTAATTGTGATAACTAATCTGAATGACTGAATGCTTAATTTCGGTACCTTTTAAAAGTGGCCGAGCAGGGAAGATCATCCGAAATCGGTCAATCCATCTCAAAGGCGTTTAGCTAGTATCTAGTAGTCGCGCGAACCTAATAGTCACCATTTCTTTAACCGTGATTCACTCAATTTAGTCTCAAAAAATAGATTTTTATATATGTACATAGGAAATCGAAATGCTCCGTTAGGCCGTTTTAAGCTACCTTAAGATTTTTCGTCGTTTCCTGTTGGGGGGTACATTTTTTTATTTTTTTTTTCTATTCCACCAGAAGCAATTACTAAAACCATAGAGAATCTTTAAAACAAATATTGTTTTGTTTAAGTTTACCGCATCATCGCGAGAAAATGCTAGTATAGGCATGATACAATGTACTTTATAATATTTAATTATTTACTATAACGTAATATGTATATATATAAAAATATTATAATATGTATTACAGACCTATATACTTCGAAATTGATAATTGACATTAGCTTCAATAACTGACAAATGACAGCAACAATGACAAAATTAGTCATCAATCATGTATTATTCGTAAATTGGAGGGCCTTGAGAATTTATTTTTATTTATCTCGTTTCAAAATATTATCATAATTGCATACCTATCGTTTTTTTATCGGGAAACATTCGCGTAAGTCAAAAAATATTATCGATAATTTTTGTTTCACGATGTGCCCAACTTATTAAAAAAAATGTGAAATTTATTCGTCTCGACATTGCCGATATATTCGTAATACTCAATGTAAAAATGGAGAAAGTAAAGGAGGACACTAAAAAAGACGATGCAATTGGACAAAAAAAGGAAGCCCCGCCTGGTATGCAGAAACTGTGTCTGGTTTGTGGTGACAGGGCGTTAGGGTACAACTTCAATGCGATCTCTTGCGAGAGCTGCAAGGCGTTTTTCCGTCGAAACGCGCTCACCAACAAAGAGTTTAAGTGTCCGTTTTCAAACAATTGTGAGATCACAGTGGTAACGCGACGATTTTGTCAAAAATGTCGTCTCGAAAAATGCCTAGCTGTAGGCATGGTCAAAGAGTTTATAATGTCCGATGAGGATAAAGCAAATAAGAGAAAAAAAATAGAGGAGAATAGGGCAAAGAAACGGCAAAATGTGGAAAGCGAAGAAGTGCCAAATAGTAAAGTTAGGAAGGAGGCCCCACCGCTTGCAGAAACAACGGTGCAATATGATGTGCTAAACAGCACAACTTGTAGTCCCCATAGCACTGTACAGTCTCCATTGAGCACAGACATAGATAATTCTTTAAATTCACCACCCTTTTATAGTTACAATGTGGCCACTCAGAATTGTGATGCTCAGTACAGGGTGCGTCCCATTGATGAAAAGACAGTGATCCATAGAGCTGTTTATGAGCAACGGCTAGGATATATTAGTGATCAGGTTAACAGTGCGTATGGTGAGCCTCTTAAACAAAATAGTATAAGGTTTGTGATCTCTTATGTTATTATTTTAACATAAATTTAGAGACAAAAAGTTAAGCATATTTTGCAATATTATATATCTGATATTATCAAATTTTATAGAATAATTCTAGTGATTCATTAAATATCCCATTTATATTACAATTAAATTTGTAAATTAATCACTGGATAAAAGTGACTTAACAAATTTTACCTTATTTAAGTCTGCAGTAGATGATAATGGGTGGTATTAAAATAAAGTCATTAGATTGTTGGAATATTAAACTTGACAAATTAATTATTTAGCATTTGTGGATCCAATATTGAGTTATGAAATTTCTTAAGAAGAGTGAGGAAATATAAAGACTAGGCAGTTTGTTTCAGTAGATATTAGCCCCTGTGTTTAATTTTACAGGTCAATTTTAACAAATGGTAAAGCATTAAATAATGAAGTAATGAATGATCAGATATGTGAAGAACTGCCGTCCACAAGCAATGATGCTGACGTCAATAAGGCGAGAGAAATACTTCAGGACGTCGAAAGGTATAGAACATGACGTGTTCACATAAGGGAAATAAAATTAACTTGATAATTAAATAAAATCAAAATTAATAATATTGGAATATTGTATAAGTCATATTATTATTTTCTATTGGGGACACTGATAGAGGACAAGATGATCAGTCCACACGTTCTGCTAACTACTTAACACTTTTCCCATTTCTCCTTTACGGAGGTCATTATAGAGTAAAATGAGTATTAAAGTAAGAATAGTAAAATAAAAAAGCTACTTAGTTACGATTAATTCCTTATGAATTACAGAATAGAACCAAATTCAATGGAGTCCATATTGTGTGAAGCAATTAAACTAGAATTTGAAGCGTACACCTCCTTGACCAACTCCAGTGGATCATCTAGAGAGCTGAATGAGGTACTTACTATGTGTATTTAAATAAAAAAACTTTAACAGTTTAAAACGAGATATATTTTAGTTAAACTTGTTTGAGAATTATCTTTAACTACGGCCCGATATTCGGATGCTTTGCAGCGGCCATGGTCACGGAGAGACTGTGTAATGTGCTAAAAATTAAATGTTTGATGACATCTGAAATTGTACAACACAATTAAAAAACTCAAATGTTATAGGTGGAAAGAGCAAAGCTGAATGAGCTGATTGTAGCTAATAAGGCGCTCAACGCACCCATCGATGATGATGTGTCAGCCCTTATTGGAGACACTGCTGGTTTTAAGGTAAGAGGGTACTTTACACCAGGGCTTAAAGTTTTTAAGGAAATGGAATGGTATAATTCCATTCTTTGATCAGTGATTTTGAATAATTCTTTGGAATAAATTATTGATAGGCAATGGAGAACAAGCACGATCCTCGGCTAGTGACCATCGTGAATCTGACGGCCGTTGCCATCAGACGTTTCATCAAAATGGCTAAAAAGATCAACGCTTTCAAGAACATGTGCGAGGAGGACCAGGTTAGGTTTACTACATTATGATTTATTTATTTCCAATATGTCACGAATTCGGTACACGAAATTGTATACATTGTTATAAGGACCCAACACATCTTAAACTAAAGAATCTTATATTTAAGAGTGATTGCTACTTTTCAGTCGAGAAAATGAAAGTTTTGTAGCTGAAACGAACGCTGTTTGATGACATTAATATCGTTCCAGGTGGCGTTGCTGAAGGGCGGTTGTATAGAGATGATGGTGCTGCGCAGCGCAATGACCTACGACGGACAGGGAGACCAGTGGAAGGTAAGTGTACGGACAAACGCCCGTACAAAATTACTTTATACTTATTTATTATAATATTATTTGAAGCAAAGCTAGCATAAATTGTAATCCATGTCAATGTTATGCACACTCAAATGTTTATATTGAGAGCAAATATTACAAGGTTAGCTTAGTGAGCGTCCTATTTTCCACTTTCTTGTAAATTATATTAAAACAATATTGATAGGAAATAAATCACACACTACAGCACTACAGCACTCATTGGGTTTGGTTAACTTCGCCTCCCTCTTAAACTTATCTCAATCTTAACCTTTACCACATCAAAGCTGTTAACTCTACAGCATAACGTTAGCAAGTACATTCACGTATACTTTTCCGAACTGTTATACGCAACAGTCTCTGGTACCCGAAACTCGGGAGTATACGCTAAACTGTACACTACAGTAAGTTTTACAAACTTCGAATAAACAGGTTCCCTTCCGATTTGTTCTTTGCTTAGCATCATGAGCTCTTAAGTATTGTCTGTAGTTTACGCAAGTAGTATTCATTAACAAAAACGGTTTTGACGACTTACACGCAGAATATATTTAACTGCGTCGACGGCTGCTTCAAAGCGTCCTATACGTCGGGTCGTCGTTAAAACCGTTAAGTCTTTTATTTAAATATTACGAGCTCTCGTTTAATGGATAATACTCGCCCCTCAACGTTATCTATATTCTTCTTAAATAAATGTACGCTATCGATAACGCGACGTATCGCCTTTCAGCTACCTCACAGCCAGTCGTGCTTCGGCAGCATCAGGACCGATGTTCTGAAGCTGGCGAACGGCAACATCTACCGCTCCCACGAGGCTTTCATCCGTTCCTTTCATCCCAAATGGCGGACGGACGAACAAATCATTCTTATCATGTCTGCCATATTGCTGTTCACTCCGGACAGGGCGAAGGTCGTTCACCGAGATGTCATCAAACTCGAGCAGGTATTATTAAAGACGAGGACTCTATCCCCCTTAGGAATATTTATTACAAGCCACTCCCACCATAACTCTGCGATATCTACTCTTGTACGCAAATACATTGATATTATCATTTTCTTCAGTAGTCTTATAAATTCAACACAGTTGTGATTTTTAACAGTTAAAACAAGAGAGGAATCAGCTAGACGTTACCTCGCAAATCGGTAGATAATTGACTAATGTAACACAATTCCAGAACTCGTACTACTATCTCCTCCGACGCTACCTGGAGAGCATATACCCGGGGTGCGAAGCCAAGTCCACCTTCCTCAAACTCATCCAAAAGACCGTGGAGCTGAGACGTTTCGCGGCGGAGGTGACCGGAGTGTACCTCGACGTGAACCCCATCGAACCCCTTCTCATGGAGATATTTGACCTCAAACACCACCCCGCTTAGTCGACGCCGGGAGGCGCCGACGCCTCTCGGATGGGTATGCTCGGTTTATAAGTTTCAGTGCTACCTCAGGTTTATCACATTCTCACAGGGTAAGTAGACGGTCGTGATGGGTCAATTGTGGCATTGCCACGACGACCCTTCGTCTAAAGACATTCATCACGATTGTTCACATCATTTGTATATAGACCATTCGCCGAAACGACGAAACAGAGCCTTTTGCTTCCTTGTTTTTTGTAAAGAGCCACGCCACAAACTCGTGTCTGTAAATGACCGTTACTTAGTTGAGGCTAAGTGTTATTTCCATCGGCCATTCTGTGTGTCTGCTAAAGGCCCGGCCTGACTTGGAGGTCTGTCTGTCATATATTTATATTTTCTTAAATTATTCGTCGGGCACGATACCACGATAGTGTTATGGTTTTTTATTGATCTCAGATTTGAGTACCTTTTATAGCAAGGACGATAAGAATTTTAAGACATCGAGAGAAACGGAAGGCTCATCTTGTGGCGTAGCCCGATAACCTCCCAGCATTTATCTCGAAAGAGATTTTTAGTTATTTTGTACGGTGAGACGGAATCGCCTTTTTACAAACTATTCTTATTCAGATCACAATATTAATAATTTAACTATTATTATTTTTACGCCTATTTATAAAATGTTATAGAGTAATTTGTAGGATCATACCAAAAATTATGTTTACGTCAATTAAATCGGAGCAAGTTTAGTTTTTATTTATGCGTAAGAGATTCGTAAAACTATTTTTATATTCTTGTTGTTAGATACATAACGTGTATTAAGAGTTTATATTTCTAAGAGAATAAAATATTTCGTTTAAAGCGACCTGTTTTATTGACGAAGAAATCAAAACAAACAAAAAGAGCACTCCCCAACAAAAATAAGTATTCTGCGCAAATCAATAAAATAGTTAAGAACTAGGAATCTTACTATCCTAATATTGCCATAGTTAAAATGAACTGACTAGGTTTCTACCATAACTGTAGTATTTGTTAAAAGTCTAACCAGCTGAGCAACCGAAGTGACATTGAACGATCCACTTTGCTACAGAATCTCATTGGTTCTATCTAACAATGAATGACACACCTAATGCTAAACTACATAATACTAAACAACGAAATTCGGTATAAGCTATTCCTTCCCAAGTGCTAATTTCATTTCCAAAGTATAGCTTTCATCCCCTTCTCCGCCTTCGCACTTGTCCGCGTCGACGCAATCTTCGAATACGTCGTTCTCGCAAGCGTCATCGTTTTTTCCATTCGTGTCATCTTTTACGACGATATCATTACATTTGTCATCGTGTCCGATTCCAGAGTCGTCGGCTTCGTCGATCGTGATCATCTTCTCGACATTGTCTTCGGTGAGGGTGTCTTCGTATGACGTGTCATCGCTCGGCGTGAGCGTCGCGTCGTGGTCGCCGTCTTCTACGATCGACTCGGGCGGACTCGGCACGAAGTGTACAAATTCACCTGCTCGCCACCTCTGTTCCGCTAAATCGATGTGAGCGTCAATTATTTGAGATACTTCCGGTAGCTGAAAAGTCAGTGAAATTTGAATAAATGGCTTGTCCCCACTGCTAACTAATTTAGGTGTAATATTATTCAAGTATTTAAGCTCACATAAGCAAAGATTTCGTTAAAGTGGACCTCACAACTGTCACATTTGTATGTAGTATACTTTAAACTATATAAAATTCTATCTATAGTTTACGCGAGTAGTACACATTTAAATAAAACACTTTAACGGTTTAAAACGCGATAAGTCGGGCCGAAGTTAAAAATCATTTTCAAATAAGTTTAACTAATATATCGCGTCTTAAACCGTTAAAGTGTTTTATTTAAATATATACAATTCTACTGATATCGATCTAAACAGAAAAAGAAAGCGATCGACGCACAGTGTACTGATTGTCGAGCTGTCCAGAGATGGTCTCGATGATGGCGTTGGTCCTGTTGTCGACCCGGCCCGCGTGCGAGGAGACTGCGCCGCACCGCCTGTAGTACTCCGCCTCCTCGTACCGCTGGGTTCTGTCCAGGATTTCGGCGGCCACTGACTCCTCGATTCTCGCATTCTCCTCCATGTCCGCGTAATTCGTGCCTGACAGAAGATCGAACGTATTAAAGGTAAAAATTCGTCCTTCCCTTTAATTCGGCAGTGTTAATATAACTATTTCTATACCACACCTTGGGACGGAAACCTTTTGTCTTCATAGGAGTTAATGGCGTCAATGATTGACCTCTTCGCCTCGTAATCTGATGTGCTCGGCTCTCGTATCTGTCGTGCTGGAGTTAGCATTTTATTGTTTAGTGTTCGATAGACGTAAGATACGGTTAGCCTACATTGAGGTTATATAGTATAAAAACAGTTTGGAGGGCCCGAGGGGCTATCGAGCCCCCATAGTTAGAGACAGGCCTGTGCAACGTGTGTAACAAGGGCGAGTATTTGGCGAATGTACGACGTCACTTACAACAGTGGATTGTTGATGCTAAGTGCTGACTATTTCTTAATTATTGCGCCAACCTACCATGACTATCTTCCACATTTTCATCACCTCTCTCCCGCTCGCGGTTTACAGCTGTTTTAGGTCGGTTGCGTTTGGGATCTTGTTTCGCCATTTCGTCGAATTCACCACTACTATTCGAGTCACTGTCTATGTTTATTGATTGCGTGTCTTCTGATAGAGCTACAGAATCAAAGCCAAAATATACGGCACGCGAGTTAAGCTCAAAACCTTATCAATTTCAGGAGAGAAGGGGTAGGCCAAATCAAAAAATAGCTTCTTACTCGTAAGATTCTTATCCTAAATAACCCCCTATTATGAATTTTTTAAACATTAGTTATTAACTATTTTTTTTTTTAATAACATCTGCGGACGTGACTTAAACGCCCAAAAGTGATTGATAAACTCACGCGCAGAATCAATTTGTTCCTCTCCGATTTCATAATGGACATCGATTGGCTTTTGTTTGTCGACATACTCAAACAGAACTGCGCCAGGCACATGGGTGAGTTTTATTTTGTTCGGATCTGAAAAGGCATAAGTTGTAAAGAAAGACCGATCTATCTGACTGGCCTATCGTAGTAGAATTGGACCTGTAGGAAAACCATTTCAACGATAACACGATTAGAATTGATTATTTCTTTGAAACTCGAGGTCAAAAAATTCAAGAAGGCGTATCTAGGAATCCCGAATGATCGCCGACCCATTGGCCAGCTCAGATACCGCTGGTCAGTCGTCGTGGTTCTGGAGCACAATACCCACTTTGGGCCGCTGCGCCAGCCGAGTAAGTTTCTTTGTCACCTGGTCGCTCCCCCATAGTGAGCTGGCTAAGCGCGATGCGGTCGAAAGCGTTGTCCTTCTTGTAGGTAGTCACATAGCTCTTTTCCGCCACCTCATCCGCCGGGACTCTCTCAACGCTCTTGTGAAAATCGTCCATTATCTTCTTATCGTAGTGCTTCTACAAAAAATAAAACGATTATTACTTAAAAATTGTTACACAAATAAACTATATACTTTAAATATGATTTCACAGCTATAACTGCCAGACTGTCTACAACAAGGTACAAGGTACATACAATCGCCTGTTTTAAGCTTTAACAGTACATATTTAATTTTATGTATTTCCATTAGAAGAAAAATGTTTTCTACCATCGGGTCGACAGCTGGTTCTCCCCGGGCAATCCTCGCATCCCTCTCGATCTGCTCTCGTTCTAACTCGGCAAAAATCTCCATGTCCTCGATGCTCGGCTGCAGTGCTTCGTCGCTTGTGTCCACCAGATTTTCATTAGCGAGGAAATTGATTAGAGCTACACCATCACCTTCACTCTTTTCAGCTAGAACATCGAGGTTATCGTCCATACAAAACTTCTGTCTGCACGGATCTCTGCGTTTTTTATAATGCAGATTATTAAACAACAGCCTTTGTTATTTTAAAACATTAAACATTGTTAATTTATTACAGATACATAATAAAATAAGTGATATTTTGGTGCCTCAAATTGATAAATTAAAGCAAAGGATATGAAATAAACATAAAAATCCTTCAAGCAATCAAATTCGAAAATGACCATTTTCAAGACTAAAGCGTAACAATATTTTATTGTATGTATCTTAGGACTTATTTGCAAAAACTTCCGCCAAAATCATTAAACCCCGAGGGGATCATTGGCACAACAGGAAAATTACTAAAATAGCAATAAATAAATTACCGTTTTGCTTACGCTCAACGCCTTCGGAGTCGAAGATATCAAGCCGCTTATTTTTATATTGTTCATTGCTCTTAATATCGTCTTTGTTCTCAGTTTTTGATTCATTGTGGTTGTTACTATAATTGTCTTCACAGTCTGGTATTTGTTTGTCATTTTCTTTTATTTCTATAATTTTCATCCCTTTATCGTTCTTATTCTGTTCTAGGAATTTGGACTTGGAAACGCTACATTTTTCGATGAGCAGTTTCTTGTCAAGGTCTATTATAGCACTTTCAGTTTCCGTTATGTTTCTCTCCATTTCTTGTCTTACAACAAATTGTGTAGTGTTTTCAGATTTTTTGTTATACTCGTCAATTATTTCAATTAATGGTTTTTTCCTTTCGTCTTGTTGTGGAGATTTAATATTATCTATTTGAGTTATCTTTGTATTTAATGTCTTGCGGCCTGTAATTTTTTATAAGAAAGCCCTCCACAAGCGTTCGAACGTCGATTTCATATCAGCGCCTGCACAGTACTGCATTAAACATATTACAAGTTAATTTAAACAGAGTCTTGATATAATATATACTCCACAGTAGATGTTTCCAATAATTTATTTTATTTTTTGTAACAGCAATATTTTATCGTCGCAATCCACACATGGACGGAACACACACTGTTTGCAGGCGACAGGTATCGGAAAGCCACTATGACGCTTTGCAGACGCTGGCACGACGTCGACGTTCGAAAAACGCTATTGTTAACGAAAGTACCATCATGATTGGCACCACCTATTGCCATTCAGTAAATGTTACTCACCGTCAAAACATTGCTTAGATTTTTTCGAGGTCGTGTGTGAGCCTTGATTAAAAAGCAAGGCGTTAAGAGCCTGAGCATCAGACGAGAATTGCCTGCGATGTAAGTGAGTGTTATGATATTGAATGTAAAACCAATAAGTATAATGTTTGTTCTTATTAAGAGTTAACTCACATATTTCCCAATGCCGTCGTCGGTGTTGGTGGTTTACAAAAACCAGGCCAATACGAATTGGCTTCATTCTGGCTCTCGTCTCTCAACTCTTGTACTAATGCTTTTCCCTTTTCAATTTCCGACCATTCTATCTTCGATGTTGATTCACCTAGAATAGAAATTTTGTTCAAATGTATATATTTAAGGGCAGTGCATACTCAAAGACGGATTAAAATGGCGGAACAGCGTAGACGCCCTCTGCCCCACAACTGAGGACATTCAGTCACGTAAGTCATATTTAACGATAAAGTTTTGAAAAATAACATACCATCATCGTCATTATCGATATCTGACTCACTAGAGTCCTCACTAGTGCTATCCTCTGCTTCTGAGGCAGTTAACATATCGACTGCTACCCCGTCTCTCGTTTCTACTATAGCAGGGCCAAATTTATCTTCTAAAATCGATGGATTTTCTTCTATGTCAACTTGTTCCTCCTCCTGTTAAAATAACCATTAACAAAGACAACTATTAGTTGCAATCAATGATTAGGACAATATGATAAAATATATATAGCGACGATACGAAGAACATTATAATATTATAATGTTCGAACCTTTGGTGGAAGTCCTAGCTTCTCTCTCTCTTCTCGCTCTCGAGCCTCCCTTTTCGCTTTGTTTTCATCTCTCATCCTAATTAAATATCTAACGCTTTCCATCACTTTTTCTTGATCGCGCGCTATCCACCTGCAATACAATGCAATCCAATCTTACGGCGACCGCTGTAATCTATTAAAATGAGTTAAGTTAGGTTCTCACCGTTTTCTTTCAGCGATTTCTTCTTGTACTCCTCCGCGTTGCCAAGCCTCAGCACACGCACGGTCTCTCGGAAATACGGGTCGGTTGTCGAGGTTAAGCAGCTCTTTAAGTCGAAGAGTCAACGTTTTTCGATAAGCTTGGATGTTGCGAACAACAGGGTTTCCCGTCAGGACCAATACTATACAATTATGATCAATTTATTCGTGAAATAAATAATGTATAAACTATAATTATGTTGAAGTAGAAATATTTTTTGTTTAATACCTTTTAAGATATTCATATCGGCCAATATGTCGATAATAAGAGGATCTTCCAAGCGGTTGTATGATAAATCCAAAACAGATAAGTTCCTACAAGTCCTCAAATGATCGAGATCCGCTGAAATAGTTTTGCTCTTTGTTTAGTTCTCCGCTTGCGGGCGGAAATATACATGTTATGGCGTAAAAAGAAAAGTAGCAGATAAAGTTTCGCCACACTCACCCGCAGTAGTGAGCATATTATGTCCGATGCTCAAGGTGTGCAGATCGGGCACCACATCCAAGTTCTCGATCTTTGTCACAAAATTGTGATCTAGATTTAATGTGTCCAATTTGGGACAACCGTCCAAGTTTTCAATTTTTCGCACAATATTGTAATGTAGATAGAGACACTTCAATTCTGACAATGTATCCAAGCCCTCGATTCTTTGTATTCCATTATTTTCCAAAAATATGCATTTTAGACCTGTATATTCTTCGAGGTTTTCGATCTTAGAAAATCCCTGACCAGAGTAAAAGGGTGTTAAAGAGGGTTTACCGATGCTGTAATTATTAAAGTTATAAAATTTTACCTTAAAATGTAAATATAGTATGTCATTAAGATAAGGAGTGCAGTAGAGTTTGTGCTGCTTGCAGTGATTACGTATAAATTCTTTTGTCATTCTAGGACCTCTCATCTTTTCTTCCATTTCTTTTTCCATTGTAAGTTTGAATTCCACGTGTCTTTTTTGGTCTTCTTCTTTTTCCTTTATCTTTTTTTCGTCATTTTCATCTTTCTTGTCTGAAACTAAAACAAAGTGTAAAAAAATTTAGCGATTACTTGCCGAAATCTATTAGGATAACATATTACGTTTTGTGGGTTCCTCGACTTCTGTGGCCTTAGGTATACCGACGTCTCTACTCCCTGAACGAACGTGATCACCTTGCGCTCCGTTGTCACTCTCAATTGGCAGTTCGTATACTTTTTTTGCACCTTCTACATCTTTTTTAACTGGTCCACCTCGTAATAAATTATTCGCTAATCTTAAGACCTCTTTATTATCTCTCATTTTGCCCTTTATATCATTTAACAGATCACTTATGCGTTTATTGCGATCTAATTCATGTTGCTTGTATTGTGACATTGTTGTATTGCTTTCATCAGTGTTCACTTCGTTCAACATTTCCTTGGGAGGCTGAACTGTTTTCTCGTTACTAATATCAGTTTTACTGTCCCTTATAGCATCCTGTGGTGTGTTACTAGTACATTCTAAAATGGTTTGGTTAGGATGCAACACTTGATGTGAAATTTTTAAAACATCATTAACTTCTTTAATAAAATTGTGACACTCCGTGGTTCTCATTTCACAACTTGCTTTACTCTTGTTGATCCTTTCTTCGTGACATTTTATTTCAGAATTTAAATTACTTATAGCCAAATTAATTCCATCTAAATCAGATTGAGATAAAGAACTGCAGTCAATTTCTTTATCATTAGGTACAGCAACGCTTTCAGTTGTTTCGTCTTTTGTGTCGTTAGTAATATTTTTACGGTTGTCATCTTTAACATTTCTTGCTTTTATTCTTTCTTCACTTTCTTCTCTTAGTTTTTGATATACTAAATTGGATTTTCTAGAGTTTTCTAAAGCAACATTTACATCATTTAAAAGTTCATTCATACTGTTTAATTTATTAGTTATATCTTCTCGTATTAATAAGCTTAGATTTTCTGCACCATCGACAATATTGCGGGCAAGGTTTTTCATCTCCTTAAATTCCAATTCGTTGTTGTCTTTGTTACCTATTTCAAGTATAGATTCCAATCTGTTTTGAAGTATTTCTTCATTTTTTCCGTCAAACTGATTTCCGTTTTTATCTTTGCGGTGTCTTTGAGTACCCTGTAACTGTTGCTTAATACTTTTACTTTCCTGGATAATTTGCCCATTATACGTTTGTACTTCCTCTTTATGAACAATTGGATTTAAAATACTGTTAATATCCTTAAGTGCCTTTTCAGTATCTTTTAATTTTGCTTCAAAGGTTTTGGGAAACACGTCTTCAACACTAAGCACTACGTCATCAGCTTTTACTATGACTGGCTTTGCGTCGAGCTTCTTACAGCTTAAATCTGGTTTTAAAGGGTTATCGACCAAAGAAATATTCATAGCTTCGTTAATTAAAAAGGTTTCTTTAACTTCATCAAATGTACTTCGTCTTATTTGGCCTTTTATTAGTGTCGATGAAGAGTCTTTCAAAATAGGATCTTCGTGTATAATTAATTTACGTAATTCATTTTCATTTTCCATTTGTTCTGGATCGTCGTATTTATCTGCCATTTTTTGTAACATATCCCTTGTTTCGTTAAATCTTGTTTCGTAAGATTTATTTGTCAGCTCTGTGACAACTTTGTCAATAGTTTGAAATTCAATTTCGTCACTGCTAGAATTTAGAGTTTCACTGCCGCTGTTATCATTACAGGGCTCATGAATTGATTTCCGAAACTGAAATTCTTCAGCCGACTTAAAAAGAGCTTGCATATTTTTATACTTTATATTTCTAATTTTCTCTACATCGCCAGCTGCTGAATTTAAATCTAGCGTCATTTTATCAAAGGTGTCTATAGTTATTTGGTCGTAAGGTACAGTACTTCCTTTAGAACGTCCATCTTCATCCGTTTTGATCTGAATCTGACGCGCTTTTTCTGCTATTATAGGATTATCTTTTATCAAATCCTTTACTTCATCGACGTTCAAAGGTTTGTTATAATCTGCAACATTAGTAAACGGTTGTCCAGACATTACATCATATTCGGACTTTACGTCTCCAGATCCTGACGCAGCAATGTACGATACATTTGTCGGTATACCTTCTGTGAGAGGTTTCAATTCATTTTCAATTACTTTATCGATCACTTCTTGCGGAAATTTCGCATCCTTAAAAAACTCTTTTAACTCACGACGTTTACTTTCTATGAACCCTCCATCATTCCTATTGAAATCGGAATTCATTTTTTAATTAAATAAATATCCCACTCTTATTTATTCTCATGTAAAATAAACTTAAGCAATGACAGTTGCTAAGACACAAATATATATGTTTTGTTTTATCAATAGAAACTGTAATTTTAAATGTGGAATAAGTACGGTTTACAGTTAAACCTTTTTTTTTAATTTAAGTTGGTTTTTGTACTAGAATAAAATTTTAATATAATTATAAATTCATTTGTGCAATCGCGTTCGTGAATATATTATGTCGCCTATATACGTATCTGTTGTAATATAAAATGACGACAATCTTTTTTATGTCCGAATAGTAGGGAAACTGAGTGGACATAAATTAAATGAAGTAATTTTTTCCCATCAAATTACTAATATCAGTAGCCCCTTACGTGAAAAGGGCCGCAAGAAATATCTGACAAAATGTCAAAGTCATTTTCCGGCAAGCTTTACGGTATTGACATTTGAAAACTGAGTTTTGCTTAGGCTTTTCTTCGTAAAAGAAATAGAAACAAGTTTGTTCTCACTATTATAATCGTGATGTTTTCATAGTGTTTCCCTTGTAATTCCTCTCATTACGCCGAAAAAGACCAATAATGACCGATGAGCGTAATTTCCGTTCGTCGTATTATGAGAAGGTCGGGTGTCGCGGCGTAGAGGAGAAGAAATCGCTGGAAATTCTAATGAAAGAAAAACCTTGGGACAGGGTAAAGTTAAAGCAGTTTTGTCTGAGATTTACAGTTCCGGCTGCCTACAGAAATCTAGTTTGGAAGGTGTTATTAGGTAGTCATTTATTATTAATTTTAAAGAGGAGTTTATTTCATTAGTGTTTGGCTGCATTTAAAGTATACCTTCAACTCAAACTATTTCTTTTATAATACAGAGATGTCGTAAAATTCATAGTATTTAAAATTTTATATATTATTTAGGTATATATTACAAATAACTTGGAAAACTACCTACATAAATACAAAAAATTCGCCTTGCAATATGCGTGAATGCGCTTGTTGACTTTACATTTACGTTCTTTCTAGACATCATCCCAGTATATCCAGACTCACATCAGTTCGTGACTGAACAGAGAACTGAACAGTACAATGACCTTCTATATGCTGCAGAGATGTTAGAGCGAGTAGAGATGACAGCTCCGCGTAGTGAAGTACTCTTAGCTATGTGGTTATTGGAGCTAGAAGAACGCAAACCACCAGTTTTTCCAGAGACTAATTACTCTGTAAGTTTTTAAATGATTACATTTAAAATCCTTTAAATAATTGAAGTGACATTTATTTAATTATTTCAATATCCAAAGCCAAAATAGGTCAACAGTGCATCTTGCGCTGATGTTATATGACTGGGGTATTTCACCCCCCATTAAGTGAACCCCCCCCCATGAATGTCTGTCTTGCTTAATTAAAAAAATATATACTATCTAGACATAAATATCCACAAACTGGAATATATATATAAACTGGGCTCTTGGTGTATAATGTAGTATAATATCATCAAAATTACTTTTTCCAGTCAGCCGACACCTTTATTCCTATAGCAAACACATTACTACAACTCTACGACAATGAGGTGGATGTTTACTGGCTTAGTAAGGGACTTAGTGAAATTGTACGGACCATGCAGAAAGATATAGTTAAGCTTAAAGAGGCTTTTCACAATATGCTGCAAAAGGAAGATGGTGAATTATATAAGTAAGTGCATTGAGAAACTGTGACATGCAAGTTGTATTACATATAAGTAATCATCTATAGCAAGCCTAAGTACAATCTGCGAACATATTTGCCTATAACATTATAATATCTTATTATACCTATAACAGGCACCAGGCCCTCACTATTTGATACATGTAAAATAAAATTAGCTTTTAAATTCGTTGTAAAGTTGTGAATGCTGAATTATTAAATAAATTATAAATTACTACATTTAAAATAAATAATTATTTTAACTAATTTCAGTCACTTGGTGGAAATAAAGGCACTGGATCTGATACCACTCACCAAATGGTTTAACTGCTGCTTTGCCGGAGTTCTAGATGACAGCTCCCTTACAAAGTGTGTATTACCTTTGGTATTTTTATTTGGGTTTGGTAATGGTAAGCAGTTAGTGCAGACCTATCACCCCGCATTGTATTAATGTCCCATAGAAAATAGTAATAATTTTGCACAATTGTATAACATATACATTTATCAGAATATTCTTTTCAACCAAATTTTTATTTTTTAGAATATGGGATAAAGTGTGCAGTGGTGCTCCAAAGATCCTTTCATTTGTTGCCGTGATGGTGGTTATGACTCTTCGGAGAAATATTTTAAGAGCCACTAATGCAGAACAAGTGCTCAAATGTGTAGCTGAGGTACTTCATTAATATATAAGGGAAATGACAGTCAACACTCATAATTTTAAAACCATTGTTTAATATCCTTCTTTTCCACAGATACCAGAACAATGTGAAGAAGTGGTGGCAAATAAAGCTATAGATTTATGGCAATACTATGCCCAGCCCCAAAATGAACAGCTCAAAAAATGATGCATGACCTTCTAATGAGTTCATCTCATTAGAAGTAAAAGTGACTGAACATAATGTTCCTGCAAGTGTGCGATGCCAGTTTAATCTTAAAATATGACAGACTAAATGACTTATTAATGTGATAAGAATTTATTTTGTTATTTCTTCAGTACACAAAAAACTAAAACTAATATGTTCCAAGCAAGCTGAAAAAAACAAATAATGTGTGAACCCTATGATTTATTATTATTATTACTAATAAGCTAAGCGGCCACGGGCGAGTGAACGTCATGTGCGCTAGCGTTGATTGGTTCCCCAGTCGTGTTGTCTTTCTCGGACAAATACGACGCTCCGCTTGCTTCTCGAGTACAGTCACGTTTTCCAATCAATTACGTGCGGGATTGTACGGATGCGCTACACATTCGTGCCGCGGCCCGCGACCTAAACTAGGGCCTTGGTCCTTGGGATTAACAAACGCAACGTAGAGGCTATAAGAGAGTGTCGTTTAATCGATTCCTATTGAAATAGACAAAATTGGATCTTAGAAATATAATTGTATAAAAAGCCCTATAGAAGCCCTATATAAATAATAACTCATATTTAACTAAATCAGGTAGTTCAATAATAAAAAAAGGTTTAATGATTTTATTTTCCTTTAAAGGTAATCATGGTATTGTTTATTAACAACACCATTCACTGTGTTCATCAATCCATTTAGTACAATATCTCATACGATTAAAAATCCATAAAATTTCATACAATAAGCGATCGATTGTGTTGACAATTGAGTCAATCACTAGCCTAGATCTTCGTCCTGCGCCCCTCGCTCTTACCACTGTTAACATCCTAAAGAACGTTTCTGCGCAGCGTTTCGCTCTTAGATCAGGCTTGCCAAGTGACGTTGGCCGTATTATATCCTACTGCCTATTCTGTGAAGAATACATGTTGAAACACCGTCTGTGGCGAGTGAATATAACATGAATTATGGATTAAATACTAGTATGTTTAATTTAATCTCACCTTGAATATCAACTTTAGTAACACTAAAGCGTCAGTTAGCGTTATTTTTTATTTATAAAAATTAATAGTATTTAGCGGTGTACATTGATTACATTGACAGTTTGGCGTATTTACTTAAGATGACAACACTGTCACTCAGACGATCAACGCCATTTTGGTTTTTTGAATAATGTCAGCCAAATCATCAGCTCGGTTTTATAGTTAAAAATTCAGTAACTGCTACGAATTATTTTTGTAGTTGTCTTTCAAAAGTGATAGAAATCTAGAGTGCATTAAAATGGATCGTTTTATTAGTATGTGGAAAGTTCGAGAGCTGGCGGACAAAGTGTAAGACGAAACAATATTTTTCATAATTTGTATGTTAATTAAATCTCAGCTTGCGATTCCACTTGATTTTGTACTATCCTTAATTGAAATAATTGTGCCCTTGTGGCGAATATTCATAAATCCCAATAGTGAAAGCCTACATGAATTTACCTATCCCTGTATCACAATTAATGAAATTAGTTTCACTTCCTTTTCCCTGAATTGTAACACCTAAGTAACGTCGTTTAAAAATTTAGATGTAACAATAACAAATGTTCTGATATAAATATAGCACATCCACAACGGAGTTTAAATTAGTGTAATTAGTATGTATCTGTTTGTAAAAGCAGGTTCCCCTTGAAGAGATTACTTGATAACCTTATCATTTTGTAACACAGATGAATGATTATTGAGCCTTATCAAACAGATTATAATCTGATTTGTGCATGAACCAAAAAGCAACATGGGCTACACATCGCACACTTAATATTAGAGTGACCTAACTCAAAATTTAAGTAAGAGTAGATAAATGCACTGACATTACTATAATAACGCCATCATCATAGTTTTATACGATTTGCCAAAAAAGTGTTTTTTTAAATTCGGTCACTTAAAAAAAAAACACTTTTTTACACATACTAAGCACAACACATACTAAGCGTGCGACATATAAGTTCTTCAAATATTCTAATTAACTCCCTTTAAAAAATATGCAACCACTTCAAATAATATTTAAATGATGTATATGGCTAGGTTGAAATATATTGGCATAACATTAATAGCATGTATATATCAACATGCATTATGACTGTAAATTATGGCCAATGCCGTTAGGAGGCCTAAGTCACAGCTGTCTCACTATTAAGGTGAAGATAAAGATGAAGTGGAAGTAAAAACATATCCCAACATATAATTTTTTTTCTGTAAGCTGAGAATGTCAAAACATTTTGTTTCTCAATGCAACCTTGACATAACCTTTCACTTATGTGATCAATTTTATTATCATCTTGCTTCCATTAGCTAGTTTCTTTTTCTACACTATTTTGTTATTTGATTTAATACCGACATGTTTAAATAATAACTTTTCAGAACAAATGTGGTAATGAATTACACAGAGGTAGAAGGCAAAGTGAGAGAGGCCACATCAGACGAGGCCTGGGGTCCTACAGGCCAACAGATGCAGGAGCTGGCTTTGGCCACCTTCACATACGAACACTTCCCTGAAGTGATGTCTATGCTCTGGCGGAGGATGCTGCATGACAATCGGTCACATTGGAGAAGGACTTATAAGGTTGGGCATATTGCACTATACATTATTTACCATCATCTTTGTGACTTGCAAATATATACTTAAACTTGTATAAATATTAATCTTAATAAATTTGAAAACAAATATTGTTTTCATTAGTTAATACGTTGTATCTTGTTTTAGAGAACAGTTGATTACAATTATAAACTGTTCATGTGTTTGTACAGAGTAAATATGGTATTTAAAGATACATGTAGATTATTGACTTTAAAAAAAAATTGTGTAGTAAACATTATTTGCCTATTACATGTATCACAATGTATGTGACAGTGCCTGCTCCTGCTAAGCTATCTTGTCCGAAATGGATCAGAACGAGTTGTCACTTCAGCCAGAGAACACATATACGATCTACGGTCATTGGAAAACTACACTTATGTGGATGATTTAGGAAAAGATCAGGTATGATTTAAGTTTTTCTTTACATAAATAAAAGTAATATTTTACTTTGTGTTGTATGAAGTCGAATCAATATGGGACTTTTCCCTTCTATTGTCATTGACTTTGCTTACATCCCATCCATAAATAAATGTCAAGCTAAAGAAATTTTTACCTGTGCATTTACTTACATTAATTTTTAGGATCTTTAATTTTAGTACTTTAGTAATTTTAGTAACGTGTTTTAGTGTAAATCAATGTAAACCTTGTGAGAAAATCACGATTTTATGTAAATTGGCTGTTTGTTTTCGAAAAATGCCAAGTTAGAAAAAATAGACTATACACAACCCTCAACAAGACCAAGTTTAGTTGAATCATTATGATTTAAATACTGTCTATAGTTTACGCGAGTAGTACACATTTAAATAAAACACTTTAACGGTTTAAAACGCTTTGTTTGCAGCAGCCGTGGTCACGGGGAGACAGTCTCCCCGTGACCACGGCTGCTGCAAAGCAACCGAAACGTCGGGCCGAAGTTAAAAATCATTTTCAAATAAGTTTAACTAATATATCGCGTTTTAAACCGTTAAAGTGTTTTATTTAAATCATTATGATTTATTAGACAATGTTTATTTATGTTTTAGGGTATAAATGTGAGGCATAAGGTACGAGAATTAATAGACTTCATTCAAGATGATGAGAAACTTAGGGAAGAGAGGAAAAAGGCGAAAAAAAATAAGGACAAGTATATTGGTACGTTTTTTCTTTTTGTTTGTCAAGGAATATTTCCATAAACTTGATTAATTTTAAGGTATTTCACGTGAAGTACATTATTTATTTTTTGTTAGGAAGTAATTAATTGCCAACATTAATTACACTTCTAATTTATTATGGACTTTAATATTTACTTCTTCAATATGGTTGTGTAAGTCCAAAAAAAATGATGCCTTTATATTAAAGTGTTTTATAGATCAATTACTATCGGCACAAAATTTTAAATGTGAAAGTGTAATGGAAATAATCATTCATTGAAGGTGTGGATACTTCCAAAGTGCTTTTGAGCTTTAGGTTGTCACTCGCACCTAAAGTGACGTCTCTATGCTTTATTATCGTATATATTCCAGGCATGTCATCGGAGGCGATGGGGGGACTAGGCGGAATGGGTGGAATGGGCTCCGTGAGCGGGCGCAGCGCGAGTGGTTGGGGGGAATATAGTGACAGGAACACTACTTGGGGTGAGCTACTAACCTTGTACCTTGAAGAAGAACAATAAAATGTCCATGTAGGACATTATATTGTTCTTCTAGTGATATTCGGCCAAACAATTTCCGACGAAAATGCAGGATTCCTTCTTTGCCGAGTGCTTTTATGCCTGACTGTATATCTCTGCGCAAACCATGATGACGAATATTTCCGCCTTGATATATATTCCGCCCCACGTCTCAGTTTACCAGGATACCTCTGTTCCGTCCTCACACATCGTGTAAATGCCTGATTCTGGATCAGACTTCGTTGATTACCTCAAGTCATCTGTGTAGGTATTGTGCCCTCATGTCACAGGTCCTTTTTTCATTTATGTCTCTCTCCAATGTAGAATCTCTATCCTTTGTCAAATATCCTGTCCTCCTTTAATGACATGTGCATGTTATTTGCATTACATTGTTATATAGAGATTGTTAGACCTCAATAAATGAAATGACCTCAATTTTGGAGTGAAAAAAAAATTTCATAAACATAACGATGCAAGATATGTTTCTTTCCTTCTCTTCGAAAGAATATCCTCTATTAAAGGAAGTTCAGAGTTAATACCTGCCTTAACTAATATAATTAACTTACCTTATCTAATATAAATAAAAATGAATTGCTATTCGTCAGTCTCGCTAAGCATCTACAAGGGCTCAACTGATTTATCTTTCTTGAAATGTTCGTGGAGATGTTAGGGAAGATTAAAATGACAAATCAAAATAATTGCTGGGAAAACCCACAAAACAGCCTTTTTCTATTTGTAATTCATTACCGCTGCATAAAGTTTAAAATAGCGTTTAATCTAAATTAAATAGTCTTTTGTCAAATATTATGATTGGGTTCAGAAATTTAAGATTATTATATATTTTTCAGAAGAGCCAAAAGAGCGGAACGATGAAGACGATTACGAGAGGGAGGATTCCGACGGCGAATACGGCAGAAAACCGCAGAGGTATACTTCTATTATTGGACGTGGGCATAAAAGCCTCGACAGTTTCGACCGCTGCGACTAAAGCGAGTTGCCTCTTTCAGGGAGAACGTGTACAGGGACTCCGAGGTGATAGATGAGAGCCCGCCGAAGTCTGACCGCGTGCGAGAGAGGGACAGACACAAGCCGCTTAGCATCAGCCTGCGGAGCCCCGCGCGGAATAAGCCGGCCACGCCCGCCAAGAAGATTGACCTCGGTAACCAAACTACTATTGGATTGTCTGAAAAGTAATTTCGTTCCTTGAAACATACGGAACTCACACATTGAGCTCCCAGGCCTTTCAATTGGTTTTAAATTGTTGAATTATATATTAGCTCTCAAAACAACTAAAAAATCGGGAAACAACGAACAACCTATTATCTGTACTAATATATAAAGTTGAAGAGTTTGCTTGAACGCGCTAATTTCAGGAACTACGGGTTCGAATTGAAAAATTCTTTTTGTGTGTTAGAACATTTATCGAGAAAGGCTATAGGCTAAAACATCGCGCTGTGACTAATAGAAGTGAAGATACAGCGTGAAAAGTGACCAAAACGGGGGAAATTTTTCATCTCTGTGGGTTTCAAGTTCAAGATAACTAAAAAATTGTATGAAAGAATTATTCTTCTTTAAATGATCCTAAAAAAAGACGGGGTTTGCAAAACCCATTTTGGATGCACAAAATAACGATTCTCGCGGACGAAGTCGCTGGCACAGCTAGTTTATAATATATTTACGTTAGTTCTTTCATGTACTCTTCTCATCGTACTCGTCTCTATCATAATTTCTACCATCCTCTGTTCTGATAATGATTAGTTGTTATGTAACTTCTAAGAGAAGATACCGCTTATCCGTCATTAATGGCTGTAGTCAATATAAATGGGTCCATACAAGGAACACCCCTTCTTGTTTATTTTTATAGATATTAATAAATGGATAATTTTCATAAATATATGCGATCAACAATAGGTGCGGCGGCTTCCTACGGCAAAGTTGCTGCGACGACAGTGACGCCACAAGCGGCAACGACGGGAGCGACGAACAACTCTCAGGAACTGCTCGACGATTTGTTCAAGACGTGTCCGGTGAACAATAACGCCGAACCGGCGAACGCGCCCGCCGGCAACATCGCCCACTTCGTCGAAGACGACTTCGATCCGAGGTAAATATAGCACTTATCATCCATTTATAACTAAAGCAGTTTAAAAATGGCCGTTTGACTGTGGAAAACATTTCAGAGCCGAGGAGTTGAAATCGTCGCAGAAGGAAGAGTTCGGTGATTTTGCGAACGCGTTCGGCGCACGCAACGAACCCGCGCCCGTCGACGATTCCTTCGCGGACTTCAGCAGCGCCTTCACGAACGACTCCCGACCGCCTGCCGCTCACGGTGAGTGCAGTCCTAGTCATTTAGGCAATTCTAACGGATTCAATTTTTTTTATTTATTACATATTAACACACAAAAATGCAGAACAGAGTGCTAAAATTAAAGAAAACTAACTAAACGTATGAAGCGAGCAAGCTTTGCTACCGGGAGCTGTGTACCTCCAATTATTCCCTGTTCGTGGTTTGCTAAGCAAAATATATTCATTGCCATACGAGGTATTTGCTATTATGACACGTCACAGCGCCACAAAGAAAACGAGTTACAAACGCAAGCTTTCATCAATGATAAGACGGCTTCCTCGTGATATTTTCTTCCTCCAAGGATATCACGTAAGAAATCACTAAGTTGCCAAAAACCAATTTTCAGTTGCAGCCCCGGCATCAAACTTGGACTTGCTCAGCGATCTCGCTCCACCGCCTATTGTACCCATGAGCGGCGGATTCGATTTGGACTCGTTGACGGGACAATTCGCAGCCACCGACATCTCTCCACAGCCTCACTTGCAGCCCGTGCAAGGTAGGAACGAGAACGAGATAATGTTAATTATTCAGATATGCTAATCCAATTACATTAAAATCATTTATTTTAAAGCTAAAAAAAATAATCAACTAATTTAGCATAGTGACTATTCTTAGGCAAAACATTATATATAATATAATTCACTGGGGTCTATGGGGTAGGCCTTGACTTGAAGCTAACTTAAACTTGACTCTCGTCTCTCGATCGACCGGCGCGGCGTCACTTTCTTGCCGAGCGTAATTAAAAAGTTTATCGATGTGATCTGATCCATTTACTTTTGGGCACAGTCAGGAATTTTTTATTTCCAGGCCTCGAAGGCGTCTCCGCGCCGAAAGCGCGGCTGAAGAGAGAAATGACCGCGTTCATAGACACGCTTCAGACCTCACAAACGATCAAATCGGAGGACGATGCGATACGAGTCAGGGCGCGCCTCGACCGACTCGTCGAAAGCCTCCCTGGCCCCATCACTCCGCAGAAACTTTTAGACTGCGAGGAGAGACTTATATCAGGAGAGCGGTTGGATACGTTTGGTGCACTGCTGGCGACGGTCGGCAAGATTCTTCTCCCGCAGTGGCCCATCTTGAAGAAGGAAGTGGTTCACATTTTTACTATTGAGGAAGGCTTCATTCTGAGCCGAGAATGCCTGTCGATCCTTTGCGGGTTTCTGAAGGAGGAGCGAGATTTAAGGGTCCTCGACGCGATATCATACATCCTTCAGAAGTACGCCAAGAGCGACGCTATCCTCGCGGCAATCGTCGACCGCTCCCTGACCTCGGAAGGTCAAAACGATGACGAGGTTCGTGCGGAGTGGGAGAGTTACGTCCAATATTTTATCACGCTGCCAGAAAGGGTTGCAAATCGACTAGAAATTGGCACGCCCAAGGAATTTTCCCACGAGAACTTCTCTTACATTGTAGTCTACCAGATCGTAAGAGCAATAGACTTCATGGTCGAGAGTAATTACTACCGAGGCGCACGATACGATCTCGCGTGCATCTCGCACCTCGTATCCAAATTCTTTATATACTACAGTAATACGGAGGCGTTCCTCCACTTTGTCGACATCTCCATTCCCTGGCCCGAATCACAGCGAGACCCTTGCAAGTTCGTTAGGACCAAACTAATCCAGACGCTCTCGCACCACTTGAATAGACAGGCGATCTACAAGTTCTCGGTGCATCTGTTCATGCGATGCCCCATCTATTACGAAAAGGACGAGCAACCGATCGAGGCTGTCCTGGGCGACAACGTAGACACGAACACAGACTGGAGAGAGACCCTAATCTACAAGATGCCCTACAACTTCCACCTGGGCGACTACAGAGACACCACACTCCAGGAGAACGTTATATACTACATAACGACGAGCGACAACTGCCGGCGGCTGCTGACCGACCTAATCCTCGGTCTAGCCAAGGTGTGGGCGGATGTCCGCTCCAAGAGCGTCGCGGACATCAACCGGCATATGTACACCTCGACTTTACTGCTGCTCGCGACGAAGTACCGCGTGGCACTCTGGAAACGATGCAGGGACGATTGGGATCTAATGCAACTCAAGACAATTCTGTTCCGTGGGATGTCGAAACACTTGGATGTTCTCGTGCAAGAGTTCCGGTGCATCGGAATGGCGACCATAGAGCTCGTCTTCAAAATGCTGGCCGAAGTCGATCAGACGGACAGGCAGGCGGCCAACGAGCTCAACTTCGACTACGAGTCTATGGGGAACACTTCGGTGGAGATCCACAGCATCCTTAAAAGTGTGACTACCAGGTGCCTCGCGGACAAGAGTTGCGTGAAAGTCGCGAACGAACCGAGACACTTCAACCTGTACAAGACGCTGGATCTAATCGCCTACAAAGTGGACGATATCGAAAGGCCAGTGAATAACTCGGTGATCACGTGCGCCGTTACCAGTCCGGAGCAGACTAAAACCATCGTAAAGACCATAATTTCGGTGAAACTGGACGAGCTGAAGAAGCACGGCGTCGACGAGGAATTGGACTCGGACGACGATTTACAACCGTACGACATGAGCAACGACGTCTCCGTATCGGCGAAAAGAAAGCCACATTACCTGCGAGATCTGCTCGAGATGATCAGGGATGCCAAAGACCAAGAGACCTTCGAAATAGCGTTGCAGAGCGCCGAGGAGCTGGTGCGAGATCAGATAAAAAACGAGCACCGGTCTCTCGTCATCGAGTTGCTCGATCTGTTCGTGCATCTCGACACTAAATTTCACTTGGAAAATTTTGACAATTTGCGCTTCTCAGCCGCCGTGGAGATAGTCTACGCTCACCCCGAGGACTGCGCCGCGCATCTCTGTAAGGAGATCCACACGGACATCGGCCGATACTCGATCGCGACTAAGGTGTTTATGCTCGACGTGCTCTCGGAGGCGGTGAACAGGATCGCGGACGTCAGGCCGTGCGAGGCGAAGGCCAAGGCCGAGACGAAACAGAAGGGGGACGATCTGCTGGCGGAGGAGATCATCAGGAGGCGGCTCATCAACAAGACGAGATACTTTCACTCGAAACGAGTGCATCCTTTTTCGAAAGCGACGAGAAATCGGTTCGCAGCGGTCGCCGATTACTTTTTTTACCCGCTCATTGGAGGCTTCGGGCGACGACAATTGGCACTGGGCTATCGCAACGCCGAACAGGACGTAGACGACGTCCTGCTCCTTAAATACCTGTCCGTCGTCGGGAACGTCATTTTGGCCTCGAAAAATTGTCCGAGAGTAGCGATGTACTGCAAGGAAGTGATCCCTTTGATTCTGTACATGCGCTTCTCTCCGGAGCCCAGAATTCAATCGTGCGTCATCTCGATAATAGCGGCCATCGTGATGGCTCTTCCGCCCTCCATCGTCAAGGACGAGTTCGCCTCCATGATGTCAGAGATATGCGCTTGGCTCATGGACTATTTGAACAACATCGAGTTGACGATGAAAGCGAACGGAGCCAAGACGGAGACGGCGATTTTCGCCGGACAAGTGCTGCATCTGATCGAGAAGAGTCTGACCGATTAAAGGCCACTTACCCATCCAGAACTCTAGTTTTTAAGTAGAATGGCTCTAAAGAGTGGGGATTCTTGCTGGAACCGGATATTCTAATTTAATTAGTTTTCACGATAAGTAACTTTAAGGAATTGTATAAATCCCGCCTAGTCGATAGGTGCAATTTGAGCTGTCGCCGTGCCCACCGATTTTGCTAATAAACATTTATCGATAATCGATCGATCGAGTTTGTTTTTGAGACCCGCATCGATCGAGTGACGAGAAACTTGTTTAGTCATTAAATGTGAACCGTATGTACCTGTCGTTAATTCCGTGGTTACCCGAATAGGTCTTCAACCGACTCCGATCGACCTGCTGCAACCGATCGCGCCGACGACCAATCGACAGCCGACGAACGACAACGCCAAGCCGTCGACCAAGCTGGGCGCCACTTGGGCGGATACGACGGGCGCCATCAACATCGACGTGGACAACCTGTTGGCTCCGAGGTCACCCAAAGCCGGCCCGGCGCCCTCCATCAACCAGCTCAAGTCCAGCCCCAACAGCCCGGCGCATAGGCCCACGATGGCGCCGAACGTGATGCCCATGAGCGCGTCCGCGCCCTGGCCGGCGCCCGCGTCCAACTTGAACAACAACTTCCCGATCAACAACAACTTTCCGATCAACAACCCCCTCAGGCCGCAGAACCACAACTTCCTCCAATGATATTTGCTTTTGGCAGACACGTGCCAAAGCTAACTTTCGAGCAATGAATAGTTATGTCGGAATTTACGTACAAACTTGTAGTTAGGAAGGGGGTAAATAATGATTCCGTTTCATTCAGTTTATAATGTCAATCGCAATATTAATCAACATTACCGTCACCTTGATGTGTGGCTCAGGCCACCGAGTATTGTCCATTCCGTTCGCAGCATTTATTTGAGTGTATTGACGAAGGCAGATTCATTGCTTGGAAACGTATTCGTAAGTCGATATTACACGTGTAAGTTGCATATCAATCTATATCATATGATATTATATTTAGGGTTGATTTTCCAATAGTAGCCGGCTCCGCGAGTGCGCGTGTCGAACGACCGTTTCGGCCTTTAAGCGTGGAGCCGAAACGTTTAGATTCAATTGTTCACTATCGTAATATTCGTTCAAAAGATTTTCATCGAGTAGTGATCGCAACATTCCTATTTTTATAATCACAACATTCGGTCTTATCGTCTAATGTACAGTCAGCGTAATAAAATACGTAACTATTTTTGTTTGAGGGAAATTGAATAAAACTATGCGACGTAGAAATGTTATGAAGTTGGATAGAATATTTTTATACCCGCTTCAGAACTAGTTGTAGTCTAAGTGTTATGTATTTATATGTGACGTCCGCAGAAGGCGAGGCGGTCCGACCGACGGAGTAGACGCCCACTGGCATACATCGGATGTACTTAACTCTTAATTATTAGTACGCATTATTAGTACGCACTCTTCGGGATTTACGGAGGTACTCTTAGGGTTAAGTGCCGCCTAATAACACTTACCTCCGACATAAAGAAATGTGCACTACGCGACTTAGCCCGAAGGCCCCGTGAGGCTCAGCTCAGGACGTTGTTGTGGCGACAATGGCAGCTCAGTAAGTTTTATTCACTAAAGGTTGTACAGTCGGCATCAACCAAGACGCTTGTCATTTTTATATGCAATTCCTTTATATCTCTTCGCTGCTGACTGCGCCCGGTAACGTTAATGTTTTGTCTGTGCTATATCTATGAATTTGTGTAGTGTAAATGGAACCACGGTTCGGGACCAAAGCGCAAATTGTTAGGATTTTCAAAGTTAGCAATTATACAGACAGTGTTTGTACAGAAAAGTATTTGGGTTTTGAGGCGAGAGGTCCATTTACATTGCAGTGCTTTTTGGTGACAAGACAAAGAATAACAAGCCTTGTTTATCTAATCTCTCCCCATCGAAACGTCGACGGATGCGATACACAAGAGTATATACGAATCTTTAGACCCACCTTTGTAAATAAAGTATCGTTACATTTTACGTTCTTCCATTCCTCGCGAGATTTGAAAGCAATAATTTTTAAATTGTATATTTACCGTTGTTTTATAAATTATAGTTTATTTGCGATTTTTGTTTGCATTAAGTAATATCAGTTGTTCGCACAAGTTTAGAAATTGTTTATTTTGTAACTATTAACTGTAACGTTGTATATAGGAATCGTAAACGATAACATGTAAAAGAACGACTGTTAATTATGTATTAATCATAAAATTTTACTTAAGTGTTTTTTATTATTGTCGACGTCCAACGCTTCCGACACTATCGGCACAGGTAAAATAAAACAATACGTATGTACGATTACAACTAAGTGTAAAATTACACTATTCGAGCTTACCAAGAAAATTAAAATACATCCAATCATAAATTTAATAATGGACATGGAATTACCTTTCTTAAAAAATGAGGAAGAAATTACCATTACACCTTAAAAAGATTGCTTAAAATCATTATAATAATAAGTTAAAATTAACTCTTATAATACTGGAAATCATACAAAAATAGTATTTTGTGAAGAGAGAATCGATCGTAAACATAGTTCAGTCTTGTAAGCGTCACTCGAATCAAACAACTGGAATGCCTCCATAAAATAATTAAACTACACTTAATAAATCCCTTAGCAATTCTAAGGTGTGTATAAGACGAGACATAAATACTGCGATAAAAATAGTGAAACGTGCAAACTTCAATACTGCATCACCTTAATTATAAGTGACCTGAAAACATTAATCAATCTTCTACGCATCCCACGGCGAGTATGTCCGACGCTCGTTTAAAACATTCATTCGCGCAGATCCTGCGCACCCTAACGCGGGAAATACTTAAACTAATCATCCAAAAATCAATCACTAATTGATTAAAATTGGAATATGGTTCACATACAACAATTTCGTGTAAAATTAATGCACTAAAATAAAAAAATACAATTAAAATTGAGATGGCTAAAATAGCACAAGTGAAATAAACCTAATGTTAGAGGCGACTCGCAATACGGATATCTGAATATCGTCATCGGAGCAAAACTAAGGTCTACCGATATTGAGGCGGTACGATAGGACGGACTATTTTCGCGAGCCTTGAAAGACCTCAGGTGACGGACATAGATATGCATCCGGCTACGGCGTTCGTTTGAGGGCGAACATGACCCCATCGCGAAATTCAGCGGCGATCGTGTAGTTCTTGGTGAGGAGGAGTTCTGTTGTCTTGTTGCGGGCCGACGGATCAGTCGAACGGTACTCGATCACCTGAGGAGGAAAATATTCCTTCTAATACAACCTAAGTCGGTGTTTGCCCGTTTACAATAGTACACTTAATTCTAATTATAATAATACGTAGACGCAACACAAAAATGTTAAGAGGCAGAATTTTCCCCTTTTGCCACGTTTTTCCATTTTCCATCCCAATGAACACCAAAAGATGTTTAGTCATTTCGTACCAAAAATTACTTGGACGTGCAGTGGTTACTGAAGGCACCGCCGCATGATCTAGATCAAATCAATTCGTATGCTAGGCTGTCCTCTCTTCTACAGTACACGCTGTATAGATAGTACCTGAAGACGAACGGCCGATTCGTGGAAGGGCAAATGCGCGAGGGCCGCCGGCGCTGCATCCCCTCCCAACAGCACATAGTGCGCCTGCGTCGCGTCCGCAGCCAGCAGCACGGTGTACAGCGGTAGACACAGGACCCGCGAGCTGAACGTCACTCCACTGCTCTCCGGCTCTTGATAGCTCACCTGCACCGTGGAAAAAATATCATTAGCAGTTACGATTGCGGCGAACACAATTTGTAGTAAAACTCGTCTAACCACTGAGCCCGTAAACTGGCATCTTTTTAAAACATCAATATCTTAAGAATGAGTAACTTTTCATTGAAGACTAAAATATGCAAATACAATTAAGACAGCAGGGTGTACAGATTTCCAATAATTACATACATTTATTTTTAAGTTCATAAAAAAAATCCAATAATAATTCCTTATGAAATATTTTTCCCATGAGTGTGAAAGAGTTAATTGTACCTCTCTCGGGTGGGTAGTGGGACTGAGACAGGCATGTAGCGCACTGGCGGCACCCCTCAATGCCAAGAAGTCTCGCGGTGCAGCCCTCACCACTACCCCCTTCCATCCGCGCATCATCTCCAAGTATGCAGTGGTGGGCTCGCGGCCTCCGCGCGGTAGGAACTCCACAAAAGTGCCGTTGTACTGCAATTATTTTTATAAATCTTCCATACCCTTAATTGATAGGGGCTATCCACCCCTAACATTAAATTTTTTGGATTCTTTATAGTGTGGCAAAATACATTTTCACTTTTATTTCACCAACCTCTATCATTAATAGATGTCTCAGTACTGTAATGTTTTATCCCGCTAGATAACTCATTAATTATTACTTGGTAAGTTCCCATGAGGCTCCCCGTGTCAATAAATGGTAATATATTAATGTTTTCTAATTGTTTACAGAGCATGTTCGATTCCACAGGGAATCACACATCAATCGAAACTTTGGTTTTAACAACTGTAGTCAAAACTAGAATTTCGATTGATGTGTATTTGCAAAAGTATAACACATTTCAGTAGCACATTAATTAGGTAGCTTTAGAAATGTTGTTAGGACCTAATATAATATTTATAACATCATAAGGGAAAGTTAACAGAAATAACATCATAATTCTTACAATTTCCCCGTAAAGTCTGTCTAGCACCTCAACTCTGTCGGTGATTGTGGGTTCTGGAGGGGGGTTCTTAGGAGGTCTAGGGGCTAAATGCAATTGGCGCACGTAAGCAACCAAAGTAGCGGACTCAGCAGGAATTCGGGCCAGCTCATAATCTCGAGACATATTCAGACGGAACTGTTGTGCTCCCAGAGCTGGAATTGTGAAGGTAAAGTGTGCTTAATAATATGTATAAATAAAAAGCATTCCCTTATAGTAAACTAACTGGTAAAACCATTACTATGGAAAAGGGGCCAAATACATTTATACAAACAAAAAATTGTCAGCAGTTAGCTAGTCCTTTCCTGTGCAAGAGCAATACAAAATATATTTGATATATTTATTTTGTTTATTGTCAATAAGAAGACTTTGGAGATATAGACAAAATATAAAAGTTGAATGGGGTAACTATATTTTTATTAACTTATTCCTGACTGTCTTTTCTAGTCTTCTAGTCTGTTCAAAATAATTTAAGCATAGTCATTTTGTAATATCATGGGCACTTGAATTTGATGCCAATGTAATTGCAACATAGGCTGTAGCATATAGGGTTTGTTTATCTTCCTAAATTATTCAGAGACAGTGGTGAATAAAGACTATTTAAATGAGATTGAATGGTTGCTTACCAACTGTGTCCATATAAATGAGTAGCATCGTCATAACAGTTACAAATGTTAGGACAAATAAAATGGCAGGAAGTAGCTTTCTATACAACTCATTAGGTGGAGTCTTAGTCAGAGAAGGAATACTGAATCGAGAAGTGGGATGTGGTGGTACAGGCACGGCCACCACTGTTTTAGGCACTTGTTTGGGTGCATCTTTCGGTTTGTCTCCTGGTTCTGGTTGTGAATCCTCAGGTAGGGGGTTTTCTTGGATTTTCTGCAATATTAAATAATTATATTTAACTAAACGCAATATAAAGTTTTTGAGGCGTCTACACTTTATTTACGTAGACTATGCTTCTTATTGATTTATAAGAATGCATCATTTAATATTATAAAAAAAAACACTTAACAAGACAAAACAAGCATTGATCAATAAATATTTTACACTGAATAAATACAGTCAAGAGATAAACCTGTTATTTACCATATTTTTATTACGAATACTAGAATTTGAACACCATAGAAGCCAAAAAAGTGAGCCCTGTTGACTTTTGACGACAGCGACGACGCTTGTACGTTTTTTATGACAAACGGCCTTTTATGCATTTCTTGAAACGTAAGAACTCTTTATTACATACCTTTTCTGCCATAGTAACAATCCAATTCGCTGTTCACAACTTTTCCAATGATAAAGTATAATAGAGAAATAAAATTTATTTGGACATCAGTAAGGCGAGTGTTCCTTTGTCACAAAGTAAAGTTTCTTTACAACAAGTTTTAATGGTATACATTACTTTTGTTCATTACTTTGATGAAAATAATATCGGTTAAGATTGGAAATTGCTTATATATTTTAAATAAAAAACTTGAGATTAACTTGTCTCATGTCTGTCGACTTGATGAGTCATTTATTTTTTTTACATATTTTGATAATTGGCATTCTTCCACAGACTACACATAAGATGTTTTAACCATAGATTATAAGGATTTTTGGTTGATGAAAACGAATGTATAGTGCATTTTTTCTTACTTGGTATTTACTTAGTAAAAACCACATTTTCATGCTAAAATTAAAAAACGAATGAACGCAAATGTACAGATTAAATTTTCTTTAGTTTGACATTTACATAAGGATGGGAGGTAAGCAAAGTCAACGACAATAGAAGGTAAAAGTTCCACTCATGCACAAAATATGCTAAAGCGTTACAAACGTCGCCATAAAAGTGAGTTTGAATATTGAGGTCATTTGGTCGTTAATAATGGGATATTTCTTTAACCCTATATCATCTGTGGCAACTACTAACTATATTAAAGGGCATCACTAGTTAGCTTTGGTTTGAAAGGTTGGTATTTGTGAAGCATAATAATACACTAAAGTTAAATATTAAAATATTCTAAATTTCACGTTTTAAACTCTTAAAAGTGAACTTCTCGCGTATCATCAGTTGTAATCCATAATTTTCATCAATAAAACTACATACGTATTATTAATTTTATTTCATTCAGGACATAAAGAAACAGCAATTTTATTCTACTTATCTCGCAAGTTTGCAATTAACGAATTTATACAAAATTTTAATATGTATTACAAAAGTCATATTAATATTATATACATTATCAATATCATAAATGGATTCCGCAATAAAGTATTATATTTTGTAAATGATAAGTTACTATATTATGTCCTTTGAGAAGCAGTTACAAAATAAAATTATGTAAATTTAAAATAATATTTTAATACTAAAATATACAACTAAATAAATAAAATAAGTAAATATATAAAATGAACGCACGAAATACAACGACGCAAAAACCACTGCAAATTACAGTATATTTATGAAAGCCTCAGACGTCCTTTGCTGCGTGACGTCAAATCATCGTAAAGGAACGATAGAAATAAAATAACAGCATTACCTATATACGATTGTCCAATATTTGAAGGTGATGTACATTTCCTATTAAGCATCAATCGCACAGATGAATGTGCTGCTACGACGAAGAGGTCAAAACTAATGACGATGTCGTGACTATCATTGTCATTACGTCAAAGTATATTTGTAATACTACTCGCATTAATAGTTATTGATTAGTTTAGCAGAAGTAAAACTTTTCTTAAGTATGCTTCACAGAAACCGGCATTATTGTCACACGAGCATATGAAATAACTAAACATATTTCTAATCTTTAAGAATATCGAAACCTGTGGGATTTTACATGCTATACAAAATAACTTTGTAAAACTATCTAATAAGAGATATATTTTAATATAAATATTATATGATATATAATTAGGCGTGTTACTATGCGAGTACTTAATCATTAATTTGTCTTAAAAATTACAGAGTTGATTTTATTGTCAAAATTACAACAGTCATAAGATGATTGTTAACATAATAAATCCTTACTTAGATAAAAATTCGAAAACATTTCTATAAATCTATTAAGTAACATTTTTTATTGTCAAGCACACACGCTCTTAATAAGTATAATTAAGATTTAATATTTCTTTATTCTAATATTGTCATTATTTCATATTGGAGAACATTAATTTATCACGTTTAATAGAGTAATTATTGAGATACACTCGATATCCGTCAAATCCATTATAATATTATTATTCAACAATCGATAAATTTCTAAAGAAATTGTTATTATTTTTATACGTACATATAGTATTTATTGTCTTCTTTTCAAATACGAAACGATTCAAAGCGATTGCGCATTAAATCTCACGATACAAATATTTAAAATTACTATGAATACAATGTCTAAATAGGTCTACAAATTCAAATAAGTCTAAAGTGTAAAGATGTTTTGATATGAAATTGATATTTTGTTTATTGACATGAATACCCTTTCATAACACGTGCCATTTGTACGACGATTATAGGAAACGTGCTCTGGTTTCAATTGTAAAAAGTTATGTTTTACAATTAGGAAAAACATGTTACGTCGACGTTATCTTGACAATAAACCTTGCGCGTGAAGATTTAGTCGAGCAGACATGTATCACTCACGGAGCATGGTAGCGCAAGAAAACTGTCTGTATCTTACCTATGCAAGACAATTAGGTGTTCACTGTATACAGTGTATTTTTTCTAACTTGGCAAAGGACCACAACAAATGTCGCCGATTTCAAACCATGGCGAACTAGTGATGCCCTTTTATAGAGTGTAGTTGTTGCCACAGATAATACAGGGTAAAAATATATCCATTATATATGAGCGACAAACGACATTAGTTTAATATATAATTCAGTTTCTTAATAGTCAAGTGTTTTTAGCGTAAATCAATGTAAAGTGTGAGAAAATATTTTTTTTATGTAAATTGTGTTTGTTTACCAATAATGCCAAGTTAGAAAAAATTCACTATACTTAAATTTGTTTCAAACATAACGCATTTTACTGCTTTGTAATGAATGCAATAAAACCAGAGCTACCTTTGCGTATTTGTTTCCTCTATCTCATCTGTGCGTAAGTGACAGCGGTAAGAATTGCCGCGACAACTGACAGCGGTTTTGGCGCAAAATTTGAGCCAGCGCCCGTTTGGCCCGGGAGAGGTATCGGCGTGCCGGGATCTACTACGTGGATCTTCCAGCCTAAGTTATTGTGCGTATAACACTGAAAAATAGAGAGGCACGTTCAGTAATTATGCTTACAGGTGTCCTGGTGAACAACCTACTGTGTCTTCGTTAACCGAATTATAGTTACCCTCAACATTCCCCAGGACTTCTGAGCCAAGAAGGCGGCGACTAGGTATGGGTTAGCATACCTGGTAATAGAGTAAATCGGGGGTCTCCAGAGCGACGGTCCATTCCAGTACAGCAGGTTCCCCCTCGTTGCATTCCAGCTGAAGTGTTTGCACGTACTCCTCGAAGGTCTCTGACGTGGCCGATTGGTCCGTGGTCTTGTGCGTCCATTCACAGTATCGACCCACTGTCAACAACATTGATATCGTTTTTTAACCTATTGACTAAGTACAATAAAATGTCTGTGTCTGACAATTTGTCGTTGGATAATTTGTAGTCGCGCAACTAACCTGCCGTGGGGTAAGGATAGCCCTCGTTATCGTAAGCCACTCCCGCAAACACTCGCTGTTTCCTCTGGTCCTCTTCCCTTTTCTGGCCGAAGCCTCCTTCTGAAGAATCGCTGATGTAGAACGGATGGAACCTTAAACAGATTCAACGATGTTTTTCTTTCTTTTCTTTGATATATTATATAATGATGTAATACAGTTATTGAGGCTTACTTCGCCGGATTAGTCCTGTCGTCGCCTCCTTCAACGAAAAAGGTGTACGACTTCCCGCGCTCCACATAAATTTCCGGGATGAGCTGGTCGTTGACGTACCACGCGATTCCCCAGGAAGGGTGTCCTGGAAATATCATCAAGTACCGATTGAAGACTAAGATTCAAACTAACAAATATCATGGTATTATTGATTAATGTCTAATGTCAACATAATGTGTTAACAAAAGAAGGCACCATATTTACCATAAGGCAGAAATCCATTTGTGATCTCATTGTCTGCGTGAAATGAAATGTATCAAACATATTACAATGACAAGGGGCGTATCAAGTATCAATAAAACTAAAAATAAATGAATATTAAAAATTCTACACTTTAAAATATTTTATTTTATAAAATAAAAAGGCGTTACCAGTGATTGGCGTGTATCCCCTGTTTCCTCCCGCAGGGCCGATCCTCGCTGTAAAGTTAGTGACACCTGCGATGACCCTGGCGGGCCAGGGCGCTGGACCGCTCGCATCCAATTCCGCGAGACCGATGCACGTGTTGTCGTTCTATAAATTACGGTGATATGTTTTTGTCCACGAAAACGTCACTCATTGAAAATACAATAAGTCATTTATTTATTTTCAAATTATAAAAGCTTAGTTAGTCTACCTCTAATATCTAAAGCGACAATTAATAATTAATATTTGGATGGCAATGGTCGAGTTAAAGGGATCAGAAAATATTTCTAGAAATTTCTTACCATAGCTCCAAAGTCCAACTGCACGTCGCTTCTAGTGGTGTCCATAAAAGAATGGGCGTTGGCTTCATATCTGGAGTTAAGGGGACCGAAAGCGGCGATGACCGACTGAGACCTTGACGTCAACACTTCTTTGTCCTTCATCGGCTCCCGCGCAGCTAGAGGGCGCCGGTACGTGATCGTGGTTACACCGTCTTTTTGCTGACCAGATACTGTAGCAAAATAAAAATAAAGACGAAAATCTAACTAACGTTGCATGGAAGAGAACGCTCTATAAGGCGGCCCATTGCAGTCCATAACTTGTAAGTTTAATTTATTATTTTAAGAAGGCATGTATATATACTTTGTGTGTGTGTGTGGTGCAATAAAGAAATAAATAAATGACTTGACATTTTTGAATTATAATATTATTTTTTTCTACTACTACTACTGTATATTGTATTTGAATACTTGTATCAAGTTGTCATAAGTGCCCGTCGCACTTCACTTTTCCCACAAGATGTGTGGGAAATATTCGGCCTTGTACCCATGTAAGTTATTGTATTTTATTAAATAGATAAATAAATATACCTTAAGCATATCAAGACTCTAGTAAAATTAAGATTTGTATAAAAGGAGTGACGGCAGTGTACATTTTGGAAATCGGAATTTAAGGGTCCCTCACCGAGAACTACGTCATTGCTTCCGCTGAGCCTGCCGTCAGGACAGACTCCTCTCTCTCCGTCGCATTGCGCGAGGTGCGTGATCGTGTAGTCCGCCACTCGAGGCTGGTTTGACCTGTAAAGCGTACACAACAATTCCATCGATAAGCGCGAGTTAGTCTTCAAGTTCTTTAGCAAAATTCACGATAGAAAATCTCATATTTTAGTTAATCTCACCTGTTGTCCCAATAGGCCACGGCGACATCGGCGCCGAGCATCGCCGGCCTGCCTTCTGCGCCGGAAATACCGAACGCCATGTACTGTTCCTTGCGGAGGCGAGCGGCCAACGTTATCTGAACTTGGTCACCCTGAAGAAGTATGTTTAGGTGTTTACTGTTTCAATAGAGGAACAACTTACGAGTCTTGTTTGCAGGTTAATAGAGAAAACTCATTGATTTTCATGTCGTTTTGTTCTCGGTAAATGTGGGGGGAAAATTCTAGATTATGTTGTTTAGCTGATGTGTAGCTTGTTGCACAGTCTTAATAATAATGTTATTAAGACGGCATTTTCTTTAATTTTCACGGTCCTTTCTTGTGCGTTATATTTGTACAATATTGCTAAATAAAGCCAATGTAATGCTACGGTCTCCTCGTAGCTAAAGTGTTTTCTATTAAGGCTAAGTTCGTTAAATATTTCGTTATAAATTTACCTTTTCAAATGCAGGCCACCACTCGCTTGTAAATGAAAATAAATTTAACGTATATATGAAGATCTTAATAACGTCTCGGCGCGAGCGGCAAAAATAAACGAAAGCGAGGATCCATAAAAGCTGCTTTGTGGCGATATTTCACAATGTTCGGGGATCCCGCCCCCAAACTCATGCAAATTAAATTAGGGAATGTGAGTTATGACGTGGGAGGACTCGGGAAATGGCGGGACGCTAATAACGGCACACTTTTTACAATCGTGTACAACATCGTGTTAACATATTACTCGATTATCGTATTCTTAATTAATTTATTTATTTATTCATTTATTCGTAAAGCATTTACAGCAAGAGCGATAACATGCAGTATGGGAAATTAGCTAGGAATCTTATCTAAGAAATATAAGCATCTAGATTTGAAAGACCCTGAATTTACATAAAAATATATCATTTGCGCTGGTTACTGCTAGGAAATTATTCAACAACCTTGTCATAATTACCTGTATTTCCCATCGCACTTGCAGTCTTTTATCGAGAATTTCCTTACAATTATTTGAGGAACTAAACGGTGTTTGAGACGTGGTTGAGCTAGTCTGTAACACAAAACTCATTAAAGCACTCCGACTACTATTATACGATTAGTTTCAAATGCCTAAATCTTAACAAATGATTCGAAAAAAGGTCCATAAGCGAACACATATTATCTTTAGTCAAAATTTACTAAACATAACGTAGTTCAGTGGTTTTAAGAGGGTCCGAACGTCCAGAGCAGCGACGTAATGGTCTAGACCACGAGGAAGAGGTGTAGTGTCGATGAAATACCATAACTTCCAAATCACTAAAGTATAGAAGCACTTACCGGGTTATACCACCAAGCAGGCTGTTAAACGTTATTTAATCCCAGCGTAAGCGAAGAGAAACGGACACACAAAATAGATATTAGTTTATTAGAACAAGTTCTTATGTTGATTCAATTTCATAATTATGTTTGACGTTTTACATTAACAATCTCGCATAACTAACTAAACCAATCCAAAATCGCGGTGGGCTGGGGGCGAAATTTTGTTAGTTTTGTTATTATAGACGAGGGCCGTTTTCGTTTCACCTGAAAAGTTAATTTTGCATTGTGAAAACATTCCATTGGCAGCGCTGGAATAAAAAAATAGTCCGAAGAATTCCTTAATATTATATTATATTAGTAACACTTACGTCATAGCCATCAGCGTCAAGTGTGCAAAAGTTCTCATAGTACACTGACAATCATATTAGCTATATATTTGGTTATATTGCGTAGAACAAGAGCAGTTGTTCTACGCAATATAGCAGACAACGACGGGTCGTGTGTTAGATTTCAAAATGTGTCATAGCTCATATTATAACAAACTCACAGTGATTTTGGTCTGTCCCAGCGCTGGCGGCACATCCAGATCCTTAGGAATGTAAACGTGTCCAAAATTATGTCTATACTCGACGCACCAGACTGCGAGCCAATCTATGTCGTATGCCGTCAGCTTACCGGGAAGTTGGATCTCTATGTCCTCGCCTTGGTAGCCCCGGAGGGGGTTCGAGGAACCCATCTCATTGGGCACCTGAAGTGTAATGAGTCATTTATTTACTTAATTACAAAATATTTTCTACGATCTTCCAAATACACCTCTGGATCTATAATAAAACAAGCACGCATGTCTGTATAATGTCATTTTTGAATGAGCTTTATTGTTAAGGCGAGGTCCTGGTGTTAATCGTAGGTGAGGGTTTTAAAATACAGCTGTAACTTCCAAAATCTAAATTATCTTGGAAAGTTTGATACAAGCTTTATTGATACTCACTTTAGTCCCAAAAGGACTAGGCTCGCTTCCGTTTCCGACCCAGAAGTAGGCGTCGGGACCGGCGCCATCATAATGTAAGTTTGGTATGTAGAAAGTTTTTGCGTCCAGCACGCTGATGTTACCAGACCGCAGGCCGTGTGCTAGCCTTTTGAATTCTGGCAGCACCCGTGGCCTCGGGGGGGTCCAGGCCGGGGGGGGACAAAGACATCTCCGAAATTGACCTATGCATATATTTTTATATGGCTTCTTTTTTGTAAAAAACTAAAAGTTTGTACTTAATAATTCTAGCATAGAGTAGATCCATAGATCCTGTCCTTAGGAATCTCCCGAGCGTGGGACGCGGCGATAAGCAAATTAAGTAAATTCGACGCAAGTGACATTTTGGCGGGAAGTAGTAAGAATGCGCGCGGCCCTAACCGCCCTCCCCCCGCCGCCTTCCTAATCGATATTTTGGCTTTTCACAGGCTGTCACTTTGTCCTGATGTCTGATCCTCATTATTTATACGAGGTAACACCCTTCGTACAACTCTATTACACTTTATAGCTATTCAGTGGGTATAATTGAGGCACATTTTATTGGGTGGTTATAGTAATTTTACGAATTCAACAATCGAACGGGCCGATTAATTATTATAGTTTAATATTACACCATTCATTTGAATTTGGTGGGGATTCGCGAAACATAAAATGTAAAAATAATGACAGATAACCGATTTTGTTAATGACTTACGGTAAACCTCCTACACCAAACGCTAATCCACTTGATGTCCCTGAGGCGTTTTCCTCCGGGCAGCCTAAGAAGGATATCCGAGTTGCTGTGTGCAGATAAAACTGGCGGGTCTCTGGAAATGATCTTCGAATTAATACCGAGAGTACAATGTATTCGTAAAAAGGACCTAGAGTCAGCTTCCTTGATTTTTTCCTTTTGTTGAACGCGCCAAATTCGCAGCAAGCAGTTCAATGTATACACGTTCAAAATCAGGAAAAGTTATAAAATTTGGGAGATTCTATTATATCGAATCGGCAAATATCATGTATCGCTGTATGAATCGCTCCTCTTTCAATGTAAAAATAGTAAACGACAGAAAGATCTTTTAAAGTCGGCTCCCCGTTAACGGCTTGACCATGTTCCGCGCTGTCGGTGGCTTTGTTTAGTTATTTACGACGATATCTAACGGCCTCGTCAATGTTGGCTGCAGAAAGGAACGATTTTCGACTTTCTGTAAAGATATAGGACCGTAGAGGACGTGGTGATATTCGAGCTATTAGAGTGCGTACATTGGAGGTTGTCATTGGAGGTCAGAGCTAATGGAAATGTTTTAGCGTATTCCTTTCACATAAATGAAATAATAGCTGATATCGATCGGATATAGTGTTCCGGAAATCCACGGGCGTTTTCCAATACAATTTAGGGTTTACATTGTGTTCGATAGTAGAATGGAATAAGGTTTTTAAGGTTATTAAGGTGGCATTTATCCAGCGAATGGTTGCTCTACAATTTTGTGCTATAGTTTTTTCGAATAAAATAATTATTTTAAAAGAACTGTAAAAAAGGAGACATCATTAGGTGACTATGTTATGGAAAACAAATTTATTGTAAACATTTCGTTCAACTTGTGATATGGTTAAAGTTAATTAAAACGTATATTTAAGTTACGATACGTTTCAAAACTATTCTAACTTTAAGTTCTATCACGGTCACCATAGCTCGGACTGACCTGCTAGGATAATCCTCGGGGTAGGGCACCAGTATGCCTTCGGGTGACGGTTGGGGGGTATCCCCTATCCAAAAGTAGGCATCAGGTCCGGTTCCATCGTACGCGAAGCCTCGTATAAAGACCGTGTTCTCGTCAACTGCGTAAGCGGTCCCACGGATGCCGTGGGCGTATTGCGTCAGTCGTCCGATTATTCGCCCGTAGTAAGGCTCTGGCCGGCGACACTCCGTGGCACCTGCGGGCAGAGAGCGCAATTATTAAGAAAAAGAAGCGAAGCCATTATATTAAAAAAACAAATCTGACGCGCTGAATCGCCTTATCGATACGTCAGTGCGACACTTATTGGGTTATTTGATAGAGAGCTAATCTCAAAAAGCACGAATCAGTTAAAAATCGGGAATAGCCTCTAGGTCTAGCTCCCATCTTCTAACCTACAATAGGTGTGTTCTATATATTTTTCACGGAATAGCCTAATGATTGAGAAAAATTATTGATGAATTGATGAGGAATGATTGGACGTTGACTTGGTTCATTTTAAAATCTAGTAAAATAAAAGAAGTTCAAGAGAAAAATTGCCAGGCAGTGTAAGCGATCGCCGTGTTTCTCTTATATCCTGTAGGAGCGGAGCCCATAACGGGAAACTTTGATTGACGCTCGACCCATGCTCCGCTGGATTCAGATTTGCGACGCAGAGACCTTTTCAGGGCTGCCCCTATTTTTTTTATTGAAAATTCTGATATATATGAGGTTATAAAGGAAGCATTATTTAAATAACTCCCTTTGATACTGCAGCGAACCACAGTGACCCAAACGCGAAATTCCTGTCGATAACTATACAGCCTCAATTTAATTTAAACTTTAAAAGGCGCTTTTTAATTTTTCTTAGAAAAAAATAAAAAGAAATCATATAACCTTAAGAAACGCAATGGGCAACCCTAGCCGACAGTCTTGTCTTCAAATTACGATTCTCCCTCCCGGGGCAGTTCGTTTTACTGCAGATTGAGAGATTCGCTTGATCACTGGGACGCGTAATATTTGGACATTACTCATTTATGGGTAGCTAATAACGTCCGACACGGCCAAAAATTTGGTTATCCCGAAGGACATTTTGCGTAGAAGCAAAAAAGGAGAAAGAAAATGTACAATATTCAGCACTGGTTCATAGATTTTTAAAACAAAAATCTGAATTATAAGCTTGTAGAGAACTTTTGTTACAATTGTAGTGTAATTATTGTAACCTTGCATTAATACATTTTAATTTCATCCATCCAAATATAATATGAGAGTGTTAACTACTCCGTTGCGGAAAAATGAGAAGATAAAGTCGCAGTTCTTCTCAACTTCACGAAACACACGGAATTGTATAAGCTATAAATTCTGTCGCGTCTCCTATTTATTGGTGTTCTGCTCGGCGAGCGATATTGTTTCGATTCTCGAGGTGCTCTGGGCGCGGATTGCTATATATCGGCCGTAACTTACTATATACTACACTGTATAGCCGAAGTGAGTAACGGCGCAGTTGTGAAAACGGGGATATTGGTTAGTGGTCAAAAATAGCTTGCAAACATAGTATAACCGACGTATTTTAACTGCGTCAAACTTCCTTAGGACTCTGGGTTTAAAACACCCTTTCTCGTAAAAAATCTTCATAAACCGATCGCATTACTCGCATCGGCTATAAAATTCAATCTATCTGATCCTTTTGAAGCTCTCGATGTTATTACGGCATTATCCGAAGTGAAGCATCGAAACGGAGTTAGGTTTGAGTAAAAAACCGCTGAATTTGAATAAGACGCGTAAACCCTTCGAAATGAAAACAATGCGGAGAGGTTCTCTTCGGAGGAAAGACGAATCGAGTGTACTTCGCGCAGTTCTCGCGAATACTTCGCGTTTCACCGCTCAATTTAAAACTGACTACGTTGTATAAGACTACAACATATCAAAAACGTTTGGATTTCTCTATTGTTTTCAAATACTATGATCGATATTAGAATAATATTTTAAATCGATACCGTTTTTGCGTTAAAATCGAATTAAAATATAAACTAAACCAAGGACAAAATCCTACAGTATCATCTCTTGTTCTCACGAAATATAAGAATTGACAACGAAATAACGATTCAATTTGCGTGGAGCGCCATTAGTATTCGCCGCTCAAAAAGGATAGAATTTATTAAGTCGTCGCGAAGTCACGTTCGCGAAACTCCGTTATTGCTCTGAACGATGTTCCCGGGTTTTCGTTAAGCGAGAGATCATGTTGTGATCCACGAATAAAAAGTGAAACGTAATCGAAACTATGTATATTTTTGCGATATTTGAACCAATTTAACGCAACTACTGAGCACCCGGATCATCGACTAACTGGTTCGACACCTCACCTCATCATCCGAATATATAAATATTATATCACGCCAAATTTTTATGACTGAATAAAATATGTAAGCGAGATTAAATTAGGTTTTCCTCACTACATTATGCACCCCAAAACAATATTTTATGCCTTTTGGGCTCTATTAACATAATGGTGGGTAAATCTCCAAGGCGTCGTTTTCACTTCGAAGATTTTAAGAAATTTTGCTTAAAACATTCATTTGATTAAAATTATAAGCATTGGCATGGAAACGAAAATTTTATTTATTTTTCTTATTTGAAACCCAGTAACGGACAGTTTAAGTTTTATGCTCAACCAGGTCAAAATCGAAAAAGTCAAAATGCTCCAAAGGACGTAGGAGCAGCATCTTCTGGTGAGCCAGGCGCTAACGAGCTAAGAACCGAGCTAAGTGCGAGGCAGTTTAAAACAATGACAAAGTAGAGTAAGGGGTTTGTACAAAACAATAAGTGTTAACGGTTTGCGCTGGCGCGCTTAGATTACGGGATTACGTTCGCAATCTACTTAACGACGAAGTACGCGATAAAAAGGCTCATTCAATATGCTTAAGGGACGTGTTAGGGGTGATCATTTTTAACACTAATGGTATCGACCGTGGCAGATAGAATCTGCTCAATGTGTATGGGTATCTTACTCTATATAGTGTGAGTCTTTGTCATAATCGCGACCCCGCTACCCGCGATTGAAATTATTATCAATGTAAGTACTTTATAAATCGAAAATAAATTGAAAAAATTTTTCGACTTGGCAACTTAACTGGCATCCTCACTTTCCGTCTTTCTCTACCCTACCAGCCCTACACCTCATCTTCAATTTTTTCAACTTTTATACATCACCTCTCATTATTAACCTTAACCTCTCAGGTCAATGTCTTATCTTTGCACTTAAGAAATCATTAAGTCGAAAATTTTTTCAATTTATTTTCGATTTATAAATTATATAGTGCCTTCATTGCAATAACAGGTGAAAAATATAAATGTTTTCAAATGTAAGTACTTATGTGTAGTTTTATTAATATCTTTCCCAAGAGACTTTTGTCTCAATTTACATAACCATCCTATCCAAAATTTCGAAATTGTACATGCATTGCAATGAGATATAGTGATAAGCCTAAGTTTGTCGTAATGTGCTATTTGGACATTGTGCGAAGGATCGTACTGCGTGCGATGTGAGCGTCGACTAAAATGTATCACCACTATTTCTGCCTATTTTAGCTCTGGTCAGTTCCCAGCAGGAATTTTTTACTTCCTTTAGGCTTGTATTAATATAGTTAAAACTGCTACTATACGTCATGACAACGGCGTCATAAATTTTAGGCTCAACTCAAATTAAAATGGTGTCAGGAAAGTCAACATTAGTCGGATACATTAAATTCTACAAATATTAAATGGAATGTATTGTAAATATCTCGAGCGACTTATTCAATAAACACCAATGTTTATTGAAATTGGTACCGAAGTAGCACACTCTAGAAGTTTGTCCGCGAAATATAAAAACTACTAATATAATATTTAAGTTGCCGTTACGTTACGTTAGAAATAAATGTAATGACGTGGAACACTAGGCAATAGCATTTAACTGTACATTTGACCTTTATCCGGTAATGTGCGGCATACAACAAGAGATAGATCAATAATATTAATGTCAAGAGTGCCAGTACGCCTCGCGTGACCTTATCTAACCGCCTCAATCACCTGCCTATAACCAAAGGCATGTCACACAGTTCTATGTGTGGTTCATTTTGAAAACTCTATGACCTGACCGACTTTACACCTCGGGATTTAAATCAGAGAGCTCTCCAACCGACGTGGAAAACTTACACCTGACCAAGGAAACGGTCAAGGTATGCTATAATTTCATACCATTCAATAGTTTCATACCGTTAATCGGGGCTATTATTTACCGTAGATTTAATGTCAGATTAATACGTAATACGCAAACAGTTCCGATAATCAAAAGTCTTAAAATGCCTTATGACAATTATTCCCAGAACATACAACTAGATGTGAAATATAAACTTACCAGTGCAGAGTACAAGAAGGATCGCAAGAAGCGGCGACCCGCTCCTGGGCGGGCCCAGCGGCGTCATTGGCCGAACGCCGAGAGCGCGACGGGATGAAGCCTTGGCGCGCCTTTTTGCTCGTGCGCTCCTTTCGAGTCCAATTTCCGAATCAACGCTCGCACTGATTGGAGTCGATGCGAGTTCTATTGCTCATTGTATACATAAAAAACCTTATTTCTTATCTTCTCTATTCTACTAATAGTAGGCGACGCGTTCGCTCCGCGCGGATCCGTCTGCCGCACTAACTTTCACTTTTAACTTACATAATACGCATCCGTTCACTTCTTATAACTTATTACAATTTTGATTACCATTATTTATTGTCGACGAAACAGCCTTGTTTTATGTTATTTGTGTATAATTGATGTTTGAAACCTGTAAACTAACAGGAGAATAATAAAACTCAAGGCGTTATACAAAACATATGTCTGTTAGGGTATATCAATCTTGGAATTATATTTATATTGTACTACTTTATTAAAATTCACTCCTTTGCTTCTATGCCCGGGCCAGTCTGAAAACCAGCGCTGCTTAGTGTGACAAGCATTCTGAGCAAGCTGACACTGGTAAGGCAATGAATTTAGAACCAGAAACAGCCTGCTGATAAATAGGTATGAAAATATTACATTTCTAAGAGTTGAAAATCAGTTCATTGTTAGGGTTTTTATATTAAGCACGAAATATGTACGTTTGTGCAATCGTAACCCTACTGAGTACCGAGTTACTTGCTAAGTCGTAAGTGAGTACCTCCAAGTTATATTCAAAACGTGATCTAGTTTCATCGTAGTTTAATTAGAATAAAGCTGCGCTGAATTAATGTCGTCTTCACTGTACGCTGCCTAATTAGCTTCCTCAAGTTTCAACTGTTTGTCTTGGCTGTGTTTCGAGACTAAATAAATATCTAAATATTCACCACAGTTATAGAGATAAGATATTAAGTTTGAGTTGAATGCCTTGGTGAATAGAGTTCTAGGAGGAATTTTTTGTGGGGCCCCCTTTTAAAAAGGGAAAACCTAAAAAAGTAATTAAACCTAAATAAAATTACTTGCTGCACTACTGTGTATCCTACTTTAGTAATCTAGTGCTGAATAAATGACGACCCCATGAGACACGTTATTAAGTACGCGTACTTTACCTAGAGATTTTACGAGAAGATGTGGAGACAGACAGTAAACATTTCAGCTTCAAAAAGGCCAATATAACTCAGATTGCAAACGAGTACTTAGATTCATAAAATAGTGATCTAGATTTCCTGGGACGGCCTAAAATTGAAACAAGGAATGCGCATGGTAACCTAAATTTTTAACCCCATTGCGAAAAGGAGGACGGTCCTGTTTACACTTAACAATCGTTTTGATTTGTACAATCTAACTGGATCAGATATTAAACTGCAATTTATAACATACCTTTTTATAAATTAATTCGGGAACAATTCACTTTTGTTGAAAACATCTACGTTTTTAACACACGTCTTAGGTAGGTTTCTTTGATGCATGTCCTTTTATTCGCATTTGCTAGTATATGTCAACGCTTTAACAACAGGAACGTTTAATTTGCTTTGCACATAATTGAATATTTAATAATTAATTATTTCATAATATACGCAAAAGGACGGTACACAGGGGTTAACTAATGATTATTACCTTGTTATATTATCTGCAATTAATTCTTATGTAAATTTAACATTATGTTAATTATGTTAGATGTACCTACACATTATGCTTCCAAGTACACTTTAGTTACGTTATTTACTTTAGCTAGTTTAGTTATTCTCGTACGTTTTATGCTAGAATGGTTAGGATGTATTTTAGATAATTATGAGATTAAAGACTATTTATATATTTTTACTTATAGTCTAATTTTTAACTTTAAAACAGTTGACGTTCTATTTTGTAATTAAGATGAATAAATGTAATTACTATAACCTCAAATCATTTTTTTTTATTTAAGGCCTTGTTCAAATCAAGGACTTATATGAGTATAGAGCAAAAATATAATAGTAATTACACAGATAGTATGAGTAGCTGAGGTCTGAAATATTAGTCAATTGTCATGCGCCATTTTGAAAACTACAAATCATTGATGCTCTTATTAGAGGGAATATTTTTTTAATTCGTAGATTCTTGTAATTACAGATTATATTAACTGCCTAGCTATTTAAAATAAATATGTGGAAACATTTTGTTTTGTATTAGATATGAAAATAGCTTTTTTAAATAATTCAATGACGGTAATATATCTAGTAATGTCGGTTTATATAGTAGTACCTGCATTTGTTTTTTCTTGCACTTACCAAAAATATCAGTTGTTCTAAATCAATCGAGATGGTCCAGTAATAAAGAATTTGAACATCAAAAAAAAAGAAGGAAAACAATTTATACCAAAACAAAAAAATCCGCATAACATAAACGAAAAAATACCGCAGCGTTGTAAAGTGTGGCTCTGAAAAAATCAATCTTGAACCGTGATCGAATCGAACTAACACATTGATTACTAATTAATTAAGCAGGCTGTTAACAGGTCGTTAATTTAATTAAATGGGCACTCTTTGATCTATAAAAACGGAGTAAATTATGTTTAAGTGAGATTACTTTGTTTTTAATTGTGCGTCACGTGATGGCGCGTAGTTGCGTCGCGCTGGCTTGAATTGCACTGCCGTAGTGATTGAGGGATGCAAGGAGACTAATATTCCACCTAATTTTGGGAGATTTTCAGTAAATTCCAAAGCGAGTTAGAATTTTTACAAAACATTTGTAAGCACATCTTATTTCACAGATTACGTATTTTTTTACAACTTATTTAAAATGTATAAGTATTACTAAAGATTATATGTTAATGTCAACTAAACTAACTAACTAACTTAACTAAAACATTTCACGTTTTAAACAGTTTAAATGCTATATAAACTTATGTCAGAAGTTAATAAAACTATCAGAATCATCTTCCCTTCAAACTGTGATTAATTTATAATTATTGGTTTCGTACATTTCGTAGACCTAATTAGACTTTTTATTATTACATTGGTTGGAGTTTATGAACGACTATTTGAGATAATAAATGTTTCGGTATATAATTCGGAAACTAGATTTTAGTGGTGAAATTTAAAATCGTGCTGGCAACACTGCAAGGCCTGCCGCCCCTCGTAGCGCGTAGACCCCGCCCGCCCACACCGGCTACGAATTACGTAGGGCGCTCCGGCGCTACGTGTCACATTTACGTGAATCAGAGATATTATAATTGTGTCATACCGCGTAATATTGTCATCGGATGTTACTAAGTAATTAACCAGCTTAGACGAGTGGAGGTGACCGTTGAAGGAGTATTTACAGTTGGTCCTAATATTAAACACCTGAGTTACATATTAATTTGTTTCGGTATGGCAGTATTCATATTTTTTTAATTTTAGTATTGATCTATTATTGAAGGGGGCTTAGAAGTACATTTGCTCCCTTAACCGGTTAAAAAATATTTCTTTACTATGCTCAGTTGTTAGGGTAATACTACACACAGAATAGAAGCAAAGTACCCGAACCGATATTCTGGGTTAGGAACCACTTTATTTCGTTATTTTTTATGTCAATTGCTAAACAGTTTAATCTATATGTCATACAGTAGTGCATCATTAACCGAGATATTAATTACGGCTCTTTAAAGGCGACTAAAGTCATTTCTCGAAACTTCATTTATATAATAAATCGAAGTCTTTCGCGAGATCTTGTAAAACTTAGCAACAAACTCGAAATGGGTCAAGGAAAAATTACAACATCGGAACAAATAGTCAAGTAGGTTGCAGTGAACGGATAATAACAGGAAAAGAGTGCAAGAATTTCTATTATTTCCCGCGATTCTTGAGAAACAAGCTTCGATTTTACAGCTTCCTACACATGTATATCGTCAGTATTTATGTGACCTGTATCATGAGTCCTGAGAGAGGTTGCACTGCTTTTGCTTCTATGTGGTATAAAAGAATGTGAGACGGCGCCTGCATTTTTATTTAAGCAATGTTGAACGATTTCGATCGTCTCACGCTGTCCTCTAGGCGCATAAAAAGTATACAAATTTAAATAAATTGAGACGTAGGTTTACTTCTATATTATTCTGTTTTGTGTACATTAACAAAAATAAAATAGTATATACATTGTTTGAAGATTTAATATTTTCATCAAAAAAAAGTTTTATTTTTTAAGAAGCTGTCAAAGAGCAGCGGAGTTATACTTTAACACCTAATAACAAAAAATGGGTATTCTCTTGATTTGCTAACTTTACAGTACTTCCTTCTACGACGGAGTCTATTTGTAAATGAATAATGATTATTGCCGAAATGCTATTAGACTAAAAATTTGTTAACGGTTCGAAAAAGCATTTGATAATTTATGGCTATTTGTACTGTCGTATACCGGTATTCCTCGATCGACGATTAAGGACAGGTATAAAGAGTAGACTAGCGACTGAATAGCATTATCATTTATCATGTTCATGGGTGCTCCCGACTAATTACACGTGAAATAGTTTTATTTGGCTATAATTAAAATGGAAGGACTGTTTTTTTTTAAATTTGGGAAATTGCCTTAATAGAGTTGCGATGATAGAGGCATGAAAAGGTTAAATAAAAATAAAATTAACTCGCTTTTTATTTACTAATATAGTCATGTCCAAGACACATTTACAAGTTAAAAAAGATGTGTATCCTGAGATATGAGAGAATCTCTATATCCTAGAAGTGATTTTATATAAAGCAGAGTAAATAACAAACATCACAGAGAATATATTACTTAATCTCCACCACTACTTCTTACAATAATGAATAATATGTTAAATCTAGTCATAGACCGTTTCGCAACCTTCACTGACCCCCCGTTCAATTAGGATCGGGTGACGTAATGGCTTCCTTTATCAAGTCGAATCGCTCTCGACGATTTTAATTGGTGAGCGAAAAGTTGTGCCAAATTAGCTAATAATAATTACTGTCCACATGTCCAACATGGGGAGTTGACCCAGTAAAGTGACCTTTACTCGTTATGGTTATGTAAAAACGTATTTGACATCAGACGCGAGACGGTCTTAAAAATAAACGAACGTAATACTATATCGCCTTTGGAGACACACACACAGTCTTAATAGGTGGTGCTTGCATTTCGTCGATTGATAAATGTTTTAGGAGTGGGGTTCGTATTTGAAGGACCAAATAATACTTTCGATCATAGAAAGCAAAGATTTAAATATTGATGACTTTGTACTGTCTAATCAGTAATACTCATAATATCAATTTTATGATAGCATCGATAAAGCGACTAAGCGTTAGCTCTCCGCTGGTTGTACGTTTTGTTCAAATTGCATTCGCCGTCTTAGCTGCGATTGTTTCTACGATCTTAAGGATGTCGTGATAAAAATAGTGTCGGGGTGAACGATCCCGACTTTTCATTTATCTCGCATCTCGTAAAAATAATAGCGTCGAAGTCGAGGCGTGAATCATGTGTTCAGGGAAGTAATAAACGTCGCACATGCGCTCAAATTTACTTATTTCGCACTTTAAACGAGGGCGAGGGCAATTATTATCTTGGCGGAGCGTTTTATTTCAAATACAAATAAATTTAATGGAAGTGGTGAGATCGCTTCAATGGATTACGACAAACCACTGACGTTTTAAGCGGTTCTAATTACTAATTTCATAATATAATTTAAAATCTACACTAAGTTGCATCGAGTACGCGTTTTGATATAAAAGATTACACGATATTGTCGAACCAACTTGGCTATCATGAGGTAATCGGATTGCCTTGCTTAAACCCGGAGCCCTTTACAAAGGTAAGCCTCGGAGTGACCTCATTTTATAAATATGGAAAAGTTTTGTAAGGCCGTCCGGCCCCGGCGGCTTTTTCGCTCTTCGAAGACATCATTTCCATCTTTACAGACGGCGTTGGGTTGGCTTCATCTTTTAATTTTGAATCCTGAAACACGATTGGATTAATCACTTTAAAAATACCTTAAATACGAAATATACTCGATACATTCTCGATTTAAAACATCTATTAAAACGATTATAATTGACTTAGGAGCACTTAGCAATTCATTCGAAGCTAATTTGTGAAGTACGACTATGCGAGTGAAGAATTCCAACGAGGTCAAATAATAAAGATTCATCCTGGACAGCGGGTACTTGTGTGGTCATGAGCTCTTTGTGTGACTTGCCGGAGATCTTTCTAAGCGGCTGTTTCGATTGTACAGGTAAATGTCTTCTAAGTCAGAGCTAGTCGTGCCAAGCAATAATTTTAAGGATTACTTTTTTTATCCGTGATAGGTATGTGAGTCAGGTAAGATAAACAGTCACTGTATTTAATAAACTTTCGATCTAGACATCTTGGGTGGTCAACTAATTGCTAGTCGCTCTTACATTTGAATTCCCAGATAATAGTTAAATCATGAAGCAAGTTATTTGGTCCTGTCTACCCACACAGGTCTCGTTTGCAATACGGGCGTGTTTTAACTGGAACCCGTGTTAAAATTAGAATTTCCGTTTGGGATTCCTTAGATGAAATGCATTCAGTTTGATGAACGACTTCAGTCATACGGTTGTCAATTATGCGTGTTTTGTGCGTGAAACGACGCTTTTGTGGTTCGGTTTAAGGGGAAAACGTATAAAAATAGTCGTATCATTAGGCAATTTCTGGTGAGTCACTGAATTCATAGAATAACAGTTACGATCGAGGAAGAATCTTGATGGTAAACAAACTGATAAGATCCATTATTAGAAACGTTATAACGGCTGCTATCTTTTAGTAATTTGTCGGAATCACGCATCTTTGGGGATCTCGATCACATCATGTTTATTAGAAGCAACTAAGCAACGATCGTAAACAATAAGCGTAAACATTGAACCGAATGACTCAACGGCGACTTACACTCATTATCATATCACGAGCTCAAGCACACGTTAGTAGCAATCCGACGCCGAACGGCATTTGTCGTATTTTTCGTGTAATTACCTCGATTATTTGTTACACTGTGAAGTCGTCAACTCAAGGCTGTTATCGAGTGAAGGCGCACTGCGACAGTGCAACGCGAATATTGCGTTTTCCTTAACGACAACACAAAGGCGTTATTTTACATGCGTAATATTCGCGAGTTCGTTTGACTCGGGAATTGAACAATGAGTGGAGTGCGTTTGTGAGAAACCGAATTCGAAAATGATTAAAAGGAACGGCGATAATGGATATGCGATCGCGTCGAACAACAATCAGTGTCAAGGCGGACGGAGTAGTGTGTCGATCTACTCGAGTCCAAACACGAGGATACCGCGCTCGACCGCCGGCAGGATGATGCAGCCAGATGCACAACAGCACACCAAGGAGGCGAATATCGCGCTCTCCACTTACGTGGAGAAGTGGAAGAACAGATACGAGGACGCGGAACGGAAACACAAAGCCTACCTGCTGAAGTCAGAAAAAGGTTTAGTTTTGTTTTGCACTGATTATTGTAATGAATCAACAAACGGTGACGCATTTGAGTCGTCTATACAATTTACGTTTAATTTTTTACGTCAGTAAAATAACAATTCACAAGAGAACTTGTTTAGTTCTAACTTTTTGTGTCATTCTCCACTAAAAGAATGAAATGTCAAATATGATAAATGAGTAAACTGTCAAAAACTTCTCAACTTTCCTATTCAAGGACAATATCAACTCAAATTGTTTAACCTAGATAATTACTATTTACCATGAGTATTTACTATTTATCATTAGGTAGATAGTTTATGAATTTCTCTATTAAAAGATAAATTGCAAACTTTATTTGGTAAGTTAAGATTACTCTTAATAAATTTAAGTAAAACTTATGAGCATATTATGCTTGTACAATGTCTTACATTACATAGTCATAGTTGCGTAATTGAAGATAATCACTTCGAACATTAGGTATAAGAAATATTACAACATGTCATTATCTGAAGCTTGATCATGATATCTGGAATATTACCTAATGCTTGCTTTATCTTTGTTTAAAACACAATATCTTATTGTGTACCTCAAACTTTCCAAAGTACTCGGTAAAATTTTCTTACTTTAACTTAAGAAGTAAAGTGAATAGTGTATTAAAGTTTTTGGGTAAATTTAAAGGACACTACAACTTTTCAAATTTCTTTTAAAACTAATTCCATTGTATTGGTAATTATTAAAGTCTAATCATCTAATATCTAAGTATTATAATTCTCAACAAATATTATCAGTTGTCATGATCGTGTCTAGAGAAACCATTTGCTTATCAACCTTAGTGAATTCTAGTAATAGCTTTTGTCATTAACTCACTGTGTGCAATAATGACTTTGAAGATACACTGTAACAATATAACATTCTTATAATTGTAATACGACCTAGGAAACTCAATAGGCTGGTGTTATTCTAAAATGCATGTAATGCATGCATGCATTTTCATAGGTTTATTTTTAAGCTTTTGCTTACCATCAAATAAATACCAATATAAGGCTCATGTATATATAGAAGCCATCGCTATATATACTAACTCAAAAGTTTAGTTGTGTAATGCTGGGCCTCATGCCAAGCATGAAAGGTCTAAATTCCAGAAAATGGGTCCGGACCTGATAGGATAGGTGATCACCTTGTTTCCTTATAAATAAAATAAATTTGTGGGTAAAGCAACTTAAGTGCTTACCCTAGTTTCTCAGTAAGAGATTTAATGTAATCATTTGAGAAATAAATAAATTTTTAAACTGTAAGTGGCCCGTATCAATAATGTAAAAGTGGGGCCCCATTTTAGAGACTGTTAATTCACTGAACTTCTTCATCTTTATTTTAAACACTTTCAGCTCGAAGAGAACATGATGATCTCCAACGCAGATATAATATCCTCTTTGAAGAAAGGAACCACCTGGATGCTGAGCTTAACGACCGAGAGAAGGAGCTCAACAAGTTGCGAAATGTCTCTGAAAAACTTTTCCAGGAGTACCAGCAGCTCAAGAACCAACACGAGATTGATGCTGGGGTTATGCACAAGTGAGTTATTTACATGCATATAACATTGCCTTCCACAAAATGAACGTTGGCGCGTCCTATTCCCATAACAAAAATTAGTTTACTTATTATTCAAAAATTACTTTTGTATATCCTAAGTTAGGCAGAGGTGTTCAAATTCGTAATATGCTGGGTTGCATAACCGACAAGTTCAAACAGCTCAAGGTTTGAACTCTAGGCAAACATATTACAATTGTATTGGTCATCATTGGACACAATATGATTATTAGGTTTATTAACAGAAATAGTGCTTGCAATCGTAAAGTCTATTCTGTGTTGGATGGACATATTCAGTTGTGTTTGAGCTATTTCCTAAGAAGCTTAAGTATAACATAAGAAGTTTAAACCTATTATCTGCGTCTGACATTACTATTTACGCATCGGACACATTCGCTAAGAATGGATTAAGTAACGCAAGGAATAGTTGACTGACCCTATTAACTATCCGGTTGCCACTTCCAAAAACTTACAAGTGTGTTAACACTATTGAATAAATTGAAAATATATTTTTGATTGGAAGAATTTTACGACACGGGCAGGATTCGAACCGGTATCCACAGCGTTCCGTGCTGCTGCTCCAACCAATTGAGCTACCGTGCCCCACACGTCATCGTCGATCCTATTGATACAAGTATCTCTCGCGCAATGTAATTTCTAGCTTAATATGGAAGTGTTAGGTTTAAAATTCTTCAACTCTTATGCCTTGCCTAAGAAAATAATTGAATTGTTTCAATATTGCTTATTTAAAACTTTTTCTCAAAAATTTATACATTTATTATTGAACTTAACTGATATTCCTGAGGTGGTGCGGAGATCTCCGTTTTTTATCATTATGGATCAAATAATGTTATGTTTGTGTGCATATCACACGCGAGCATGAATCGGGGTTAGGGACACATTACTACATTTATAAACAATCATTTCTCAGAATAATTCCTATACAATTATTAGTCATTGTTATAAGTGAGCACAAATATTGTTTTATTGGTTAATCGCTATTTATATCCCAAATTTAATGACGAAGCGAGGGAAAAATTGTTTATTCTAAATGCATCCAAAATGACGCAAAATCTTTCAAAGAATTGAATATTCCTTTACAAATAACAGCGACGGGAGAATGACCCATATTTATAGCTTGTTAAGGTTTACGTGGGTGGGTGATTGCATATTTATAGGATTAAAGGGAAGTTTGAATATGCATAGCCGCAGTATAAGAATGAGTACACGCTGCGTCTGGACCTCAGAAGCCAATTAATTATCCTCGTGATAAGTTAACGGGACTCGAGATGTAAGGATTTTTGTTTCATTCATTTTAATGAGAAGTAGAGAACAATTTATTTTCAAACGAGCACAATGTTTCTTTATTTGCGAGTGCCGAAATCGATAAAACAGTGTATTTTTATTGAAATAACATTTTTTAAATAAAGATCTGATGTAGTTTTCACCGTAATTTAGCGGAACTAAAATTATAAATTCCCTATATTTAATGCATAAAGCGCAATAAGATGTGACTTATATGTAAAGGGAAAATTAGCATTTAATTGTTCTTTGTCAAAAGTGGGTTATTCTTATTGAATGATGCATTTCACTGTTATTTTCCACGATTACTAAGTAAGACGCCTGAAATAATTAAGAAGTCACCAAGGAAATGTTTGATTAATCACTAAATGTCTGCGATGTACCGAATTGGCGTTCCACATCTGAGCTAGAAAGCTCATAATATATGCCGATATGATAATTTCGGTACGAATTTCACTGTCGACGTTAAATCTTGTAACATTTTATAGTTTAGTGGTTTACTGCGTTCGCGTCGGTTCAATTTCGATTTTACTATGGTACAATAAATTCGGTGGTTTACCACTTCTAAGTGCAAGCGGCATAATGTGTACGGAGTGCTTGAACGATGAAAAGCTATTCAAAGTTATTATTAAACTGCTGTGAGTAATTAGTTATCAAGCTTTCGTCATTCACGTAGCTTATGCGTGTAAGGTTAAATTCATACATTTTATTTCGTTTTCCTTTAAATTTCTACTTTGTAGATGATACACATTTTTTTAAAGTTTTGATTTCAACTGGATTATATAAGAGTTATGTAGTCTCTTATAGGCCTTTCTCGTCGCTAAGGTATAAAATCTGTCCAGGGTTATGCAGCAGGCGGGCGAGTGGTACAAACAGAACAAGCAGCTCAAGAGGCGAAGTACTGCTTTGCTGCACGCGCTGCCTTCCACAGTCGACATAGATCTCACCGATGCCACAGACACATGTAAGCGGTATTATATGGCTTTAGATTAAATTTGCTTTTTTTTTATCAGTTGAGGGTAAGGAAAGGGTCACTTAAGAGATTATCAAATGTTTGTTCATTCACATAGTGATAGTGATGTGAAACAAGAGTTATTCTAGAAGCTTCTGAATTAGAAAGAATGTTGATATGGCAATATATGTAACCTGACTTTCGTATACCAAACAGCGTCAGAAGCGAGCAGCAACGAGGAAGTGGAGTTCCTGAAACGCACAGTCAGCGAGTTGTCTGAACAAATCGCTACACTGCAGACGGAAGCCAGCGCTGCGAAGCTGCACGAATTCGAGGCGCACGAGCTGAACGTGCAACTTACGCAGGTGAGTTATGGCTCAATAGGGCAAGTGTTGACTGTACTTGTATTATATGTTTAATTGTGTCATTATTTTAAAAATGCTACATAGTGTAAGTTTCTTTATATTAATGTAAAACCTCTGAATGCCAGAATCACTGGAAAAGGACACATTTCTTTTAAAACCTTTGTATATAATTTTATTGTTGAACTTTAATTTTAGGAATTAGAGGTAGAGCGAGAAAAAAGCTCTCAGCAAACGAAGGAGTTAGAAGAGATGAGGTCGAAGCTGGAACGGCACAACCGCGTCTCCAAGTTGCTGATGGATGAGGTCACGGCGCTGAAGGAGAACGCTGATAAGGACAGGAAAATGGCTGAGACGTAATTAGAAAACCGATTAAATTATATTTGAAAACTTCGATCTGTAGCACCCCCTCTTCGTTTCTTATTACTACAATATAGAACGTAGTTATGAATAGATTTTGCAAGCGCATCACGAGTGAAAATAATTTCTTCCAGTTACAAATCGGAGGCTCGCGACGCGAAGAAACGAGCCGTGGTCCTGGCGCACCAGAGCGCCCTGCTCATGGGCGAGATGGACCTGGACGAGCGATTAGGGCTTCTTCTCACCGAGGTGGATAGTTTGAGAGACGCCCTGGAAAACCAGGTCGCCAGGCACAATGAACACATTGAGCAGCTGCAGGTAAATGCCATAAAACGCTGTACGTCAAATGCGAAAACTTACGAGCGAGGCTGTGACATTTATTTGACGTCCAATGTTACCAACATTGCGACAAAGTTTCAGATTCATCTAAATAGGGTGTGAAAGTGTGCATTTTTGGCCTTCCTTCGTAGTTAGACTACAACAAATCCAACAACTTGCATGTTGCATCAGTCCGTAAAAATAAAATTAAAAAACTTATTTCAGTTGCAATTATCAGAGAAGCACGAAGATACTGATATTCTTCTATGGGATGAGAAGATAAGACTGGCAGAAGAAGATGCGCAAAAGGCCCTCGAACGTGCGGAAAGAGCTGAGAAGAAGTTAGCCGAGTTGGAAAAGAGAATGAAAAGTGAACCGCGTTCCACTCTCAAGAGTAGAATTAGTTACTTCGAGAGCGGTGGAGTGGAGAAAATTGAAAAAAAAGTGATTAAAGAAGAAGGTAATTAACTCTTCATATTAAAGAGCTACAAAAGTATCTCGCTCTGTAACAAGACGCAGATATGTACGTCGTATAAATAGGAATCACCATTGTATTAAATCTACACAAAATAGTATTTACTGCTGGAAACAGACCCCCTGCTTTAATTGCTAATATAGCAATTAGACTATTTTAGTAGGTATTCTATCTGTATGAAATATATTTTATTGTCAAACGATAACTTTTAGTGGTTGACTTTTCCAGAGGCTCCCATGACACCGCAGGTCCTAGAGCCCTCTCTGCCAGCAACTACACCTCCCATCACCGCTGCTACGCCTCCCCCTCAGCCATTGCCTAGCCCTTCCCCCGCCATTCAAACAGCGCCTCCACCTCCCCCTCCCCCTCCAGTATTACCACCCCCACCGCCTCCTCCACCGCCGCCGCCACCCCCGGCGGTATTCGAAAGCAGTGGTGAAACGGATATGGCAAAACTGTTGGCAAGCAAGTCGGGAACGCTCAAGAAAACAACGCAGAATGGTGGTAAGGCCAATACTATTTAATATGTATCGAAGATGGTCCGACACGACCAGTAGGTCATTGTAATAATTTAAAACAAACGTTTTTTCAATTATTAATTAAAAGTAAATCGAAGATAAATCGAAGACTACAACGTCGATTTATACATAATATACTATTCTCTTATAAAGCGCAGTGTATAATGCTTAGCTCACTGTTTGTTTTGTACGAACATTCCAGGTGGTGCTATAGATGCCATAGTGGATCAGATTAAAGGCGGAAAGTTTCAGCTCAAATCCACTGACCACACGGTCGAAAAGAAGCCGAAAGATGAACAACCGGAAGCTGTGAAGGAGATGCTGCAGATATTGGGCACGCTGCGCAAGCGCAGAGGCGGACATCGCCCAAGCTTGATTACTGAGAACACGTGATCAATCTATTATAAAGCTAGAAAGGTGACTACGAGTTAAAGCGCCCCTTATCTCATTCTATTCGTAATAGAAAGATTAGTAAATAATCTTATCGTATGGTTAGTAATATCACATCATACCCTCTATTGATCGAAGTTACATTTTGGGTATTGTGACAGTACCTTGTTTAGGAATATTAGGTGTAACCATTTAGAGGCTAGAGTATATAATGTTTTAAGAAATTACAGGTAGAAAAGTCAATTTTAATATATGATATATATATATCTAGCAAAGTCTACTTTGGTCGTTGAAGTAGATTGAATTATGGCCGCTAAATACTCGTTAACATCTCAGGAAGTTCATTGTTTGGATAGGTAGTAGACTTCTAGATATAATATAGATTATGTAAAATATTTTTAGTAAGTGGTCATCATATTTGAGCTTATTAAGTGAAACTAGTGCCTTAAGAATGTATTTTTGATGTGATTGAATACTCGTTTTAGAAAGATTATATGTTTAAACACGAAAGATACAATATGACACTTGACATTTGTTGTCATGTTGACATTTTATAGTGACTGTCAAAATGCCAACTATCAACATGTTCGCCTGCCGTTACCTTCTTACTCACTTTCATAGCTTTGAACCTGTACGATTTGTGGCGAGCCAAAATTACTATAATTTTACTTAGAGTGTTGTAATATTGTATCTTCCGTTCATACGACTTACAAAATCGCATGGACAAGTTACCGTTTGGTGCCATCGACGTTGAAGCATTTATTTTAAGTTTTATACATTAAAGTATTATTATTTAGTTCTACGGACGAAGCGTTGAATCTATTTTTGCTAAAATGATGAATAAATACAGAGCAATCTTACATTTATTACATATTTACAATAGCTTGTACTAAATTTCATAAGAATAAAATCAATAGCAAAATGTACATCGATTTGTTTAGAATGTTCCTTTTACCATTTCCAGAGAGTTTTACTGTTATTTGCTGATCGTCTACAAAATCTCTGTAAAGTGAAAAGTCATTAACTCACCGACGCCAAAGATCTCGCAGATTCGGCGAATGGTTTCACTTAGTTCATTAATACAAGTCATTTATTTCGATCGGTCTCTATAATAAATAATAATTGCTAATAAAATAATACACAAATCATTGATCAAATATTACGATCACAACCCTAGCTGGACGGAGTTATTAACAATTAAAAAAAACATAAATACTTCTGAAAACTATGGCATGTGATTCTACAAAATAAATATGATTAAAACTCGAATGTAACTAAAACAGTGCGCCTTAATTAATGTCTTTCAAAGCTAATTCAATCATTGGAAAGGTTTCAGCCGATGGCTGGATATATTGTGAATCGCATACAGGGAGTACATGTAGGTCGGTTTTCCTCGCCAGGGGGCAGCAGGTTCGACGCTGATCGATACAAAAAACAAAATAAATGTCACGAGGCTCTGCAACATTGTGAGATACATGATATATGTACCGTGTTTAGTATTTGAGTAGACATAATAAAGCATAATAGCTCCATTTTAGCGAAATTCGAATAATTACAGTAACTTCGTATATACCACGAAATATTATGTTATCTAAGAATTGTTAGAATTTTATTTTCATATCGATAATAAATGGTAGGACGGGACTCGAACCCGCTACCAACAGCGTACTGTTTTTAATATACAATACCTACGCATTTTTTACAAGATTAAAAGCGTCTCCTTCAAGCTGTATGAGTATGTGGCATAAGACAACATAGCGGTCAACTAGCGATACAACAATTGATTCCAATCTTCATTTAAATATATTATAAGCACTTTAAATTAAAACCCGTTCAACGGTTTAAAACGTGATATATATTCGTTAGGTTATTTACAATTTATTTTACACCCTCCATCTTCATTCCTCCCGGGATCACGACCGCTGCAAAGCTTCCGAAACGTTGGGTCGGGAAATTTTTAATAAGTTAACTAATATATGTCGCGTTTTAAACCGTATATGGTGTTTCATTTAAATGTGTACTACTCGCATTAACTACAGACAATATTACAATAAGCACTGTTAAAGTGTTGAATACATTCTAATTACACAAATAAAATTTACTTAAACGAGTTCTATTATCCACTTAGCGGTTGACATTAAATTAGGTCTACTTACAAGCTCCGCTACGCAAACTAAACAGAAATAATAACTACATATATGGAATAAAATCACACGTAATCTATAAGTCAATCAAGAGTTTGACAGGCATTTGATTATAGTCTTTAAAATCAAAATTTAAAAAATTGTGACGTCATATTTCTGTCTAACCATAATAGAATACTGTCAGCCGTGGTCACGAGTAGACGGACCCTGCGTCTCCCCGTGACTACGGCTACTGCAAAGCATGCGAAACGTCGGGCCGTTTTATGTTTTATTTAAATGTCACATTAATAGATCAAATGCCCTGTCGATTGGCGTCAATATAGGATTATAACTCACAAAATGGATACCTCTAAATTTTATTTGTCACTAACTACGATGGAGTACATCTTACTGCGAGTATTCCCTGAGTTTGTCGACGACCAGCGCCTGGTTCCGCTGTATCCAGGCCACGTTGACCCTGGCGCGCTCAATGCCCTGAGAGACCGCCAGCTTCGCTTCGTCCAGGTACGAAGAGTTGGTCTCGTACCATTTCAGGAACTTGAAAAATTGTTATTGTCTATACTTTGCACGACACGCTCCGAAACGTCGGGTCGTAGTTAAAAAGAATTAAAAATAAGTTTATAAGTATATACTGCCATTTTAAGCTTTAATTTTTATATTTTAATAATTCGATTTATCTACAATTCACGTTGCTGTTGGTCCTTCGAGCCGATTATGTCAGTATGCGTATGTAAGCAATAATTTAATAAGCATAAATGGTTACCTCGTCAAGTTCCCGTTGCGTGGTAAATTGGTTGAGCAAAGTCTTGATGATGTAGCCCAAACGACGGTCCTGGCCGTTGAACCTGTAATGGGCACAATAGAAGTGTTTATTTTTTTTAATGATTTGGACAAAGATGCCTTTTGATATACCGTCATTATAGTATATTTCTATCTAATACTGTCTGTACTGCTTACGCGATTACATATTGAATTAAAAACACATTTAACGGTTTAAAATACAAAATGTTACACTTATTACACTTATTTTACAAAACACCTGAAACGTCGGGCTATAGTTATAATAATTTGTATGTAATTTCGCGTTTTAAACCGTTAAAAGTGTTTTATTAAAATCTTTTAAACTTTAATCCATGTCCACTGATTACTCACGCTTTGTAGATGTCGTCGATGCGCGTGTAGATGAACTCCTTTCCGTAGTAGTAGCCCACGGAAGACGAGACGACGGCGCTTATGACGGACGCGGAATCCTGACGACGGACTTCGGAACCATCTGTAATCGCCCACTCCAAGTATCTGAGGCGAAAATAAAGATTATTTAAAGGAACGCGTTAACTAGCATCGTCATTATTGCAACAATAAGCAAATTCGTTCGGACGGAGTTGACACCTTCGACAAAAATCGACCAGCGTACGGTCAAGAAACTGAAGGAAGGAATTGTTGTGTTTATGTATAATACATTTTCCTTCTAAAACTCAAATACACTCAAAATTTAATTATGTATTCTAAAGATCAAATTCTCACTTACTGTGCAAGTATCCAAATGTCCCTGGAGCAAGCCAATGCGCGCAGCAGTTGGTCGCGGGCTGCAGCGACATTGGTGCGCCTGCGCCGCTCCAACGCGAAGCGCCAATGCCGGACCGAGCCTCTTTGGATGGCGACACAGTACACGGTCGAGCGTAGGTCCAGTGGGATGCTGAAAATTGCAATAAGAACTGGTAAGTTTCAAACATTACATATCTTTCCGATTCATGTAAATGAGACATCAATGGATACTGTCTATAGTTTAAGCGAGTAGTACACATTTAAATAAAACACTTTAACGGTTTAAAACGCGATATATTAGTTAAACTTATTTGAAAATGATTTTTTTAACTAACCCGACGTTTCGGATGCTACATAAAGAAAAATATGAACCAAAAATCATATAAAAGACGCTGAATAAAAGATTCAAATCGTGTGTGCACGTTCACTAACCGGAAACACATTAATAGTATTAGTTTTTTTTGGTGAAGGTAAAGATGAGTGACGCTATTCATCTGAGAGATTTGTCTGAACAGAAATATGTTAGCAAAGGTATAAGAACTCACGGATTGTTTTCGTCTGGGTTCTTGGTGTTCATCCAGTCTTCAAAGAGTTGTATGGCGTTCTCTTCGCAGCCCGGGACTTTGGCTCGGCAGGCCGTTGCACTCGTTGTGACCTGTAATTATTTTTAAACGCACCGATATTTTACGAGCGATCCACCAAATAAGTAAGAAAGACCACTCAAAATTAATATTCTCTTCTAAAAATTTACTAATGAAATGTGACGTTGTTTTTAGAAGCTTTGTATTATTGCTGTTCTTCCGCTGTATTTAATAGAAATGAGGGAATACCACGTTTTGATAAGAATAATAGTACTCAGAGATGCAATTTATTATACTATTATTTTAAAGTTTGTGCGAATAGATAGATCTAGTTTGGCTTGACCATAATGTGGCAGATAGACCCCTAGCAGGCGATTAGCCTTAAGAAGCCATTTCAAATTACCTGCATCTTAACACTCTCCAAGTCGTCAGCGCGGAGTATCTTCTTAGCGGCGAGACCTCCGGCCTTCTCGTACGCGCGACGGATCAGTCTCCTCATGAATTTCTGGTAGGCCCCGTAGTGGGGAGTGCGCTTCAGGACGTTCTCGATCTTCGCCAACGCGCTCAGGCCGGTGGACAATGGGAGGTAGTCGTCTTCGTGCTGCAGGTAGCTCGCTAATCTGTCACAACGCGAGAAAGTATTAAGAAGTTTACAAGCACTTTGAAAAATAAGATACTGCCCCATAATGAGAGAATTATATGCTTCATCTCTTTTTTGTCAGAAGAGGATAGACAAACAAGCACGAGGTTCACTCAATGGATGACGATAGCGTTTGCCTTATAAAATTTGCCAAACTTATTGCTTTTCCATCTATAGACTGTGGTCTGTGACCAGAACGAAATTTAAGTGTATAAGATATATATAAATATAGTATATAATAGAAATCAGATTCGTCGCGAAATTTAAAATATTACAGAAAAAAAAAATTAACTCATGCCGTAGGTGGTGGGAATGGAACCCACGACACGTCGATTGTAAGCCGTTGAATACGGCCATTGAGTCCGTCCATTTAATTTGCGAGAAGGAATAACTCTTAGTGTAATTGTGAATATTCCTATAGATTAAAAATGTAAAGTTTGTTCTTAGAGGTATCCCTTTACGCTATCAGTTCTTTTGATAAACCGTTACAAGTATGTAATGCAATATAAATAGTATTCATTATATTTAGAAGCCAGTAGTAATAACTCACTGTAAAGTAGTAGAGTAGTCGAGCTTGTTGGTCCAGGCCAGCGCAAAGGCGTCGGAGAGCAACTGCACCCTGCCCAGCACCGGCACCAGCGAGTGCTTGTCGCTGGTGAGCGTGGAAACCAGCAGCTGCCAATTGCGGGCGTCGTAGTTCACGCGGTACGGCGCTGCAACGGCATGGTGTTAAACTAATAATAACTAACTGAGTGAGCGACTGTTACTCACGACGTCAATCGCGTCTCGTCGTTTTTGCGAGTTAATCTCAAAGGTACAGGTTCGCGGACATTTTGTAGATCACTTAAAGATTCTGAACTCTATGATACAATTTTTTGGGTAACTTGAACTGTTTTCGCTGCGTACGCAACGAAAATCCTCAAAGATCAATAATTTCCCGCCTTTGTACCACATTTCCCACTGTTTTTTTGCTCCTATTGGCCGCAGCGTGATATTTTATAGCCTAAACCGTTTCTCGATTAATTCTCTAACTAAGATTCTGAGATTTATTAAAAACCGTATATAGAAAGAAGATTTAAAAAGTCGACAAGACTTCGTTCCTCCGTAGTCTAAAAGAGCTCTCTTACCAATCATGTTATAATTGAAGAGGACCCACTGATTAGGAGCTGCGCCGTGCTCGAACCTGTGCTCCTTTTCGACTCCCTCAGTGTCCGACAACCACTGCACCTCTTGGGGATCCGTTTCGGCCTCGCAGAGAACGCTGAGTGGCACCCACCAAGCCGAATCGGTGCGCGCAGCCCCGCCCAGAGATAGATAACGTTTCTATAGAAAAAGTAATTATTAAGGAACGTAAAGATCTTATAAGTATACATTACTAGTCATTTATAAAAGAGAAAGTTGAGACCTTAGACCCCCACCTAGATATCCCAGGGGCAATAACTAACAAGGAGGTTAATATAATAATCTGTTAAAATATATATTACTAAATATAATAAATTGAACTAAAGTAGTAACAAATAAACCTGCGATATCGTCAGCGACTTATCGGAGTAGTCCCTCTCCACGGTCAGGATGGGATATCCCGTCTGCTTAGTCCATGTGTCCATCACTTCCTTTACGGTTACGTTGCGTGTCAAGCCCCCCTCCTTTTGCACCTCCTCAGTCAGTTCCTCCCACAAGTCGTCCTGTTCCGCATTTTTGTACGAGTTCTTAATCAGGTAGCTGGAAATAGTAAAATATTTTTTTACGAACTTCAACTATAATTAGCCTTATTGTATAATCCCATTGGTATGATAAAAGTAGGAAGTAACGTGCTCTCGTACAGTATTATTTTTGGTGCACGAACAGACTTTACATTTAAAAAATAATTAACTAAATACTTAATAGTTATTCTTGAAGATAGAATTCTAGGGTAGATCATGGGTTGGAGTCACGGAGGAAACACATTTTTGTTTAAGAGTAGAAAGATACAAAAGACGGATAAATCTAACAACATACTTGTGCAGCGCCTTCCTGAAGACTTCTTCTCCTAGGAACATGTCCATCATGCGGATGAGCGTGGAGCCCTTCTTGTACGAGATCTCGTCAAATATCTCCGATATCCGCTTCGGGTCGTCGATTTCCACTGATACCTTTAAAATTGATAAAGGTTGCAAAACTATCTTCAGAAATTAAGGTTACCTACTTTTCCATGTGTTCAATGATCATTGGTGTATTGATGTAAATGGAAGGTAATTTAAAGCATTATTGAAATATACACGCTTAGAACATCTAATGTTTTTTTTCTCACCGGATGACTGGATTCCAACGCATCCAAGTTAAGCACAGACATTAAATTGGTGACAGCGTAGCTCATGTCCGCATGCCAGGTGGGTTCCACCTTCTCCACACCCAGCGATGCCATGAATGTCGCAAAACCCTCGTTCAGCCAGAGATCTGACCACCATTTCATGGTTACCAGGTTACCAAACCATTGATGGGCTAGCTCGTGCGCTATCACCTGTTGAGTTTTTTTTTATAAAGTGTTTAAGGGTTAGGAAAGAAACATTTCTCATTGCATAAAATGAGGTTGTACAAGGATCTTACTTCAGCAACTCTCTCCTTGTTCAAAAAGGATGACTGTTCCTTGTCATATAGCAGAGCTGTCTCTCTATATGTGATGAGGCCCCAGTTCTCCATGGCCCCCGCGGAAAAGTCAGGGATAGCTATCATGTCCTGCTTCGGAAGCGGGAAGGTCACGTTAAAGAACTTTTCGAAGTATGACAGCACTTTAGGGCCGACAGTAGCTGCGTAAGACGTCTGCAAACAAGTGATTGTATGAGTATAAGTATTATTAGTTTAAAAGAGGAGACCAGAATGCGAATAATTTTATTTTTTATTTAGAAATTAAAAAGCCTATCATAGCTTTAAACACGAAAATTCGTGTATCGGGATCCATAGAGACAAGAATTGCACGAGCACGTGAGTAAAATGGCACAGAAATGCTTCGCCTTATTTGACAAAGCAAAGATAGCAAGAAGTCATTTTCGTTATCGGGTCTTAAAACTATACCTGATCCATAGCGTCGCTTCTAGCCCAAATCCTGAACTTGGTGCTGGAAAGTTCGGCGGGACTGTCCACATATGTGAACTTGGAGACCACGAAAGCGACGAGGTACGTCGACATAGGTACGGACTTGTCGAATTGATCCCACACAAACTTGGACCTGGATTTGCTGCAAAGCAAGAACGGCTTCATTTAACAACACGACGCTTTGACACTTACTTGATCTACTATTAATACCTACCAATATATAATACCGACCTAGCACCCTACCAACCTACGAGAGTGAGTTTTACAAGATTGAAACAACATATTTTACCTATGTGTTAGCTGCTTTTTTCGTAGCCTTAAAAAAAATTTGAACTGAAAATCTAGACGCAATAGAATAGATACACATAGGTACAAGAATTCCTTTGAAAGAAGAAATCTTTTGTACTGTTGTTGAATCGATGCCGATGGTTGTAGTACACAAAAAATCACTCAGTTTTTTAAATATATTTCTTAATGAAGTCTCACCTAAATGACTGTTGCATAACATTCCAAGGCCAAAAATCTTCGAGGGCACTGAAACATAAAATTAGACATTTTAAATTATATCAAGCTATTTGTACATTACCCTACCTACCTACTGAGCTTTTCTAGACAAACCTTCTCTATGGCAGCGCAAAGAAATTCAGTCACGGCTTTTATATTACGTTTATAGATAGTTAATGCTGTGGAATCCAAGCAATGTAGAGAAAACGGTGTTACACTTCTTTTGCCATCGAGAATCAATCTCCCGGGTTACCTTACTGTTAAAGACACCTGATCAACAATATGAATTACTTGTCATTGGAAGAGCTTCGCAAGGGCATATTGGAGACAGCCGTGAAGTCAACGTGATGTGCAATGTTGATGGAAAAGGTGGCTTTGTACATCGGCTCGTCGAAGCAAGGGAATCCTTTGCGGGCTGATATCGCTTCGAATTGCGTCGCAACAAGGTATCTGAAAGGTAGATTGAATCTTTAAACATTTGTGTTAATATGAACATTATGTATATACATATGTGCTTCTATCTCAAGTTTAGTAGAGAATCAGAAAGTGTAAGATCAGACGGCACAGTGCACCAGGGCCCCGAAGCTTACCTGGAGCCCTCTAAACTCTTCTTTGAGATGAGATAAAGGAAAGGAAACATTGGCTACCCGGAAAGAGGAGACGGAGCATTATTTCTTTCTGTACCGGGACGGCCCTCGTCCGTCTACTGATCACGCCTTGTATAAAAAGCAACGAATAGTTTTTATGCCCATCCCACTATTAGCAACGGTAGCAGAGATTCCAGCCAGTTCCTCTCATCCGCGCTACAGGCGGATGGAATATTATAGTTTTAAGCACATATTTAACTCACTCTTTCTTCTTGCTATTTTTGTCAACGTAGGAACTAATGTAGACTCCATCGAGTCCCAACTTCAGGTTCCCGAAGAACGGTATGGTGAGCTTGTAGATCTTGTCTTGTTTCAAGTCCTTATCTAGTTGAAGCGTCAAAAAGTTGTAAGTATCGTTTAGGTCGACGCCCACTACTCGGTGTTCGTGGTCGACGCTGGTGAGAGCGATTTTTTCTTTCGACACCGTAAAGTCTTGGGCGTGAAGAACGATTTCCGAAGTCGGTCTGATAGCTGTAAGCTGAAATTAGATATCATTTTAAATTAACCTGCATTACAAAGTAAAATTAGCAACTAAACAGTTATTTTTTATTTTTGTACCGAATGTACAGAAGTTCACCTATTAAACAGAATCATCCAAATCAAATATGTAATAATGTTTATGTCTCAATGTATCAAATTAACCCTCAAGTAGCCTTCACTATGTATTCAACTGTCAACCGCTTAGTGTTGAGGAAAACGATGGAAATTAAGTGGAAATGAAATCGATCTGCTGTTAGTCTATTTTACCATATTTTTACGATGCTTTAACTCGCACAGTAACTTTGCTTCGTAAAACATTGTAATTTGCAAAAAAAATCGTACGAGGATTATGACCGATTGAGAAATTTATTTCTTATTATTTATTCAATTATTATTACAAGTTTCTTTTACTCAGATTAGAAGGTATGTAAATTTGAAAATTGGCAATATATATAATTTTATAATATATTTAGCAATTTTTAATTTGAATTTCAGTAATGAAGAAAGACAAATCTTCAGAATTTCCATGAACTTAAACGCCTATTGTATTATACACGAAACGATGTTAAATAAGTAATTGTCAGCGCGTGTCAAACAATACGCGTTGGACATACTTACCGGAGAATGAAGAATCTGTGACGAAAAAAATATAGAAAATTCTATTGTTCGGAACATAGTCGAGTTGTGCTTTACATAACAATACAATATTTTTATGTTACACTTATATTTATGAAGTTTATTACTTTGAATACTACTGACTTAATTTTGACCATCGTGGTTAGCTATTTTCCTACTTGTTTGAGTTCAAGACCAAATTCTGAAAATGAAGGCCTTGTAACGTTATTGCTGTTAAGAAGGAAAGGTTTTTCATTGTCGTCCGACACAACGACACAAGTGGTTCGGAACGAAACGTTTTTTGTAGCGAACGTGGCCTGAATAGAGCCAAAAGCGCAAATAAATAAGCGTGCATTGGAAAGTTAGCTGAGGACAACAATGTTCATTGCTTTGTTATATTCGATAAATGTTTTATAGTATAATGAATGGGCAGCTATGCCACATTTTATAGGGTGAAATTCATACATATTTCCCAAGAAACTATAGATTTTTAGTTAATATAATCCTGCCACCATCTGCAATAACGTGTGAAAAATATCAAAGTTCTCAAATATTCGCTGTTGGTATGTTTTTTATAATTACCGTGATATCGACGACACCAAAGTATGTAAAGTTCGTGCTGGGGTCTATGTCGTAGGCCAGTTTGACGTCATAGTGGGAGGGAATGACGTCACCGGGTAGTAGATAGTCCTTCTCGCCGGCCACCAAGCTCACCGCTGCCACCAAGATCACTGCTGCGCTCCACCTCATTGTTTACTGGAGTTATTAATGGGTTATTACATTCACGCAGAATCCAAAACAAAAACACTTTGCTGAATGCACACACAAATGTATTCATCACATAAATGTAAAAACAATAAAGTTTGCAGTGTTTTGAATACATCAATGATAATAACCACATTTACATGAAAATTGAGGAAAATCGACGGTGGCTTGACTTGGCTTAGATAGTTTACCATTGACTTGATTGTTAGAGTAGTATTTATGCAAACATTAAGCGCTTGTTCCATTTTATTCTGCCCACGTGTGGCTGTACAATTGCAAAACAGATTTTATTATCTATTATATTATCATATTTTGAAGTGGTCATATTTATTTCTGGTCGATATAATGGCTGAGGTTAGAGGAACTATTATCATTAGAAATTTCACTTCAAAAACATCGCACAGCTTACTAGATATTCTGAAGGACACTTAAAAAAACATTATGTGTATTTCAACGTAAATCTTTTATACTAATTAAAACATTAAAGACACATTGTGATGACTATGTAGACTTACATTTCTAGAGATGTAGGTCATAAAGAGCTGAGTGCAGCATATTTTCTATATTAGTGACAAACAGAATGCAAAATTGTACCGAGTAAAAGTTACGTGTGAAGCGAGGGGCTTCCCCGATGTAGCCAATAAACTTACATAGGCGGAAGAAGAACACGCAATCCTTACAGCTGCTATCCAATATGATCACAATTACATTACAATTACAAATTACGTAGCTCCGCCTTTCACCAGAATAGAGAACTGTTTCGTGCAATCTAGTCGGTTTTTTGACAATTTCTAAAACAATTAAAAGTAGCCAGAGACAATTATTTTGCAAAACGCTTCAATGAGAATATGTTTTTTAATACAGTATTAGAATAAGATGGTAAGTCTCGACTGTTTATCAAATAAAACATGTATGTGTATGTTTTTTATTTGTTTTTATATAGTTATTGAACTTATCAACCATTCATAAGTTCAATCATTTTTCAAGTTATTTTCAAAATGCAATCGGTTTTAAAGTTATTTTAAGATAAACTACAATTTTTTACTTAAAACGCGACATTATTTACTTAACTTATTTTATAATTTAGGTAATTTAAATCGTCGGGCTCGTCGTTGCCGGAGCCTTACTCGCGGGGCGACCAATGTAGTTAATGTATTTTGCAATTTAAACCGTTAAAAATGTTTTATTTAAATATGTACTACTCGTGTAAACTTTATAATAGTAATGATATAATATTAAATAATTTTAAAACTTATTTTTGCTAGGTAAAACAAAAGTTAATGACCGTATTCATCGATTGTTGAAGCGTAGTGAAAATAAATATCAATTAAAGTAAAAGAAATCATAGCGTAACTAAATACAATAAAAAACATAAGTTGCGTGCGGTAATTAAAATATTAATATACAGTTTCTTAAATAAAAATAATATAATAATGTATGTCTGCGAGGGTAGTCCCTTTTAATCTCTCAATAATGGGATTCGCTATCGGGAATGTTCTTAAAATGAATCTAACTCAAAGAATAATTAGAAGATATTATATAAAACCGCTAGTTGTCTCTCACTAGATTTAAACCTGATAATAGCATTCCTTGATAGCAACGTAACCACTGAGGTATGCAAAAAATTCTATAGTAGTATTGATCATACTTCTCATCGTGACAGCTCCTGTATTCGGAGTATAAAATGTAGGTTCGCCGTAAACCCATTAGGTCGATTTAGTACAAGGGCAAAGTGCACCTAAATGAAGCCTTAGTTCACGTTAAACGCCTTTAGCCACGTGCCTAAGTCCTCTTTGAATCGGACGAACGGTTCTATCTTTCGTTTGCGAGCAGACACTTTTTTATTAGAGGATGCTTTTGAAAAGTTACGTTCAGTAAAGTGCCGTTCTCGTCGGCCTAATGGTCTACTCTACGGGCTGTGGCTTCAGTTCTTCCTTGCCCACCAGGTTTCTAAAATCTAGTTGCAATTTATTTAATGGAATTTAGAGTTAGCGCGAAAAATAAAGAGATCAAAGCGGTGATATAAATATATAAGTACCGTCCGGATCACGAACCCCCTTCGAACGTCTTTGCTTTCAATCTGTGGCGTTCCACATGGCCAAGCCTGGTCTTAGACATTCGACGACGAAATACCTCAGCCGAGTACCGTCTAAGATTCAGACTAAGTAGACGATACTACTGAAGAATACTCCTGTCGAACCCTGTTTGTCTGTCTCCTCTTAAGAAAAATAACCAATCAATGTAATCACAGTGTAATAATTCGCACAAAACTTTATTAAGAAAAAATGTTAATGGATCGAAACAAGTATTGATAATTAACGGTGAAATTGGCAGCAAACCATATTAAAACGAGCGTTTATCTCCAAAGATAAACAAAGCTACGGGATTATATTACAATTCAAATGAAACGCAGAGAAATTTAAAGCCGTATCTAAATAAATTTAAGCGAACAGATGCTTAATTTCCATAATAAATGACATCAGCTTTTTAAAAGTGCATCGAACCTTGAACCGGCGAAAAACCGGCCCCGTACACGTGTTACTTCATCGTGCTGTTTACGCTCAAACCGAGATGAATGTTGTTGAATTATATAAAAAAAAATTAAACAAAGAATGTTTAATCTACATACAAGTAGAAAATTTATTCTTTAAAAATTTCATAAAAGGTTTCTACATTGTGGCATCCGAAAACCATTTTTCTACTTATTTATATTATTTCTTTATATATCCTACTGGGATAAAAAATATACCTATCTCGTAAAAATAAAAGTATTTAACATTTAGTACTGCACCGTAAATAGAGCCGTTCTAAGGTATATTTTTGTCATTCAACTTTGTATTGCTGAACTTGCTCTGCGAAAGTAGCCTTTGATAAATAAATATTTTATTGAATGCGGTTTGGGGACAGGATAAACTTGAGTCCGACACGACTGGCCCTGAGGTGCTAAGGCTGCAGCGTCTCGTATGCGATGCTTATTTTAACAGTTATTAGTTTAATCCTATGTTTAAAGTACCTCATCTCATTGCTATATAAAACGATTTTTTTAAATTTCGTACATAATTTTGTACCGCAGATTTTGTATACCAATTTTTGTTTAAATGAATTATTTACTGTATAAGTCGTAGTTTATAATGTGACTTGGATAAAATAACTACACCATATTTAAAACGTATAAGCGTTATAACTGGTAAAAAATTTAAATTATTCTAAATCTAAGAATATTGATGATTCATAATTCTGATGCCAAAAAATATTGATTCAAGCTCGATAGAGTATAGTTATATATAGATGGGTAATAGGCAATAATTTTATTTGACGCAATTTCGTTAAGTAAGTATTAAACTATAGGGGTAAAACGCAATTTCGACCTAATAAGGCCAAAAGAGGCTTAAATATGAGTCAAATGTCTTCTTAATATGCTAAGCCTAACTGATCAAAAACTGACCTAAAATCTAGGTTATGTTACTGTAATTGCTGAGTAAAGCTTTGCTAATTTTTTCATCACGTAGCTACCTGCATGTATCTTAAATATTTAAGGCGTAGTTTATTTTTAATGTATATTATGACATTTATATAATTAATTCAGAGAAGAATAATTTGTATTGTAAAGTGGTAAAAAGTAGATGACATAAAATAATTGAAACGGTACGGAATTCGTCGTGTGGGTCGTTCCCTAACAAAACAATTTAATTTAGCTCCTAACGTGCCGTAAATAAGTGTTGAAAATTCCAAATCAACGCTTCTAAGGAACGTAATAGCACTATAACTAATACGATTAAGACCTAATAATATGGAAAACTTTCGTTAACGGCTACCGTCAAGAAAAGTTCGCGCAAAGAGAAAGTTGATTCCAAGAATTACAAATACGGCTCCAAAATGGAGTATAAAAACGGTTACATCATCATTGTTCTATAAAATAATTTTCAATTTTATACATTTAATAAGATTTTTAATAAAACAAATCACTTACGTCCGTGTATTACCGCCAACGATCGACCACAGACTAAGCCAAAATCGTCCGGTCATTAGGTACATTATTGGCCGACGTTTTATTATATTTTATTTACGAGGTATTACAAAATCGATGAGCAGACCTAATTGACAATAGACTAGTGTTTACCTTGATTTCATTTTTGTGTAGACTATACAATTGCATTTATAGACCTATGTCAATGTTTTGGTCTCGTTTTTTTATTCCCCATTTAGAAGGGTATATAATATATAAAAATCATTTTTTTCAATAGCGTCTAGGAATGATCCCAGAACTTATATTATGATTAATATGTGTTATCTATGAAATAATTTACTACCGTATAATACTTAGTCACGTTGATAAAAAAATTGTTGCGACTAATATCGACGTAGGACGTCGATCGAAGCGTAAGGTGTAGTTCGCACGAAGTTCTAGGTTCGAGAGTTCATCTAGTTCGGACTCTTAAATAAAAATATTTAATCCAAGCATCTTTTCGAACAAGCTATTTTAGCCTGGCAGCGTATTGTTGACGGCTGAGGCCAGTCTAAACGATAGATCTGGCAAATTGGAGATTTGCTTATTGACCTATTTATGCAGAAGTATGCAAGCATTTGCATAAATAAATAAATTACTATTATGTGGGCAATTCCTACGCCACACATAACTGAATTCAAACGTGTTAAAAACATTTTTCATTGTAGATGTAGAGAATACAATAAATAATTAAGCTTTTATTTATTTATGTACAATCAGTTACACAGAGATACATTACAAATAGGCTTTTATATCTCAATACGTATATCTAAATGAAAGCAACATTACCCCGTTCATCTTTTAAATATGTTCACGAATCACGACAGAGTGAAAAAAAACGAACAGCCAGCACTAAAAAAGAACATTTTCTTGCATCCTATGCAAAATAGCAATGTAACCCGTTAGAAATGACATTAGGGGTCATTCACCGCTACACCTGACAAATAACTGTAAAACATAGAATGCGAATACTTATTAGCTTAAATTGCCACCTTTGAAGGTGATTCGAACTCAATATTTGCTTAGCTAATTATTAATCGAGCTTCTCAACAGAGGTTAGTGAAGTCTAACCCAGCAACGGCATCTTATGTCAAAAGCTCCCACGTATTTATTCACATTTCAGGTTCCAATAAAATAAAACAAGATTATTGATCATTATCAGATGTATTACGTTTCGTGTAAAAACATTGTTGATTTTATCTTAATTTACATTTAGAGGGGCACCATCTTTTTACATCGTATAACTTTTTATATACTACATGAACGCAAAAATAATTACTTACTCTTTTTTGACTTCGCTTTTAATTATAGGTACCTACATACTATAAATTTTCTTCGATCTTTAATTGTCATTGTAGTACATCTATACTCTATAGCTTTTTATAAGTATAAGTTTACAAGTAGTTTTGTCTCAGGATAACGTACCAAACAACTTTTAACTAATAATGTTAATTCATACAAATACAAGTAATGTTAAAGCTAACAAAACGAACAGCTAGGTAAAGAAGGCATTTTATAAGAATCTATGTAGGTACATATATATATAATTTTTCTCTATGACAGAGGAAAAGCACTTAAATCAAGTGTAATAAAATATGCTCTCAAGAGTCGAGCCTCGGCCCGCTACGTTACATTGCGATTGCGTAAAATGAGCAACATACTAGAATTGTTGTCTCGCCTTCACCTAATCATCTTCATACAGTCGACGGCTTCCCTCATAAACAGAACATCATCAGCTTCTTGCTTCAGCGCGGCCGCTTCTTTGCTTAAGACGGCCAGCGATGTAACTAGTGACGTCATCGATTTCGGCAGGATAGCGTCGCTCACGTTGAGACTCGAGAAATTTGTCTAAACAGAAAGAGGTCAAGAAAATTCATAATTACATTAGTTATATTATGACGGAAATATTAAAAAATACATAAATAAGGAAATTCGCCTTTTACTTATTACACCACATTTCATTTTCTAAGAGACTCAAAGGATCTAATGGTAGACAATAAAATATACCTTAGCCTTTTCACAGCTCTGTTCGTACGCGCCCAATTTTTGCTTCAACTGCCTAATGCTCTCGTGAATGTTTTCCGGATTCGGTTTTTGCTGACCCAACGAATGCCTGGAAGCCGCGAGCTCCTTTCTAAGGTCATCTATAAACTTTTTATTGCGGTCTATATTCACTTGCAACGTCGTGTGCAATTGTTTCAGTTTTAGAATCTCATATTCGTCCTCGAGAGATTCCGACATGACCCTGGTCTGCTCCAGTGATATTGATATGGGGTCCAAATTCATGTCAGACTGCTGTCTGGCACATTCTTGTAACATCTTTTGAGCTTTTGGAGGTAATTTCTCAAATGTGATGTTAAGTTGTGCCAAAATCTTTGATGCAATTGCAGCTAAAAAAGAAATAGAATGACTAATGTGAGTAATAATATTTAAAATATTAGTACAAATCAAACACAACATCGCATTGGCCCAAACATGTAATGAAACTCATGTGAAGTACAATAAATTATTGTCCTGTAAGCTGTGGAAAATCTCATAACAATAATAAGACTCATAAATAGTTAATCTAACCTTAAGTAATTTAAATAAAGGTTATACTGAATGTAAGGGCATGCATATTATGTTATTACCTATTAACATTATTAACAATGGTAATCAATGAATGAAATAAATAAATAATATATATATATTTTTTTTCATAACAGAAAAAATGTCAGGATATTTCACAAAATTAGGTATCCCAAGAGCTAAGATGATGTGCACTCAAATAAATACTCAATTACTATTTGTCTTAACTAATATTTAATGTCGGAAAATTAACAAAGTCTTCTATTTTCTTAGCAACATTCAGCAATAGTTCTTCTGATAAAGCAGGTCCCATTAATTGCAAGGACAGTGGTAGTTTATTCTTGGAAAGTTTAATTGGAATAGAAATAGCTGGTATTCCTGCCATATTTGCCGGCTGCGTGCAATAATCTTGAAGGGCACATTGATCTCTGTTGGCCTTAGAGACAAAATCGTTATACAAGGGTGCATCAGATAGAGTAGTCGGTGTTAACAATAAGTCGACCCTGTTAACGCCATTGAAAACATATCTGAAATCATCAGAGATAAGTCGTCGTAACTTGAGAGCTTTAAGAAAGAATTTCTCATAGTTTTGCCTTAATAGAAAGTAATTTCCAGCAAAAATTCTAGATCTGACAACATTGTTAAAACCTTCACATCTTGTTGAGGCATACAACTCTTCTGTGGAATAATCTGTATCTGCCCGATGACCATATTCAAGCCCATCATATCTCGACATGTTACTAGCAACTTCACACTGATTCAGAATAGAGTAAACTGCTATAGACACTGAGGTATGAGGTAAGGAGACTGTGCTAATTATACATTCTCTCTCAAGCAAATCTATCACAAACTGCCAAGTTTCAAGAACTTCCTCATTCATGCCTTTACAGTGGTATTCTTTAGGGATACCAATTCTTATTTTGGCTAAATCAAAGTCACTCCTAATGCACACTGGTGAAAATGTTTGTTGAATAGTAGTAGAATCTAAATGATCTGGTCCTGCGATGCAGTTTAGAGTAGCTGCAATATCTTCAACTTTTCTCGCTAGAATGCCAGGTACATCCATTGAATTAACTAGAGGTATAAGTCCATAACGTGACACAACACCATAAGTGGGTTTGAAACCTACAATTCCACATAGTGCCGCCGGGTTTCTGGTCGATCCCCCAGTATCTGAGCCAATAGCCACTACACAAGCTCCACTGCTCACAGCAACAGCACTGCCTCCTGAACTACCGCCTGCTATTCTCCAGTTTTTATCTAAGCACCATGGATTTTTAGAAGGACCATACATTGAATCGACAGTCCCTGAACCCATAGCAAATTCATCCAAGTTGGTCTTACCCATTACACAGGCACCAGCATCAAGCAATTTAGAGTATATTGTAGCATTATATGTGGGTACGAAGTTTTTTAACATATTTGAAGCGCAGGTTGTTGAAATTCCTTTAGTACAGAAATTATCCTTTATGCCAACAGAAATTCCATCTAATCGGTGAATTTTACTGTTAGATTTAAAACGCTTTTCACTAACTACGCTTTGTTGTCTAGCTAAGTCTTCTGTTAATGTAATAAAAGCATTAAATCCACTGGTTTTTTTAGCTCGCTCTATGCATTGATCAATAAAATTAGTAGGAGTGAGAAACTTATCATTATATGCTCTGTGTATTTCTTTAATAGTATACGAAGATAACTTATTCATTTTTAATACAATAATAGAAATTTTGAAAGAAAAGGGGTTATAAAGCTGAGTTCAATAATAAACAGTCTTCAATTTAACTGTCAAAAGTTTATCTTAAACTTCAAAGTTCAAACATACCGTTTGCGATCTGTTCTGCGTCGTGCCGTTGTAAAAGATTCACCAGAGCTTGCTCGTTATAATAAGAATTTCCTTCCATCTTCCTGACCAAGTTTGATTTTAATACTTAAACTTATAACAGAAAAATAAATACTTTATTATTTTTAAATCAAGAATTAATTTTGACTTTGTCAAAGTGTCAGGTTATATGTTTTTGTCTAGTTGTTTTTAATGTCTATTGTTTTGGGCATAGCCCACAAGTTATTTTGACTCAATGACTGATTTTCGAATTTGCTGCAAGTTAAACTAGTACTATTAATTGTTTTTGCAAATCATTTCTTACAATAACAAAAATAGTTTTTTGTATTTTAAACAAAAAAATTGAAAATGTATCGTAAGTTGAATGTTCAATGAATAATCGATTTTCAACTTTGACTTAACATGAAAGACATCACTAAATTGTCCTCATATTCTGTACATCTAAACCACTAAAATCTAAATCAATCTTTGTATAATTAATTGATCACTTTGGCATAAAATTATTACAGAGACTGTCTCAACTTTATCCTTGGAGAAGGAAATATTTAAACATAATATTAACATTAACATAATATAATCTGAGTAAAGCGTCTTACTTGTTATGCTGAAAACTTTACATTCATTTTGTGCTAAGTTGTTTTAAAATGGCCCATATGCAGTATTTGCCTGGTGATCCGCGTTTAGTTGATCAATTAGTGTACGAGCTTAAATCAAAAGGAATTTTTGATCAGGTAAACATATATTTTTGGTATGAAACACATTACATTACAGGACAATACAGTTGTGTGACACACAATATGTAATAATAACTGCTTCTCCCTTCGACTTCTTTATCCATTTAAATTATCAAGGAACTAAAAATTAAGATTCTTTTTATATCCTATGATCAATATTGTTTAACATTTTTTAAGTGATAATTATAACAAACTAAAAGAGGTAAAAAAGCATATTCTCACCTCAGTTTTTAAGCATTTATTGGATTAAAAACTGATGAAACAATACAATAACCATGTACTACAGAACTTAACAATTATTTTGTTAGTTATTAATCAGTTGTACTTACCATATACTTTACTTATTATGAACCAATGTTTTACAGTTTCGAAAAGATTGTATAGCTGATGTAGATACGCGTCCTGCTTATCAGAATCTCCGACAACGTGTTGAAAACTCAGTGTCCACTTTCCTTGCCCGGCAGTGTTGGAAACCTGATCTAAATAAAAATCAATTGAGAGAAAAACTGAGGAAACACATATTAGAGTATGCTGTTTAAGTATTTTATATTTTATTAGTGTAGCACAAAGCAAAATGTATGAAGTAATGCTTGCCTGTATTTTCTATGCTAGAAATGGAACTACTAATTGCGGTGCCATTGCCCATTAGTATTGTATATTGTCATTTTCATTTTATGATTATTTACATTATTAAACTATAGATCTTTAATTTAACACTGTTTAATTACTGTTGTTTCTCCTCTTTACAGCGGCAACTATCTTGAACAGGGCGTGGAAAGGATAGTAGATCAAGTTGTAAACCCAAAAGTAGCTACCATATTTGTACCAAAAGTAGAAGATCTTGTATACAATTATCTTGGGATCACCAGAAAGAAAACACTTCCTGAAACATCAAATGGAGCTGTAGATTTACTTCCAACAGATCTTGAAGCAGTTAGTCCAGGCTCAGTCAAAAGCAATGATGATAATGAACCAATGGAGATTGATGAATCTTCGCAACCAACCAAAACAAATGTTAATGAAGAAGACTACAAGGAGAAGGTTAAAATAGCAGTGCTAGAACTTAATGATAAAGTAGAGGAGGCAGAGACTTCTGGTATAAGTGAGTTAACTATCCATGATTCTGATATGAGCAATGACAAAGATAGCATCCCTCTCCCAGCTGAAGAAATAAGACCAGAAGACATACCTCCACCTGAAAATAGCCCTCCCAAAATAGAAAAAATTGAACTTGAAAAAATAGAATTGCCCAAAGAACCAGATTTGGCAACAGACATACCTCTCCCAGATGAAATACCGAAACAAGAAAATGGAACTTACTTCAAAACATTAAATAGCGATGATGAGTCTAGTTCAGATTCATCTCTACGTAGAAATATGTCTCCCTTAACACCAATCCAGAATTTTAACACAGAGAATTCTTGTGATGCTCAGCAGGCATTTGAAAGCCAGTTAACAGAAGATATTAAAGAAGAAATCAAGGAACCAAATTCTTTTAGATTCACAATTGATTCCAAATCAGATGAAAATGTTTCAGATGATCACAACAATGACAAGAAGGAAACAGATTTATCATATCAATTTAATCAAGTGAAGATAAATAATTTTGATACTCCTGTTTTTGAAGATAGTTCCAATAGTAATAATTTACACATTGATTATGAAAGCGATGCTAACAGTAAAATAAATATTGAAGCAAAAATTGAATCAGATCAAAACTCAGAAGATATTAAAAAGGAGAAAAAGAATATAGACAAAAAAAGTAGTCATAAAAGTTCTCATAGATCTCGAGACTCACATAAGCATTCAAGTAGCAGAGACAAAAAGACAGATTCAAAACCCTCAAGTAGCAAAGACAGTAGCCGACACGATAAAAAGCTATCAAAAGATGACAGCAAACACAAATCAAATGAAAAGGAAAGGTCTAGAGACCGAAGCGATAAAAAGGAACACAAAGATTCATCTAGACATAGAACTTCGCATAAATCAAGTCATAGAGATTCAAAGTCACATCGAAGTTCTAGTTCAAGTCACAGGCATTTGAACCAATCTCATGATAAGAAATATGTTTCTTCTAGCCAGAAAGATAAGGAAAAAAGTTCTGATAAGCCATCATCATCAAGGGATAAGTCTAAATCTAGCTCACATCGTTCTGAAAAAGATAGAAAGAGTAGTAGTAGCAGTAAGAGCAAATCAAGTGAAAAAGACAAAGATAAGAAAACTAAAAAGGATACAGATGATCATTATGGTCTATCTGGTAGGGGTAATCCAAATAGGCGCTCGACAGATAGGGATTCAAATGACGGTAGTTCATCATCTAAAGGCTCTCACCATCGACCTTCCAGCTCAAAGTCTTCGGAAAGTAAAAAAGATTCTAAAGAAAGCACTTCGAAGTCAGATAACACATCAGGGAGTGGTTCCACTACTCCTAGCGATAAAGAAGTAACTGTTAATAAAGCGCAGGTGTTACAAAACAAGCCTGTGGTCAGAATAGAAACACATTTAGAAACGCCAGTAGCATCACCACCACGGCTGCCTTTTGTGCCAGATATAACACTTAAGAAGCCAAAAATTGCCGCAAATTTTGAGGAAGCTAAGAAAATTACAAAAATGCGTAAATTTCTGGAGGAAGAACAAAGACGTATGAATCAAGAAGCTGCGCTCCTTCTCGAGTTCCAAGCTAACGTTAGACCAAGTTTGAGTCAAGTTTATTCTAGTATACCCGGTCCAGAATTAGAATTCGCGTGTAATACTAATACAGCGGCACAGTATATAATACAAAACAGTGCACCTCATGAATTAGAAGAATCCTATGTGGAGGAAAAAGCCTACACAAATGCAGAACTATTCGAAGAACTGAATGCAGGCAATGAAACTGCGGTATTAACAGACAACAAAGATTTAAAACCAAATGTTGATGTCAAACCTATTGGTAATGCTGAAACATCAGTTACTGAATTAGTAGAATATCCAGAAGCAAAAGTAAACAAAATAGAGGATTTTAAATTAGAAAAACACAAAGATAACGTTGTCAATGAAAAGCTTATAGAAATAGATCACAAGCATAAGACAGTATTAGAAAACCTGCCAGTCAGTAAGAAATTAAAAAAAGAAATTGTTAAAGAGGGAAAGCTTAGTAAAGTGGAGACAACTAGGGGTTTGATTACATCAGAAAACCTCTATTTCTTTGCTGAACAAGACAGATTTGCTGCAGAATTTGAAAAATCTAAAAGCGAGGCATTCCTAAAATCATTTATTTCAAAAACTACAAAAAGTAATAAGCTTTATCTTATCAATTGTGATTCATATGAAGAAAACATTTTAAAAGAAGCATCAAGAAGCTTTGGTGATTATGAAATAGTAAATTACCACAGAAATGGCCATTTGCAAATACCTAAAACCAAGTCCATCGTTAAAAACGTTAATGTGTCTGCTGAAGTATCATTACCTATCGATTTAGAGTATGACCATTCAAATGATGCAGATAGCACAAAGTTACAAGTATTTAGTCCAGATAAATCAGAGTGTTCGTTCGATTTAAGCAGTGATTATAATGCAAAACTGGAAGAAATGGTCAACAACACATCTAGAAAAGAAATCATGCAAATAATACTCGGGGACATGATCGACGGTTCGCCTACGAAACTGCCAAAAATTGATTACATCACTGAATCCAGTATAGATAGTGCTTACGATTGCAATTTGAAAAGAAAAATTAACACTGTAGACACTGTTGAAAATAATAACAGACCCGTTTTAACAACTAACAAAATTAGAAAAGTTAGTAGTTCAGAGCTTATAACATCAACAACTCAAGGTATACATTTTGCAAATATATTACTAAATAAAGTATTATTAATGCATAGTATTTATATAAATTTTAAATTAATAATAATAATATATGTACATATACTTGTATATTTTCAGACACAGAAGAACCTTCAGATAATAAAATAACAAACCCATCGAGATCCAAGTATTTAGGGCGTGCTAAAAGAGTTGGACTTCCTCGGCCTAAAAGAACAGGTATTTGAAAAGTTTACTTATAAGAGATATATATATGAATTTTGTTCTAAAGAGAACAAAAACATTCTTAGACATAGTCTAATGAGATGATCATTTTTGTTGACTGCTTCTGCGACCCTATACTAGGCATAAAGGAATTATGCTTTTTATTTCAGAGCTTCCAAACAGTCCTTCGAGTGATAAGTCTATAGAAAACTATGAAGAGAACAATCAAAACCCCCCTAAAAAAAGTCCCAATGGTAAAGTAAAGGCCCCCAGACACGTCGTCCAGAGATATGAGACCGCAGACCTTTATAAACCCAAGCTGCACTTTCTTTCTAGAAGGAATGTTACCTAGAAACATATTACTGCAAACAATGCGAATATTCTACAAATTTAGGAGTATCAATTGAAGCAGGATTGAATTTGAATTGCTACTTTTATATTATACATTACATAACAAAGGCTAGCCGATAAAAAATACATTTACCTTCAGCCTGATTATATTTTTTTAAATTGCATATACATTGCTTGTAAAACATTTTCTGATTGTCTCAAACCTTCATCAAGCAATGATTAGTTAATTTATACATGTCCTTTTGTAAATGTAATTTATGAAATTTTTATTTGCTTTGTAAATATTAATTACAGCAATCACTGTTAATAGATTCATTATTATATTATAAATCGAATATACTTTTTCATAGTTCAGAAAAGTTTGATGTACATGGGTTTTGTTATGATTGTTATAGTCTTGGTTTTACGTTATCTTAAAAATACATTGAAGTCAACATTTTTCAAATGTTTCTTAATTGTAAATATAAACTTATTGTCATTGAGAAAATCTTGTATGACATGTTAGCACTTTTAAACTAATATTCTCTATGTCTTCAGTACTTTTAGTGTAAAATCTGTTAAAATCTTTATAGTATAATAATAATATTAAAATGAAACTGCCAATAGTGTAAAGTACTACTACATTAGAGACTATATATATATATAAATTATATAATATATTGTTTAACAGTTTCTTACAATATATAAAGAATAAATAATTGATTAAGTTAAAGTAATGTTTTATTAGCCTTATGGAAAAGCAAAAGCATGAATTAAAGTTCCTTAACCTGGACATTGTTTTGTTGTCTATACATCAACATAATAATATGGTCTGGACAATTGTTTTTCCAAATAATTGAAAAGTTGTACATATTATGATGAATCTATATTATGAATGTCACCAGATAAAATGCGGGAATTGTGAAATACTTTTTATTCTTTCTATTGGAAGGTCTGTTCTAACCTCAACTATTATAACTGATTTTCGAGGTTGAAAGGTTTACTTAGAATAATAAACCAGGAAAAATTGAATACTGTCTATAGTTTACGCGAGTAGTACACATTATACAGGAAAAATTGATTAGGAAAATTTAGCACACAGGTTTCCATAATTTCTTCACATAATAAAAAACTGATTGAAAATAAAGCTTTACTGAAAAACAAAACTGCATCAAACATTTACAAACAACTAATTGGGTAAATAAATTAGTCTTAATACTTGTCTATATTAAGTTTAGCCTAATAAATGACATGATTAATACTAAAATGATAGTGGTCAATTTGAAAAGTCAAGAATATTAATTACAAATACAAATACATTAGTCATCTCATTCGAGAAATAGTATCCTCGTAAAAGTTGCAGTCGTGTTTCTAATTTATTCTTGATAAATAAATGAGTTAAGTTGAAAATAAATCTACTATTTCTTGTAGGTGATTTGTTTAGTCATTGTCAGAATCAACTTGTCAAAATAAATAACATTTTACTAATTGCTGTGTTAATTGCTTGCAGCCTGTTTCTGTAGACCAGCAGGGTCCATGATCGGTGGTTGTTTTTTGACCATGCCAGACAATAATGTCTTTATCTGGGCAATTGCGCGTCCTGGATTTAATCCTTTCGGACAAGTTCTCGTGCAATTCATGATTGTATGACAACGGTACACAGAGTAAGTGTCTTTCAGTTTAGAAAGACGTTTTCCAGTGGCATCATCACGAGAATCTATGATCCAACGGTATGCCTGCATGAGCACAGCGGGTCCCAAGTACTTGTCACCATTCCACCAGTATGAAGGGCAGCTGGTAGAACAACATGCGCACAGTACACATTCATACAGACCATCCAGTTTGGCTCTGTCCTCAACATCTTGAAGTAATTGGGTCTCTTTCCCCTTTGCTGCCTCATTGTCCCTTTGGAGCCAAGGTTCGATGGACTGATACTGACGGTAGAAATTGCTCAGATCGGGAACCAGGTCCTTAACTACGTACATGTGTGGTAATGGATAAATCTTTGAGGGCTTAGACAAGTTTTGGTCAATATGACTTATGCAAGCCAAAGTATTAACTCCGTCGATGTTCATTGCACACGATCCGCACACTCCTTCACGGCAGGACCTTCTGAAGGTAAGGGTTGGGTCTATTTCATTTTTAATTTTTAGCAAAGCATCAAGCACCATTGGCGCGCAGTCGTCCAAATCCACTTCAAAGTTCTGAGTGTAGGGCTTTTTGTCGGGCTCATCGGGATTCCATCGATATACCGCGAATGATTTAACTCTCTTTCCAAGGGCAGATGACGTAGCGAAGCTGCGCAGCTGTCCAAAAGTGCCATAAGTAATCCTGAGGAACGGCATTATGTAATGTTTTCAAACAACAGGCTTTTACCTAAATGTTTGCACAATCTTTCGCAATATCTCGAGCTTAATAATAATCGTTTCGGTCGCTGCCAAGAATTTCTTTAAAGGATACCAATAACACTAAAAAACAAAATAATCCGCTTTCTTTAAAGGTACTCTAGCAAATAGTTGATTGGCTCGTCGTTCGATTTTGGTAACTTTTGAAATTTCTCCATGACGTTCCAATGGACATTCTCAAAAGTTGAAAATTGTCAATTGCAAAAATGACATATTTCAAATATTATGTGGTAATATCTGTGGCTTTGTCACGTAGGAGCCGCCTAAAATAAAAATTCAAAATAATACTTATTTACTACTTTAAAGCAGTTTTTTTATAAGGAAAGTATTACTAAAACAAATTATTTCGATTTTTTTCTAAAATGAATCCTGTATCTAAACTGAATACGGATTCTCCAAAAACTCCTGGTGGAATCAGTAAATCTTTATTAACGCCTTGTAGACGAGTTGGTTTATCCAGAAAATTTAACAAGAAAGGTCCTTCTCCCTTTATATCTCCACTATCCAGCAGCACTAGTTCTACTAACAATGTAGTAGAGACACCAAAGAGAGAACAAAAAAAAAGAAAAGTTGCCTCTAAGAATGATGAAGAGAGTAAAAATAATTTACCATCTACACCTGAAACGATTGAATATCAGTCTTATAACAAAAATATAATTAGTACTCCATTACGAAATGTCCCACTTTCCAAAAGGAAATCTAAAACTCATATATTAATGCAGGATGAAGATATCGAAAATAAAGATGACAAAAATTCAATTGAAGTTATACACAGTTTTAAGGATGTTACTAAAATATCTTCACCAGATTTTACAAACTATAATTGTACGAAAAAGGCTAAAAATGATGATAATAAAAGTACTATGGAAATTGATTCTTCAGATGTAGGTAAAAATAACGCGGAAAATTTTCCTAACAATTTAGCAAAAGAATGTTTTGTTGTGATTCATAAGAAAATGTTAAAAAATCTTAGATGTAAGGAACCAGCTAATACTCAAGTGGAGAAGCCTAAATCACAGTCCCTATTTGATTCAGATTCTGATGATGTACCCCTGTGTGATTTAAATAAGCCTGTGTTATTTGATAATTGTGATAATGTTTTTGTTGAGAGTAAAAAACATATGGTTAAAAAGCCAGCACTTAAAAATACAATTAGTAAAAACAAGTCCTCTACTATGAATAACCAAACACAAATGAAAAACACCACACCACAAATAGTTGCTCAGAGCGCATGTGATGATGATGATGATTTTGAGTGTTCTAAGAAAACTATAATTGTTAAAAAATCATATAACAAAATGATTAAACCCATAAAAGCGAAATCAACGGGATCAATAACAGAGAGAGATATAGACAATTTAAAAGCAAGAATAGAAATGAAAAAGAAACTTTTAGAAGCTAGAGTGATGACTGAAGACTCAAATGAACTCAGAAATCTAGTGAAAAAATGGCAAAAAGGTTTTCAAGAAGCATTTATGGAACTCTTTGATTTAATGAGAGAAAAGCTACCAGATTGCAGGAATATGGATTTTTCCGAAATACTACAAACATTGCAGATTCCTCCAGGATTGGTTGGCTATGATGTAGATAAAGACTGTTTTGTAACACCAGATGATAGTAATATCCTTTTTTCTAGTATAAACAATTAGTATTGTATATTTAGCCACTAGGCTTACAGACTACTGTAAAATAGTTGGATAACAATTGTTTCGACCTAGTAACCCATTAGTGACAATAAGAAAACAATCCAGAGGTTTATATTATATTATAAATAAACTTAAGGTGTGAAGTAGAAGGATTAAATTATTATAAAAAGCATTGAACCAAATAAAACTTATTTTAAACAGAATTATTTTATTCACTAAAGCTCTCTTTACTAAAAAAAACAGTGCCTATGTCTATATCAAATGCTTTCAGGTCATCAATATTCTGCACATTAGGATTGCTTGAACTGGTTTAAATAATGGCAATAATTAGAATCTGTGTGTTCTAACAGGATTTTCCGGATCAAAGAGTTTGGGATCTTTTAAAAATGCTTTGTCCTTATATGTATATGGCATATAAGCACAGTTCTGTGCTTTAGTAATTTCCTTCTCGACTGCTGTTTGCTTTGCCTTACAAAGGCCTGTTATATGTCTCCCATATATTCTTCCAGTATAAGGGCTTTGGAATTGTGAAAGTAGTCTATAGTTTTTGTAATCAGGCGTAATATTTAACTTGCATAGAATACATTGTCGTCTCTCCTTTGTGAAGGGATTTTCCATCTCCACAGGACTGTCGTCCGTAGGCACTTCGACGGAAGCATAACGAATACCCGCTGTTAAGGCTCGGTGTGTATTAAGAACTGAAAATTAAAACCTTTAACAACCCAACCAAACATTGAAACTTCAATTTCATTTGTTTGTGTACTTACTTATACTTTTTAGAATTGTTCCTTTAAAAAGTGCCATAATAAGCTCAAATAGGGAATGCCGAAGGATAAACAAAATTCATTAAATCAAGAAACAAGAGTCTTTACTACTGAGCAAGATATTATTTGCAAAGGGTCTTAACCTATCTTAGAAAAATTTGTTTTGACCGAAGGTTTTGACTTTTGACTCAATTGCAGTGCCATACGACTACTACAGAGACCATATAAAAATACCGATTATTCCTATAGGAAGTTGGTTCTATGACATTAATAATAATAATTTATTTTTTAGACCATAAATCCATTTCTTAAAACTATTTAATTCTAATGTGCGTTAGTTAGGTTAGTAACAATTTTTAACTTAAAATGTATATTAGAATGTGTTAGTCACTAAAATTAAGTAGACAGAATGAAATATACAGAGTAGGTGCTAGGCGTTATTAATAAGCTGTCAAATCCATGACATGTCATTAAAATTTGCCGCGACTGGCGCCAAAATTTGATTATGGAATTCACGATAGCAATTTTTACATTTTGACCACTTATAACTTATATTATATTTATACTTATATGTTTGGCTGACGTGACTTGATGTGAAACGTTGTGACGTGATAGCTAGTATTTACATGTTGTGTTGTGCGTTTTAAGTAAAATCATGTTTTAACGGCTTCTGACGATATTTTGAATTAATTCAGTTGGTGCTCTGAAAAAGATTCCTGTAAACTTTTTATTCTTCGGCAATGTCGTACAGCACATTCTTGTCGTATTTTGCCCTGAAAAGACAATCAACGAACACCTGCAGGAAAAGGCCGGGAAACACCACGCATAGCCAAGTAAGTCTTCTTCTTCTTGTTTTTCTGTTCACTTTAATATTATAAAAAAAAGATGTCTGGCCCCCTAACTGCTTATGCACGAAGCAATTTTCATCTTGTGCGACACTTTAGTTATTGCTTGTTTTTTATCGTTGGGCCTCGTAATTTGTTATTATAGAAATGATATAAGTTTTATTTTTGTGTTTAAACAAAAAAGCATAATTTCGAGTAAAAATCTCTAGGGTCTATCTAAGAGGAAATAAAATGTCATTCTTTTGTTTTATGTGCATCGGACTTTGCGTTAAATACTTTCTGCAAAGTTTATTTTGTTTTTCGACGTAGGTGTTACCTTTTTTATGTTTAAACTACTGTTTGTGTTAAAAGTTACGGTTAAAAATAATAAGGGACTTTAGTTATTATTATACTTATTATACAATAAACACACAGCGATCGTATTTTGTTTTTATATAAATTCGTTCTAACACAACAGATACACCAATGGACGGACACTCAATGGTATATGTTTCATTTAGGTATAATATAATAATTCAAATATTTACGAATGATTAAATAAACTAAATGTTACCTATTTGAAATTTCAATTACACTTAAATAAATAGATGGTCATTATTACAACGATGTAGGTGCTCGGCGCGTATTAGTGTAGCCATCAAACGTGATGATGTCTGATGGAAAATTTTAATTATTCATTTCCCGTTGAGTTGATTTTTTAATGAATCAGATTAAACCCTGTTTAAGTGTTCTACTGGGTATTATCGTTACTCCTATTGTAAGTATACCTATCTCTCTCGAATTTTCTCATAATATACTGTTTTTAATATAATATATGTTTAATTAATCGGAATCTCCATAGACGGAACAGTAATCATTCTGCGTTTCGTTTCGGGTTCTGTCCCCCGTTGCCCGTTCCGTCACGGCGCCTCCACTGTATTGCCTTTGTTATCATACGTGTTCGACAGCGACACACTATAACGATAACGCCAACCTCACGATCGGTTTAACAATCAATAAAAATATTTTATTTCGCAACACTAGCACATTCCAATTACGAGTTACAAGACTGCGGATGCATCAAACGGGCATCCTCCGCGTAGCTCTTGCGAAAACGGCCGTTTCGACACGTCCAAGAGCTAATGCAACTGAGGAGAAATGTGCTGCAGTGCTGCAAGGTGATGCGCGGCTTCTAACGGTCGGATTATAAGTCTCGGCGACGGCCCACAGCCGGCGTAGCCACTGTCCGTAACGTACGTGGCGAGACCCATAACGTGTATTTACCGTAAACTCAAAACGAGACGAAATTTCTCATAGAAAGTGGCGTGCGCGCATTTCCGCGCCAAAACTAGTGACAGTGCGAAATTCTTGTGTTTGTGTTTTGTGTCTCTTATTGGATCGCTGGGACTTTAGGTGAGAGTTTGCGAGCTATCTGATAAAAAGTTAACTTTTTGTGCGTCACTCATAACATCGATCGGCCGTTTCAAAGCTTAAACATACGAAGATTTTAAGTTAATTTTGAGTAGCTTTGTGCGTATTTACTTTCGTATTTAGTAGAACGGCGTCGTTCCGCCTTTTATTGATCGGATCGATGATATCGCGCCCGAGACGCCTTACGCCAGTTTCCGCGTGCTTATATAATCCCGATAATGCTCGAATAAGGGGAATATTGGAAAGTCTCGCCGCAAAAGTAAAAGTTCTCTTTGCGTAGTCAAAAATACCACTGATTCACGCGTCGACGTACTCGCGTCGGGCATATCAAGGTTGGAGAAAGTGACCTGCAGCGAGGGGGCCGGACGGAACCGCGGACGAGACGTGGAATACTGTCTTCTCGCTTAACCGACTGGTGCGGGTGGAGTGTCAAAACCCAGCAGGATCTATAAAAATTTAAAATATTGTTCTATGAGGAGAAAGTGTAGTTAAACGGAGGACATATAAAAATAATTAGCCTTAGCTTCTATTCGGTTTGCACACTACTTTGAAGGCTCTTTATGGATTTTTTTGCTTTTAAACGAAATTTCCGTCTGGGTCGCAAACTACTGTCTACAGATGAAAAACCCGTGACGTTTAATCACATTTCGGTTTCAGTCTGCGCATTTCCGAATATCCAAAGCCAAAATACGTCGACAACGGATCTTGTTCAAACGTTACGTATCACAAAATAAAAGTTACTCTACTTATTGAGTACTAAGTCACAATAAATAATCTCATATTTTATTACACGTTATATTTACACCATGATGAACAAAACACTCTTAGGTTCGAGTCCGGTTCGTGTAAACGTTTATTCATTCTTAATAGATTTGTCATTAGAATTGCCTTTCTCAGAAGAGCGAAATGGTAATGTAATTCTTATCATTAGCAATAGAAACAAGAATAAAAGTAACGACGAATTTTAATGAGAGTTATAAGTTATGATGCAATTATTTTATGTGTATCGTCAAATTGTTTATAACTATCTTTATTTCTATTCTTCGAATTTAATATAATATATCAAGTGCTGAGATTTCCTTTACATAGAAAAAATATAATGTCCTGGGCTAAATCCTAAATGAAATCCAAGTTCCATATCCATTTACTCATATATTTCGCGTTTTAAACTGTTAAACGTGCTTAATTTAAAGTTTCGTAATTTTAATTGATACATCAAACGAATATCTTAAAGTTTTAAATCCATATGCAATGAAAAAGAAAATGAAAAGAACTTAATTTCTAAAAGCTCTATATTGGTCTGCTTATCGTGTTAATCTGTAACCAGACAAGCAGCACAGAGCCCAGGTGTATCTGAAGAACTCCTAGCCAACATTTCTGTTTTGTCTGTTAACAACAAATACTAAAAACAAAGCAAATGCGTATATAAGTGGGGGTATAATAAACTCTCTAGAACAATTTATAAACTAGCATAAAAAATAAATAAAATATACTTTTTTTTATAAAATTATAAAAATTATTTAAATTCGTAAAAAAAAGTTTGTTTATCTGTTCGTCGTGATTCTACAGTGTTAAAAAACTCAGTCTGCCTTTTTTCAACATGTCTTATAAACTAATACATTTCTGTGAATTTAATGGCCTAAGGAGCAATTCATATCACTACCAGGCAACCCTGATCTTTTATACGCATTTTGAGACTATCTAAATTGTATGACTTTCTTGATTATATTGTATGATTATATTTATAAATTTACCTTTTCTTATTTTTAATCTAATTTAAAGAGGACTTAATTTTTCTTAATCCACCAACTTGTTTAAATTAAGTCGTTTCTGGGACACACCTCCGTAGTTTGTTTACAGAAATAGCATCGAAAACAGTTCTTATCCAACATAGAATATCCGGGCAGGTTGCAATAGGCACTCATCCTGAAAATACAACGTTTCCGTGAGCGAACCGAACATCGGCGCACGCGCAACTTCACACGAGGAAATCGAAAATACACAAAACAAAGTCACGCTCTTATAATTTCCATCATTGTAACTTGATTTATTAGCTCTTAGGTAAGATATTACTGTTAACCTATTACATGTTTTGCGAAGGTTTCGTGATCTCCGACATCATCGGCTATGTAACGCTCTAGCACTGGTACATTTTGTAAGCCAACTTTTAGATGAGGAGAATTCCTAAGGGAAAAAGTGAGTTCAATCCTTTTCTAGACGAAAGAGGAATTGCAATTAGAAAATTGATCCTCGAGTTAAAAAGTCGCTTCTATTTCGAAAGAATCTAATACTAAATATACCTATCTTAATAAATATGAATTATGAGTTGTTAACATACGAAAATATGGTTTTCAACTTTTACTATTTCCGAAGTATTTATGCATTTGGCCAATTCTTATTTTCTGCATCACTTTTTATTATTAATAGATATATAACTTTAGAGTAAAAACAATGACGTAAGGAATGAAAATATGCAGTCTCGTGATCCCTTTTTAATAGGTTTATCCTAAATAAATAAATAACATTAGCAAGTGAATACATTTATAATATTATATGAAAAAGGTTTGCTCGAAAAAATTTACATAATTTTAAAACAAATGGCAGTTTTCATCAATATAATACACGCAACAAGGATAAAATAAGTGTACAGACCAAAAGGCTCCATAAAACAAGTAATTCTTTTCAAGGTAACTGCATGCTTAATAAAATGCTATTTTAATAAAATCCCTAGTGAAGTAAAAATACTGTCAATAAATAAGTTTAAACGTAATTTAACAAAAACTGA